TCCGCACTATCAAGTCTATAAGATTCTAGCGTCTTCCAATGTCTTAGTTGGAAACTTCAGTCTTCATTTCTCATATTCTTTGTTTTTTTTCATTAATGCCATTAGCATTTGAAGCTTGACTGATTCCAATGTACCTTTTCTATTGTTGTTTAATGAAATAAAAAATTTCAAATTTTTTTCTCACTTCAATCATCACATGTTTGAATACCCGAGCTGACTTCTACTGATTTGTTATTATTATACAATTTTTTTTTATATAAATTAACTGCTGTACTTGCTAAGTGTCCACTAAGTGTAAATATACAAAAAAGCAGTGGTTTAATAATGGACTACGATTTTTTACCGAATCCAAAAATATTCCAGTCAACCCTTCCTCCAAGGAGTAGCGTTTTTTGTTGAATTGTTCAAACATCTTAATTACCTGTGAATCTGAATAGCGAACGTCGGGGGCAGGGGGGAGCTGACTGTGATGGTCGTATCGCTCCCCAGTCTATACCGAATACCTGTGTGTATAGTACAGCGTTTCCCGAACTTTTTCGTCCACGGAACACTTGCACTTTTTATCTCGCCTCGCGGAACACTAGAAGTTGAAAGGATAAAATTGATAAAGAAAAACGGCGTAATGTAACCGCTACTCAATCTAGTGGCGAGTTGCCAAATGCGCCGCGAGAACTAACAGAATTGTGTTAAACATACCTAGAAAATGACTGAATATTTTGCTAATTGATTCATATGAATGTTTTCTCGCCTCGCGGAACACTAGAAGTTGAAAGGATAAAATTGATAAAGAAAAACGGCGTAATGTAACCGCTACTCAATCTAGTGGCGAGTTGCCAAATGCGCCGCGAGAACTAACAGAATTGTGTTAAACATACCTAGAAAATGACTGAATATTTTGCTAATTGATTCATATGAATGTTTTATTGTTGATTAATTTAAATACTGTGTATATAAATCAATTCATTCATTTTACCATTCTATGTCGTTTACTTTCCATTACATAGTGTTTGCCTAATGGAGATAGAAGTACTTGCCTGCAGTTTATTTATCTATTGAATAGAGTTTGGCCAAATAAGAAATTATTTTGAAGTAAAACCAGTCAAAGATGAAGGAAGAATAGCGACGGTTATCAAAAATTCCACTACCCCACCCTAATTGGTCCACTTTAGGCCGACGGTGACGCAATATCGCCGGTCAGTTGGGCGGCAACTCCACGTTCCATAGATTGCCATGGCGACCATTTTAGACGTATTTTTGATTCTCTTTTCACGGAACACTTCGAAGACGCTCGCGGAACACTAGTATTCCGCGGAACACAGTTTGGGAAACGCTGGTTTAGTATATAATTTTTATTGATTCAATGCTTGTATTCTGGTTGACGAAATAAATCTCTCTCCCGTATTCCGTCATGTTTTTTAACCTAGTTATGAGACCGGTATTGTACCGTTATAGGTTGGAGATATTCATATTTTTTGTATGCCGATCCTGCCTATTGGCAGGCTGGCCAACATTTTTGTTCGTAGGCCTATTTACTAAAGAATTTAGTTTTCACCTCTTGCAGCCTTGGTACGGTACCGGTAGTTTAAATAACACGTCAGCATGCCTTCAGTAAATGATTGCTAGCTGTACAGGTATAAATGCGTAAGACCAGTAAACAAACGTGATAGAAAGGGTATGGGTTATAGATTGTCAGTGTTAAACGCTTCCAGTACCGGTATCGTACCCAAAGCGAAATTAGCGCCGCATCAAGTCCATGCTTCCGAAAACAAATACCTGGCTAACTAATCCCATACCCGACCTGGACTGGTAACCGAACGAAAGGCCGTGGTTCGCCATATGATTAAGCCGTCTTATCGGCTTTCCTCTCCTCCGGAATAAATATGTAAATCCTATCCTATTTGCAGCGCATATCCCACAGAGCACGGCGCGTTAGCAGAATCTCATGATACAGCGAGAATGACGTCATCGGAAACACCGCGCTCATTAAAATTTTAATGAACGATTATCAAAAGTCTTGACCATGTTTATCATGATAAAAATATCAAAAAAGATGTAAAAAATATTCTATCCTCAAAACTGCCCACGTCTACAATGAAAGATATCTAGAAAATTACAAAAAATGCAAATTTCGGCTCTGGGTGATCACATTCCCTGATAAGAGCTAATGTTAAAATTGTTTTGTTTACATCACTTTTCTTTTGCGCGTAGGATGGGTTTTTATTGAATGAGGTCTGTGAATGCCAACTTCTACTCACAACACCACACAGTGGCCATTCTTTGTTACCACTTATGTCACGTGACCACGACTTTTACATAGAATCGTTAATTCTTCTCACTTTCCCAAATTGTTTCTAGTTTCGGGAAGTGACTGGTACATTCGGGTCGGTACCGGTAAGTCTGTAAGTAGGGTATCGGTGTATAAGCTACAGCTTTAACATCGTGTGTTCACCTAGTTACAAATCATATAGGTTTGTGTTTCATAGGCGGTACCGTACGTTACCATATATCAGGTTACATGTATTATTGGGTTTATTTAGGGATAGGCTAATTTAGAATTTTGCTAGGTTACCGGTACCCTCACCGTATTTCTGCTTCCCGCTTCGCTACCCTGGTACCGTACCGTACACTATCGGTACTTTGTTTTATTTCACAATTCCAGGGTTTTAATGATTAAAATAGCCTATATCATTCATTGATATACCGGTACCGTACTGCCATAGCACGTGGTGCGATAAAAACAAAACTCAATGGATTTAAGTGTATTTTCTGTGAATAAATATAAATCAATCCTTCATTCATTATTACTGTATAATTATTATAATTAACGAAAGTGGAGCTGAACCTAAAAATTCCAACGCAAACACGATAAGACTATTCCAATATTCTATTGATTCTCTTCTATCTGTCTATTGCAATATCGCATAATGCTTCGTTGACAAAGGTACTTCAGCACTCGAGTTTCTGAGTTTGGCTGGGCCAAAACGTCTGGTCTGAAAGTCTATGTATTTAAACATATAGATACCACTCCAATCTAACTACTTTTCCACAAAATCTCTTCAAAATTTGCTCAAAAACTAAGAAATTTCGGTATAAAAGCATAGTCAAGTCCAGGATTTTCCTTTAAGACTGTAAGAAGTTGTGAAAAATTAAGTAAATAGAGATATACTGGTAATGAAGCAATATTATAAATAATATGAAATATATCATTTAACGATCTTTGGAGTTTCAGTTCGCGAGGAGGTCTTTTGAGTTCTGATTTGTGCTTCTAATTACTGAATTATACTACAGTACTACTGTACTATATTATTGACAGTATCCCTTCCACATCAGATTTTACACTGATATTGTTATGTTCAATATTTTATTTATTCATTGTTACATTGTTGTTCTGCTCTGTTTCTAAGTCACTGATTCACTAAGAATTTGTTATTGACACTTAATGTTCAACAAAAGATAACTTCTATGAGCCGAGTGTAAAGAGAAAATTCAGTAGTAGGCCTATAGAAATAACAAAATCTGAAGTCCCATTATACAGTAGGGCACAGTTCTCAAATTCCAAGATGTCCTGACATTTGGTTCAATAAAACCAAATACTCAATTTATCTCTGAAATGAGTGTGTCTGGCACAACGGCAGATGCGCCACATTGTGCCATGCTTGTTTTGGTCATGATTCAAATCAATCATGACGTGTGGCGGCCTGCTATAACTCTTGAATGATACTGTAGAATCCAAAGGGCTCGTTTTCACATTGCGTTTCCTTTTAGTTTAATATGCAGTGCCGGTTCACCCATACAAACGTCTAGATTGCATCATGGAGGAAAGTTTTATCCCCACTGTTATAATAGACTACTTGGAAATTGGAACACACTCTTATTGCTGTTTTGCTAAGGCCATCATAAACTTGGGAATATTTGATGAAATAAATTTTGGTATGCCGTTTAGACTATATAGAAAGTAATAAATATATAATATAGCTTAGGGCACTATCATCATTAATTGAACTCCAGGGTAATACAGTAATTAGAGAGTCTATTAATGAAGTGAAAATGACTTTAACACTAGGATGATTGTGTCACTTCTATCCAATATGTATTCGGTTATAATTTTAACAGGTTTTCACAATGATGGTTGTTATTTTTTGTTAAAGTATTCTACAAAAGATAGTGAGAGAAGCCATAGAAAAATCACTAAATTTATTTCTGGCTCAAGTGAGCTGTTAATTGTTGTTATTTTAGATATTTGATTAATTTGTTATTTTAGGTTTGGTCAGTTCAATTTGGTTTTTAGATGCAAAAGTAAAAAAAATGTTGGTTGTTAAAATTTGAATTTTTCTGGCTTAGTAGTTGGATGCGGATGGATAGGTAATGAGACCTTACATTTAATTTCAGGGGCTTAATGGTAGTATGTAGAAACTTGCATTTAGCTGATTTGTACATCTTTTGTTTTAGGACTAGAATGCTATTGTATCTGATTTGGACGTGAATCTGTAATCTTCACATAGATATTGGTATTCGGATAATTTAATATCTTGAAATAATTCATGTATTTCATTATTTTATTCATTCATTATTTTGGGTAGTCCCGTAGTGTATGTACCAGGTTAGGGTGAGGCCATAATTTTATTCTGATTTTAATTATTTTCGTTCTATTACAAGTTCGGGTACTGTCTGTGTTAGACAAGTGAATATACCCCCTGTCCATAGGTTTCAATCCCTTTACACAACTTGATGTAAAGTATGCGAACAAAATTAGATACTTCTATATTAATACACACACTTCTGGAGCGAACCAGCCAGTTCTGTGACAGATCAATTAATTCAATCTTCAACCCTTGTACAATTAATTATATCTATAATGTTGTGTATTCTCCTGCTTCTCATTTTATTTTAAACTGTAAATTACATTTTTTAAAAGAGGCATGGTAATGTATAGACCCGAGGTTGTCAACCGGGATTCGACAGCCCCTAGGATTCTGCCAGTACAGTCCAGGAATTCCACAGGGTCAAATTTGAGATTTTATGTCAATATATATACATATATTTATAGTTTATGCAATTCTTCTCACAGCCTTACAATTATGGATAGATTTGTGATGAAACATACAGTAAATAAAAACCTATTGCACAGGAATACCTTGAGCCTTGGAATGTTTCATTGGCGGTAAACTCCACAAAAACGGTTGAAAACGACTGATATAGACCATATTTCATACAATTTGCTTATTCATTTTATTGTAGCTCCATGTAAGAATAATTTGCATTTTAGATTTCAGTTGGCATATCATTTAATAATAATAGTTCAAATATAATGACATCATTAGCAAGAAAACGACTGATGAGGGATTTTAAAAGAATGCTTGATGACCCTCCTGAAGGAATCAGTGGAGCACCTATTGAAAATAATCTCATGAAATGGGACGTTGTTATTTTTGGTCCTGCTGAAACCCCATTCGAACATGGAATATTCAGATTGAGTATGGATTTTACTGAAGATTATCCAAACAAACCTCCATCTGTTAAATTCATATCAAAAATGTTTCATCCAAATGTTTATTCTGATGGTAGAATATGCATTGACATTTTGGAAAACAAGTGGAGTCCGACATACAATGTTTCTTCCATTTTAACATCAATACAATCGCTTCTTGATGAACCGAATCCAAGTAGTCCTGCTAACTATCAGGCTGCTCTTTTATATAAAGACAGTCGCATCGATTATGCAAAAAAAGTTTCTGTAATTGTTGAAGAAAGTTGGAAAGAATGCAAATCATGATAGCCGCTATATTTGTGTATCATTTTTACTTCATTATTAGATAATATGATGTTCTTTTTCTGCCCATATTCTTATATTGAATTTATTAATAATCGTGCGCAATTATATGACAATAGCATGTTCAGTATTGAGTTAATTACAGAGTTCTGTAGGTAGAAACATTATTCTTTTATTTCAAATTTATGTTAGCCAAGCATCAATAGATCAGACGAATAAAAGTCTGTCATGAATAAATATGCTTAATGTGGAATCGTCATAATATTATTGATCTATTACTTATCTAAATGATTTCAGGCTGTATTAATTATTCCCCAGAATATTTGTGTGGTTACTTTCTTCCTGCCATAAATTCCCATACATTTCTGTCAAGTACATTCTATATTATTATTTCATTTTGCAATGGTATTCCAAAAAGTTTCACTGAAAGTTTTTGGTTTTATTATTTTTTGGCAAAGCATAAATTTCTATGTCATTATTTAGCATTTACCGTATATGGTCTATACCTTTTTTTATCATTTATATTGTCTATATCTAGCTTAGGGACTTCAATATTGACTCAGTTTTGCAATCTAAGGTAAAAATGGTTTAATTGTGTCTGTATGGGCAAGTCTGACAAATCATTACTGAAATATATTTTGTCCGGATAGCATTTATATATTTATCCTGTTGAAGAGGAAAGTTGATAAAACGGTTTAATCGTATTGCAAACCACAGCCTCTCATCCTGTTACTTGTCCATGTCAGGTATTGGGTAAGTTAGCCAGTTATTTGCTCCAGATGCATGGACTTGATGATGGAGGAAGCCGTAACCGACCAGCGGTAATGTGAACCACCCTACGATGGCGAGGAGTCCAACAATCCTCTCGCACATAATTATTCCCCATGGGATCTGAACCTGTGAACCCAAGCAGGGTAATTAGAGGGTGATTGTGAGCACAATGCGCCGCATCGCCAAGTTATCGTCGTTCCACAACTCATGAATTCAGTAATTTTTATTATTTTTAATCATTCAAACTTTTATTTTGTATAATAGCAATACCTTTGTATTCTGTTTACTAAACTAAACTTACCAATGGCCATTCTTGACACTCACTCGACAAGAAGGATTCAGCCTCTTATTTGAGAGCGAGTCAATTATACATGCCATGGGTCATTATATTATACATTAGTGATTTTTGCTATTATCTCAAATGTTGTTCTTTTTTTTCCTCTTCGGGGGAATTTTAAGATTTACATTTTGAGTTTGTATGATTAAACTGTGCACTTCTTAATTTTTGTTTCATAAATTGTCAAACATATTCTTTATGAATCGTTATTGGATCGATTTTTTGGAATTGATCAATTATGTCAGACAACATTATCCTTAAGTTCATGGCGCACTGTCATTGTTTATTGCGCTATGCATATTATAAAGGCATATCTGATAATAAATGATACACTTTGATTCCCATCCATCGCTTTGTAGAAGTTGAAACTCATTTTTCCATATGTCTTTCATTTTGGTTCGCTCACGGTATAATCCCTTGAAGGCTAAAATGAGCTGACTCACTGATGACTCATGTTTTACCATTTAACTAGAAAAGTATTTTGGCAATCAATATATTATTGAAAATATTTGAATTGAATGGGTAGGAATTGGTATCTATTTCAACCATTTTGAAACTTTATTGGTGTGACGTGTGAGCCTATTATCTGTTGTCAACCCTATAATGCCTGAAAGGATATATTTTGAAATATAAAATATTTCTAAAAGGAATGATTCTTCTTTATACATGACTAAATATGCTTGAATAAAGTTCCCATTAAAATGTAAATATATAACTCAACTGTACTAATAATAATTATTTTTCCTATTATTCTTGAAATTACAAGTTTAAAATTTATAACTGAATTATTATGTATGTATTTCATTATTCAAAGTAGAGGTGTAGAGCATTTGTAAATTAGGATGATGGTATAATTTATCACCACACATCCTTTCACAAGCAAAATTCTGGTAAAATATGGGGTAGGCTTTTATTATCGAATTGTGTATACATCACTGGTGACCTTATTTTTATGTCGCACATTGCTATTGATGTCTTTGTTGTTTTTTCAGATATTTAGATTAAAATAGGGATTGAATAGTATATAAGAAATTGGTGAACCAAATTAAAAAAGTAATATGTCTACACCAGCTAGAAGAAGATTAATGCGTGATTTTAAAAAATTGCAAGAAGATCCTCCTACTGGAGTAAGTGGGGCACCGACTGACAACAATATAATGATATGGAATGCTTTAATATTTGGTCCAGTTGATACACCTTTTGAAGATGGAACGTTTCGATTGACTATAGAATTTACAGAGGAGTATCCGAATAAGCCTCCTTCTGTTAAATTTGCTTCAAAAATGTTTCACCCAAATGTTTATGCTGATGGCGGAATATGCTTAGACATTTTACAAAACCGATGGAGTCCCACATACGATGTTTCATCGATTTTAACGTCAATACAATCACTTTTGGACGAACCAAATCCGAACAGCCCGGCGAATAATCAAGCTGCACAATTGTATCAAGAAAATCGTCGAGAGTATGAGAAAAAAGTTTGTTGCATCGTTGAGGAAAGTTGGAAAGAATGTAATTGTAGATATTGATCCATTTGGCCGATTTTATTTTGTGTGCTTTTTACATTATGTTTTATTGATACCGTTGTCAAGATTTTTTCTTTATTGTAGCAGACAATACTATAACTAACTTTGGTAACCGCTTAAAATTATCTTTCTAAAATGTACAGTAAAGGTATAAGTGAACCACCCATGCTTGCGCTTGCCATAATGGTGTGGTCATATCTACGCATGCTTCAGAAATATTTCACCATAGAAAAGTGGTTGTATAATTACGAATAAAATTTTTCTGTATAATTTCCACAGTAAGCCATTGTGAAACAAAATCATGATATGTATCTACTTGATGAAAATGTTGATATAAATTGCACAAAACATTGTTTTCTGTCCATAGATTTAGATTCTTAAGATTAATATTGGTCTTTCAATATATTGGAATCCATGAGAGCCAGACTATTTGAAACAACGCTAAAAGCTCATTTGTCTTAATCATAACGAATTTAAAAACAATGATAGTTTCCTGGTTTTTCCATGAGTTGTATACTTCTAGTTTTTTCTTTACCTCTCAGCACTTTGTTGAAGCCTAAGCTAAACTGTGTGAATAGCAAATATGTAATAAACACTTAAACACTCAAGATATTGGCATGGACGATATAAAAAGAACGTCATTGTTACAATTACAATTAGCTTCTCAATACCAAAATCTCAAATGAAACTTGACTCCCAAGTCCCAAGTGACTTGTCTCCCAATTAATGTTTAAAAATAATATTCAATTTTTGTCTCAATTTTGCTGGTGATTATATGGAGTGTACTATTCTGCAAGTTTTCTAGCATATTGGAAATTATGATTGTAAATATTATTTATTATCAGAAACAAATGTTTCATTGGGCTTGCTTGTTTTATATGATGAAAAGCTCACTTTTACACAGTGAAGTTTGAGCCATCCATCACCCATGTTAAGCAAAAAAAATCTAGTTCAAGGTTTTATCAAAAAGATATCCACAGGCAAAACCAAATTAAATCAACACAAATGATACTCGCAACATAGAATAGTTTGTATATTGGAAACTTCTTTGCTCTGTGAAATAAATTATTCTATTATGAACTTATATTTATATACCAGTAATTGTTTAGGGGGTGATTTAATGAGGGAAGGCAGACAAACATAGACTGTCACAACCTACAACATTCAGGAGTTCAATATTCCTCTTGCATTCAAAATGTCCCCCAAAGTATCTTGGCCACCATTAGCAGTAAGATCACAAGTGTCTTGCTGACATTTGCAAGGTGTGCCAACCATGGAGTAAAGTTTGGGCCAGCGTTGTACTCATTAGCTGATTTATCAGCCATTTTTGATATCTAAATATAAAGGCTGTTATTGTATAGAGAGAATTCAAGAAAATGATTGGATTGGTATTCGGTACAATCAGTTGGGAGTGGATAAAAAATTCAGATCTTGGCCATCGGTTTTTGTTTAACTGACATGTGTATTTCTTGACTCTTAACTGAGCGAGATTAAATTAGATTGATTAAAAATTCGGCGCTCCAGATGTGTGTGTACGTACCAATATGGAGGTGACTAATTTTGTTCGCCTACTTTACATCAAGTTATGTGATGGCACTTAAGCCCATGGGTAGGGGGTACATTAACTTGGCTAACACAGACAGTCCCCGAACTTGTAATAGAATTAAAATAGGAGTAAAATTATAGCCCAACCCTAACCTGATACACACACTGCGGAGTACCAAAAATTCAAATATATCGCGCAATGTTGTACGGTTTTACTCATATTTACATCGCCTTTTTATGCCCACAGTAAAAGTTAAAGCTGTGCCTTTTTTAATAGGCATTTGAGCGTAATTTTATTATGCGGACGCAATAGATTTTAGTTTCATATGACTGTAGTAACGAATAACACCTGGTGCTATTTAAAAATCTACGTCACTTCCTCTCTGGGTTAATGTTCAAGCAGTTGGTTTCACGCCGATGTTGGTCATACATCACGTGAGCGTACGTATCAGAAGCGTGACGTCAATTAATTTATAAAACGTATCTAAACCCCGCCTTAGTCAAACTACATCATTCGAAATAACTTGTTAAAAATTAGGTCTATACGCGTAGGAGATTTAGCGAGATTTGTGTCTCGTAAAGGGATGAGTTTGATTACTGCATTCCGAAAAATGACGTCTTGTTGTCTGTATCACTCACGTTTCTACTGCTAATATATTATCATGAATAATCGCGTATTAGCACTCTATTGCTAATGCGCTGTGGACATACACATTAACATAAAGCAAATCGATGCCAATCTATACTCAATGCATACCAATTACTGTGAAACCCCAATAGAAGAGAATTATTCTTCGGAACGTTGCTGAGAAAAAATGCCATTTCCATATGTTTGAGTATTACAACTTTAATGTAATAGGAAAAGCGTGGCTCGGGGAGATTTAGCCTTTCCATTCATATTTTCTTAAATCGACAAAATAAACTCATTACAGATCTAAAATACCACACCCATCCTTGGATATAAGGATGTGAGATCAACTGCCCGACAATATTTAGTTTTGATATATATTGCGCTCATGCTAATTCGTTATTGTCGTTAGAAAGATCTCGTATAAATATATATTCAATTTAGTACAATGTATTTTTATATAAAGTATATCAGTAAATCAGAAATACATATTCATCGCCCCATAACACCCGCGGTACGGCTCCTGGGTCAGTTGTTGAGATTACACCACTCGTTAATAGCCGACTTTTTCAAGGAATATGTGTTGGTTTTCCTGTTGATAAAAAATTCAATCCATGATCGATATAAATATTTGAAATGGTTGCTTGATCCACACTACAGGTGTGCCGCGGGAACAAGGAATATACGAGATTTGCGAAGTCTAAGAAAGTGTTTTTGAACTGTCGCGTTCCATCCCATAACAAAACCCGTTGGTGTTTTCCGTTTTACTTTGTATTTTATAATGCCGCTTTTTCCATCAAGAAATTTTTGGTTGCGGATTCACTTCTTTATTCTATCTTTAGCATCTCGTCGCTGATATGATTATATAATAATTAAAAAACTAACTCGTTTTTTACACTGGTGTCATGGTTCCATGCGAGAACGCAAAAAGTAATTATCATGTCTTCGCGGCACAAAATGTTTGTTGACAGAAATGAGGGCGAAAACAATCGGAGGTTCGAACAAAATGCAATCGCAAACGTCATTAGGGACTTTATTTTTAAGCGCTCAGGGGCCGGGAAAGGTCCACATGCATGATCATATACTATTTACAATTGAACGACTTTTTTATGCTACAAATCTACATAAATTCATTTGCACTTCTCCATTGTGTGATCTGTATTTTTGATCCGGTGGTTGTCCAAAGGTATTGGTATTGAATTTTAGAGACGTTAGGCAAGCCAAGAATTCTGTAGTTGTTGTGTATTTTTAACACACAGTAATTATTACTTATCGATTTTAATCGGTAAGTATGTTGATAGGTATTTGTCTGTCTGTATGTATGTCTGTTAGATGCACGTGATATCTCACGAAGCCGTGGTTGAATCTGCTCCAAATTTTGCATGTGCATTCATCATATCTCGGACCAGAAGCCTATTGATTTTGGATAAATTATGTCGTATAATTAGCGAGTAATTAATTAATTAGTGATGAAGATATCTGGATTTTTACAAAGCGAGAGATTTTTGAGATGCGCTGAATGTGTGTGTGGGCGCGGCTCAAAAAGTTTAAGAACCACTGGGTTAGATGGAGAATTACTAAGTTTTTTTTATTTTTTAAATTCCAGTATTTCTTTGGGGGGAATTACGCACGCACGTTTCTAAGTCGAAAAATCTTTTCAGAATTTCATGGGTCCAATGAAGTAAAGAATTTTCATAAATACTCGGACTTATCTGACAAGACCCTATACCAGGCTGACCTTTTTCGTCTCGTGGGCCACTTGCACATAACGAAATTCGTTGCGGGCCGCAAACGTTTGACTTTAATACCAGCTAAGTCCAGATTTTGGTATAATTTACATAATACATAAAAGGCAAGTTTACTTTCATTAAATCAATCAAGTTAAATACTTATTTACTGGTTACTGAGTGGGGCTGACAAAATATTCGAATATCAAATCGAATATTAAAATAGAAGATTACTATTTGAATATCTGGTATCATGGGCCGTGGACATGACACTCGCGGGCCGCCGAATCAAGAAAACAATTGTTATACAGGCACATGTGGATTTCTGACGATCACCCGAGAATCTACACACAGTTTTCGCTAACAAACAAAGACTTTAAAAATTGAGTGTTATATTTGCGTTATAGCGTTTTTATCCATTTATTTCCAGTGTCTGTCTAAATGAGCATAATGTGCGCCAATGTCGCGGGGATATAAAGTTTTAGTGGGTCGTTCTGTAAAATTTGAAACATCAATACAAGCATTTAATGAAGTAACATTGCAAAAATTTCTGGATAAATTTATACTAATTTAAATATGAAGCAATGCCATTAAGTTAATTTTATCGGAATTATTGACGGATACGCAATGACGACATTTCCAAAATCTTATTTTAACGCAAACATGACATAAACAAAAATACAAACATAATGGGACAACGAGTTCTGGATCCACTACCAAAGATATTGTCGACTTTTTATTTTACGTTGGCGATGAAGACTATCAAAGCCGACAATAAAGAAATCAATAAAAAATAAATTAATTTGCAAATTTAGGCTCCAAATTCGTTCCTATAATTGCGCCCAGCGTTCGTCGAACAGAACGCACAGTTCTGCGAAAAATACGGAAAAAATATAAATGCCCACCAGGGCGCAAGACTTGACACATACGTAATAATAAGAACCGGCATTTGGATGTAGATAGATGGCAGGAATAATCACACCAACTTCACGAAACATACTTAAGCTAACATGATGAAAATCTAAAAGTCTGCTTTCAAACTTAATAGGGCGGGCCGCAAAGAACAGTCCGGCGGGCCACATGCGGCCCGCCGGTTGGACAGCCTTCCCTCATACGATATGGTGAAATACTGCCAACCGTTCGATTACCAGATCGGGGCGATGTTGAATTTCCCATTGCATGTGGACAAAGAAGTAACTTTAAAAAATGTAAATTTTATTCAGTAAAATGAACTAGATATGAATAAAACAAGGATAAAACTTGCGCAACAAATGACGCCATTCTTAGGTACCGTAATGTAGCCTGGTATGTGACAATCCTGTAAATTGATTCCATGCTCTTGGTGCACGAGTTCGTAGTATTCTAAGAATCCAGCTATCAGCCAAATACATCCCAGAAGCAAGCAGATCGCAGTCATAAATATTATGAGCTTGTTAACAAATCCTTTCAATCTCCAATTGACGTACAAAGCGGCTATTCCTGTTGAATATATCTAGTTTTTTAATTTGCGGGGTAATTAACCTACCAGGAATGCCTAGAACTGAGTTGGCAAATTAGGACCCTTGTGGAAAAAAATAAAGACTTTGTCCACTCCTGACATAGAAGGTGATTATTGACGCATGATTGTTGTTATATTTTTTGAAAACTTTATAATACACACTAATTAAAAATGGAGAATTCTAGAGAAGGAAAATTTTTTAAAACGTGAGAAATATTATGGCATGTATTAATATACAAATGCACTTAAGCTAATAATGGCCATCTAAAAAACCACGCTGTATCCGTACTTTTTAGTAATCTTGTAGATCAGGGGTGTTCAACATTTAAATACAGGAGGGCCAGATAGAAATAACTAGGTGGAACCGCGGGCCGAACCTTTCATTTAACATAAGCCTCCTAGTAGTTGTAGGCACAAAAATTTAGTTATTGTTCTTGTACCCTGCGTTGATCGGACAAGCTAGCTGTTAGGGCATAGCTGTAACGTCATAGATAATACATTGGTCTTTGGTCTAGGATTTGCAGTGCAAAAGTAATTGGAATTAGGCCTACTTGGCGAATGTTCATTGTGTAACTATGGATTATAATGTATTTGATCCTTTCATATTAATAGCATATAACATTTCACAAAATAGGTCACTTTATGTTTCACAACAGCAATAAAGCATTCGTTCCATACATGCATGTTACATGCTATTAATATGTAAGGGTTAAATACATTATACTTGCACACATACCAAATTAAATTAAAAGCTTGTTTCGCGAGCCGCACATCATTCAAAATTGGCATTCCTCCGCGGGCGCAATTTGCACACCCCTGTTGTAGATAACCACCTCCGCTGGTCAGACTGCTTTGATGGTCAGTCATTTATAACGGGACCAGAGTCGCCGATAATTCATTTTTTGCTAAATCAGTTCCTCCCAGACGTTCAGTAGTTTTTGGAAGACAGATATACCAGAGCAGCTTGCCAACAAATGTTTAATATATCCGTTAATAATTTGACAAGGAAAAAGAAGATGGCCAGACGCTGGAATATTATCATTTTCTGTCAATCTTCAGTATAAATTAGTTACCTGTTATAACGAACATACATAATCCGTTTAGTAGAACGGAAAAATCATCTGAAACTTCATTGTCGTATTCATTAGCAACCCGTCGTGGATACATGATTATAAACATCATGATTCCATACACGACATCCATTGGTTGAAGAGGACTGTTGATTTTCCTTTGTTCAGTTGTTAAATTCCCACGTCTACACTGTCCTTTCATAGGATTTTTGACTTCATTTCGTTTGGTTGGTACATTTTCTTCTTTTTTGTACGCCGACTGATATTTTACTTTACCTCGACGCTTTGCTGTTTTTGTTTTAGACATGCCTCCAACGTGAACGAGGACAAATCCTACCAGATTGATAGGCCAAACCAAGACGCATCAGTGCCGAATTTTGATTTATGTCGAATGCCAAACAGAATGACAGTAGACTAGTATAGTTGTCAGGTGTGTGTTACAAAGATGTAACAAAAAATGTGTATCAAATGTATTAAACAAACAACATTTGCACAAATCATATATACATTGCATATTAAAAGATTTAATAATAAAATTTGAAAGCGAGAATCTTTTGTTACCTCCAAACTGTTCTGGCTACTTAAATACACGTCGTGAAGAATCCTCAACTTGTAAACAAGTGTGAACATTCATTACCAAATTCTAAAAGTAGATGTTGATACATGAACAAATCACATTATATTTGATGATATGTTTGAAAATAAAACATAACTTTTCTATCTAAACGCATAAAAATACTCGAAAGCGTGAAATTTAGGAACTGGCAACAGGAAAATACTCAAAAACGCTATTGTTACGTAACGATATAATCCGTATACGCGGTGCGTTGCAGTGAGTAAATTATAAAAGGGAGACATGCAATTCAATATTTCATTCAAATTTGGATATCAATCGTCGATACTTGGTAATATTGTTATCTCGTACTTTAACATCATGCACAAGGTATCTAAATTTATAATATTAAAACCACAAAAATCTTCGCCAGGAGTTAGCGTTGGCGGTCAACGACTGTCGGCGGTGTAGGGAAATCCCCGTCGTTGTAAACATACAGGTTCTTGAAAGCTGCTTCAGTGTCACGCACGTGCCAATTCTTGTTGCGGAGGTTTTTGCGCGCTCCACGTTGTTAGCTAAATCATGGCAGAGAAAAGAAATAACGATGATCCGATTGACAATTTGCCAAAATATGGAATATTTGGTCCAACGAAGCCAGTTAAACACGGAGTTTGTGTAAGTGATCTGAGGGAAGCTGGCCATGAAGGTGCAGTACTTGAGTTTTGCACTGATGAAATTTCTGAAAATGTCGACGAAAGAATACAGCAAGAGGACAAATATTTCGATTCGCCAGACATGTCAAAATGTTCATACATTTTGGAAGAGCTATGTGCTGCCTCAGACGACGATGAATCAGTTCCAATGTTTGACAGATTAAAGGCAAAAATGAAAAACGTAACAGAAGATGGCGGCGTGAAAAAAGCCATACTGAGTGAGGGCGTTGGTGGAGTTGTTCCAGCAGATTCACGGATCAGAGCGCACTATCATGCTTTTTTGGAAGACATGAGTGAGCCATATGATTCAAGCTATCTGCAGGGGAAGGAGTTGAAAATAACTTTAGGGAAAGGACTAGTAATTCCAGGCCTTGATCTAGGAATAGCTTCCATGCGTAAGAAGGAAAAATCCAGGTTTTTAGTGTGTCCTGAATACGCGTATGGTGAAATGGGATGTCCACCACGCATCCCCTCTAATGCAACAATACTGTTTGAAGTAGAGCTTCTGGGATTTACAGAATCATCTATTCTTGATGAATGTGAGGGTATGAATTATAACAGACAAGAATTTACATTCAGCAAAATGCTTGAAGTTGCTAAAGCGGAGAAAAATGAAGGAAATGATCTTTTCCATCAGAAGCAATACATTAAAGCTCAGCATAAATTCATGAGATGTATCAACGCAATGGAATCTGTGCGACTCAAAGACGAAAATGAAGAGGTCGAAATGATAAAAATTGTTAGCAAATCATATCAAAACATGGCGCTTTGCTGTCTTCGACTGGGTAATTTTGGAAAAGCTCTCGCAGCCGGCAGACGCGTTTTGGAATACGACCCTGACCACGCAAAAGCGTTGTTTATCGTTGGTAAAGCGTTACGTCATATTGGTGATTTCAAGGAGGCAAGGAAGTATATGTTGCGTGCTCGTAAATTTGCGCCGACTTCTGATGACATAACCAAAGAGTTGAAGCTGATCGACAAGACCGAGGAACGTTTTCGTAACGCCGAAGTAGGCATGTATAAGAAAATGTTTAGTGGACATGTAAACGTCACGCAAAACGGGATTCCAACACCGCGCACGAAGGTCACGTCAACTAAACAACAACAGGGCATAGCAATGTCATCGTTCCAGTCGGTCATCAAAGGCCGACTGGAAGATTTCAAGAAAAATAACGCAATTCTAGAGCTCGGTATTCCCATATCAGCATTTACACAACACGAAATTCTTTGTGCAGCAAATACTGCAGAAGAAATGAGACTAGATGTGGAATTGATAGACAAGCCAGGGAAGCCAAAACAACTGAAAATCACTAAACCGAAGTTTCAATAATTTTTCAGCTATTTGCCTGAATACCTTTACACTTTGTCAGTATAAATTGGAATTGGTTGCTGATGTTGCCATTCGATATCACTTGCGGAAATGTCGAAAATAATAACAGTGTGAACACAAAGTTGAATAAGTTCGATTTATTTTCTTGTTGTATGAGTTGTAGTATAACACCTGACACCTCCACCCATTAAAATCACTACTAATTGATTTGAGTGCCAATTTGTGTAGACAGATGATTTTTTGTTTTGCCATCACTGCCCATTGTTTCTTTCTACATTTTTTTATGATTCATTAATCCATTTTAACATGCTTGATTTCAAGGTGTTTTAATAATCGTGTATCGACATATAAATACTTTCGATTATGATTTCATGGAAAATTTCTTTTCAATAAAAAATATTAATATATCTTTGTCTTTTTCATCTATTCTACGAAAAAACGTGGAAGTTGAATTTGGAAGTTGCTTGTGGAAACACCCATCCAACACATACTTGCATTTCTAACAACAATGCCAACTTAGTTGGTGCTTTAGGGCGTGACTGTAACTTAAATAGAACAAGTTAGCGGAACAATTTGCCTATATTTTCCATAACTTGGATGATACTGTGCGATTTCAAAAAAATACACTCGTCTATGAAGACCAAGTTAATTAGAAGAGTCGGAATCAGTTTGCGATTTTATCTCTTCGCGGTACACAGAAATGTAATGTAAAAGTTGATTCGCTGCTCAAGAGAGAATTACTTAATCGTTTTGACTTAGGAAAACATAATTTTCTTCTTTCTAAATGGCTCAAAATTTGGCGTGAATTCTCTCGACTCCGCACCACAGCCCTTGTCAGAACAAACAGTAAATTTGTTATATAAGTACTGTTTTTATTCAATTTCAATTCATATGATCAAAAAGACATATTTAGGACTACTATAATGGTTTGTCATTTATTTCGTTTAAATTAATGAAACTATTTCGAAAATTACTGCACATGATAGTCTGTGGTTGGGTATATTCAATACCCTGTATACTGTATATTTGAATATATCCTCTCTAATTTAACCTAATTTAACCATCAGTGTTTCCCAACCCAAATTGGGTCGCCCGAAATTTTCTTGATTACCTCCTTTATAATGACTTATTTATTATTGGTTTAGCATGTATTTTCAGTCATACATACCATCCCTGGGGCTGTGATGTTTTGGTAAATATGATTTCGACTGCACCATACTTGACAGAGGTATAAAAAAAATTTAAACGCGAGAAAAACGTAAAATTAATGATACTTTTCACGCGTAACGGCGCGCATTGGAATGTTTACGTCTTTCTACGCGCATTTCCGTCGGAAAAAGTAACATTTTTTTACATTGAGGGTGGTCTGTGCAGTAATAATTAGAGGTGTGACGTCATTAAAATTGTCAATTGAAACCTTGAACTTGAAAATTCTTTAAATACAATCGTGAATTTTAGAGTAACCATTCTTGCTATAATAGTGGTATTGGTGTTGTCCTGTTGGAAATAAAAATTAATTAATTAGGAATAATTATTTTAAACCACGAATCAAGTCGAGGTTAAAAGTCATCCGAGAATTGTGTGTCGAGTTATTCACTTAGTTAAGTCTCGCTGTGGGTTAGTTCGTGACGAATCCCGGGTTAGTGATCTGATTATCATATTTGGGGAAATACTCTACTTATTGGCCTGTCAGCAGATATTCATTCTTTTTATATATTTGCGCAAACTAATATTTGTCCTGAGGAACAACTTGTAACTACGATTATTTTTATATATTCACAATCGCGAATAATTATTTTTCAAACGTTAAAAATTTCTCAAAGATTTATACGGCCTAGTCTTTCAAGCCCAACAATGTTGCTTCATTTTTAAGGAGATATATTGCTTTGAGAAAGTCCGAGCAATTGAGTTTCGACTCTTCTAAAAAACTCTCCCGCACCTTTCCTGCTTAACAAGTATTCATTCAAATTTTTATTAGGAAGGCACATATATCGTCCCAAATTCTAGCCGACTTGTCTGCATGTTGACAGTTTTGTAATTGCTCACCAAAAAAACAAATTTTGAAAGTTTCCGTTATAGATGTTGGTGGAGGTAGGTACATGTATGTTGCTTGAGGTGTCCTGGTCAGTAGGGATTTGTTCAAAAAGAATTGTATTAGAACAATTGTTTCAAATCGAGTTTTTTTTTTGCCTGTTTTGTTCAAAATGGCTGTACTATTTGATTTTTTTGTATCAAATAGATTGAATAAAAATGGACGTAAAAACTTGCCAAGCGCTTCTTATTTGCAATAAATCTTTTTTAAACGCCACAAATATCGATGGAGGCTCATGTACACCTTCTCAAGCTGTAGTTCAGTGGTTGGCGCATTAAGGCGCAACCGATAAGCCATTAAAGTGAAATGAGTTTGTATAACCTTGAAAAACTCTATCACTTCAACCTTAAAAACAAAGTATGCTAAACATAAAATAACCGAACAGTATTAACCGTAATAATGCCTTCATTTTACGAGAAAAATGTCAATACATGAACTCGAAATCCATGTTATGGGGTCATAACAGATTAGTTGTGGGGTCTTTGCATCAGAGGACTCCTACAATTAACATAGGCTAGGCTAGGGTGTCTCGTCGTTTATATCAGTATAGATTACCGCCGATATAAGCATATTCTTCATTATCGCAACCCACTTGTTTTGCGGAAGGGCTGCACTTGATCTAATTGTTTTTGTAGTGGGCTCGTGAGCTGATTTTCATGATTTTTCTTACTTAAAACGCCTCTTTGATATCTCGGCTAAACATTCCGAGTATAATCTTATGACTTTGGTGGAGATGCAAACGTGGCTATAAATGTACGCAAGTACGAAGTCAAATTCAAATTTAAAAATTTTACTTACATTTTTGAAATTATAATTCCGGCTGCTTGTGCAGCTGCCAGAATGCGACGTTTTGGCGTAGTTTCGCGGCGATGCAAGGGGTATTTCAATAAAAAATATAGAAAAAAAATTGATTTAAAACAAGCCTTTGTTTTAAAACACGATGTTTTTTTAGAATTAAGAAAAAACAAAACCCTACTGGTCAGGCCAAATTTACGACTCTTAGACAAAAAGCGTATCTTGATTCGTGATACAGCGATTTCGCATAAGCATATTACCGCTTTTAATTTTCAGTACTGGTTAACGTTATTTCCATATTTATCACCGAAAATCTAAGGTTGGGTGTTTTCTGCTCAAGTAATAAATTAAATAACTCTGACTCACTGGCAAGCACGAATGGGATGCGTCAGAACGGACAAAGGCAAATTTTACAGTACTCAAATGTCGTTTGCGATTAGAATCGATACAATAAATTCACATTTAATAGACAATTAATTTTGTTAATTATAATTCTTATAGTTACATATTGTTGTAGCAAAACTACATTGAAGCCATACGTGTTTCTACAATATTTATTGCCTACTCCTTGCTAGCGTTATTATTAACTGTGATACACCTTGCAGAGTCAAGATGTCAGTAATATTTGCCTTAAAATAAGCTAGTCAATATTCTCTTATTCGTCGACTGACTGGAATTCTTCATATATAATTTATGTCAAAAAAATGGGTTGAGGAGTCCTACCTCATACTTGCGGCCCAAACCATCACGTCAACTTATCGCGTGCGTTCCAAGTCGGATCAAAATATGCATGTGTTACTGTTCCAGGTATGTGATTTCTTGGCAGCCGCGACTCAAAGCTGATCCGTCATCAAACTATACATAATACACGCCACTTAAAGGAGGGTACGCGAGTTACGTCCACCCTAATGTACTTTTTATGTTCCCAGGTAGTAAATAGGTCGCCGTGCCTAACAGCTCAGAAGAAACCCAAATGTAACACAAAAAATATATATTCTTATCTTCAGTGGTTTTATTAAATAAAGATTAAAACGCGAGAAAATGAGCAGATATGTTATAATCGATAAAAGTTGAAAACCATTTCATTTCAAAATTTTAAGTTCAGATCAGCAGAATGCAGATACTAAGTAAAAAGGCCAACCTATGTAGGAAAGGAAAGCTTTAAAGTCAGGTAAATTTGAAATAAATAACATAACCAAGCAAGCTTTCATATAATTCGTCCAAAAAACAATTTCGAGAACAAAATTTTCTTTATTTTAAGGACATTTACATAATCAGCTGCGCTAACAGTATTAAAAAAAAAACGATAATATTGACAACAACAACAACTCCTAGAAATAACACACAGGCGTACTTTGACACAAAAATACAAATCTTCCAGAAACAAAGCTGCACAAAATAAATATGAAAGTTCGCTAATGCAAAGGTGTTTAAAATTTCAAGAAATCAGATTGTACGAAGGAGTACTGAAGGAGTTATATTACTATATCGAGTCTATGAACCTTCATATTTTGAATGTTAATACAAATCAACACAGAAATGAAATTGTTGTAAACCATACATGGAGCTGAACATTTTAATGAATTAAGCAAATTTCAGACTTAATAGCATCCAGCTCCGTGTAAAAAGCCCACCACAACCCTACAGCAATTTAAAAAAAAGAATAGACAAATCATTTTGCTTGAAAATAGAATTTAAAAAAATGACACGAATTAACTTTCACATAATATTAGTGCTATCACAAAGTTCTCAGAAAAATGTTCGCTTTAATACATACTGGGCCCTAGCCGATAATAGCTTTTTTATTTTAGCATTTTAACGTTCACACATTATTTATCACGATTTATCTCTTTTATTGGTGTTTTTTATGGTTATGCACATTCGAGCATTTTGCCACGGTCTGACTAACACACGTGTGGTAAGACAGTTCATTACAGATTCATTTGGAATCACCGTTGATGGTCTAAATCAGAAGCCAAAAATGTTCCCCACGTAGTCTGGCGGGCCATGTAAGTGTGACGAAGAAAGTTACATTTTATGAACAATGTTTACAAATAATAAGCGTCGTGCAAAAAACAAAATTTAGTCGCATCTCGACAAATTCCTTGCGCTAATCTCCCTCCAGCTAAAACATCAAAATTTGGTTTTAATTCGGCTGTGGCAGCATCGACAGAGATATGACAGTGAGAAAGATATACAGATTACGGAAATTGAGGAAACATTTAAGGAAATGAAATTAGGCAAGTCTCCAGGTGTAGATGGTCTAACGAAAGATTTCTATTTATCCTTCTGGAATGCCATTAAACACATTGTGTATTCTACTATAGAAACATATGCAAATAGGGTGATGCACAAGAGGGCTAATACTGGAGTGAATGTGTTGTTATATAAAGGTGGTGAAAGAGAAGATTTAAAGAATTGGCGACCGATCACTTTGATGAACTTTGAATATAAATTGTTCACAAAAATTTTGGCAAATAGACTAAAACAAATTTTACCTGAAGTCATACATCCTGATCAAACAGGTTTTATTAAAGGAAGATGTATTCATGAAAATTTGATGTGCATTAGAGATGATATCTTCCAGGCGGGAATCGATAACACTGGTTTCGCTCTTATGGCGTTGGACCAGGAAAAGGCGTATGACACAGTGGATAGAGATGTATTACTTAAAGTAATTGGTAAATTTTGATTTGGAATAAAATTTATAAATTGGATATATATAACATTTATAAACAAACAGAAGCAAAAATTATTACAAATGGTTATATTTCACAAAAATTTGAATTAAAACGTGGAGTGAGACAGGGTTGCCCTCTTTCACCGGCATTATATACTTTGATTGCAGAATTGTTAGCTTGTAATATTAGAAAAGAAACAATAATAGGTTTTAAGAATGTTACAGGTAGAACCGAGAAATACAAAGGCTATGCAGATAATACTAATTTGATGTTGGGAAGTAAGGTATCGATAAATGCCTCTTTAAAACTGTTGGAAAATTATACCAGAGCTACAGACATAAAACTAAAAATAGAGAAATCCCAAATATTACTGGTGGGGAAGCAAAAAATTGGTTTTAGCCCAGTGAGATGCATTTCAGAGGAATTAAAATTATTAGGGATAAAATAAAAATATTAGGAATGTGGATGGGATCGAATCAACAGGTATGCACAGATAACTGGACAGCAGTTTTAACAAAAATGCAAAAAATAGTCAATCTGTGGAAGGGAAGGAGAGTAACTATTGTTGGAAAAAGCATATTAATTAAGTCTATGCTAATGTCAAAAATTTGGTATTTGGCAACATGTGAAATTATACCGCAGGAATTTATACAAAAAATGAAATCTATGATATGGAATTTATTTTGGAATGACAAGCCACAAATGATAGGACAATATCACCAAGAACCAGTCCATAAAAGAAGGTTTAGAATGGATGTCAAGCTTGGAAGTCAGAATTTCTTTGGACCTGGAGGTCATTTAAAAAAGAGGCAAAATTAAAAGCAGCCGAGTTTGCACTTTAAATTTGCTTATTCCTGGATGCAATTAAAAGAGTAGACGGAGCTATCTCACCTCCACAAGCAAAAGTTCTAAAATTAGCATACGGAGATGAACATGTTCGAAATAATTATTAAATCATTTATTTCCTATGGCTTTATTCCGGATATCACATTGGATGAAGCACAATTTTCCTCGTCTTCCGTGTCTGTTCCGTCGTTTCCTCCTGTACCAAGGTTGAACTTCTCAGAAGGAAAAAAAGCAGTATCTTTGTTACATGAAATTGCCCAGGGAAATAGTCAACCTCTGGTTTATACTGAGTTCAAGAGTGGACCAGACCATAAAACAAGGTTTAGAATGGATGTCAAGCTTGAAAATCAAAAATTTTCTGGAACTGAAGCGTCAACCAAGAAAGAGGCAAAAAAAAGCAGCGAGGTTGCACTTGAAACTTGGGCGTAGTTCTGTCATGAACCAGGGTGGATCTCCTCTAAGGAATCTTCTTGATGAAACAGAGTCAGCTGAGACAGAATCTTGTGCAATAGAGATAAAAAAATCCTAAAAAATCTATCCAAAATGAGCCGATCGACCTCACGTCCGCTGAGGAAGATTTGAGTTTTACGAATCCTAAAGAGACAGAGTTGGCTCAAAACGACGCTGTAAAAGACATGCCTGCTCATGATACCCAAACAATCCCTGAACCCCAGTCAATGATTGGTTCTGAGAACAACCCCTCGAATGAAGAGATCCTAATTCCTAATACTCAGCCAGTGAGTGATGGGACAGAAGGTGTCACTATGAAGTAAGACTGCTATTGGGGGATCCCCTAATTTTCGATCAATAAGTCTTCAGTCTCTGACCGATATTCCCGTTTATCATTTTACTGAAAATTACACGAAAAATATTGAGTTCATGATACTAATGATAATAGGACTAAAATAGCTTCTACAAGCATTGAAAGAGTCTGTGCAATTGTGTGCAATTTTCAAAATATTTGCAATAATTTAGATATAACTGCACATACGTTATAAAATGCTAACTCCTAGGTGGTTTACGTAACCGCTGGTCGGGTATAGCTGCCTCTGCCTTTAAGTTCATACATTCAAAACTAATAATAACCGGTTAACTATTCCCATACCCGACATGGACTGGTCAGAGGACGAGAGACCGTGGTCTTCGCATGATCAAACCGTTTTACGGCTTTCCTATCAACTGGGATAATATTGGAAGACTATTATGGAAAGATTATTACTTACTTCAACAAACTCTTGATTCGTGAGATTCGCTTTCACCTTATTCGCTTATGCTCGTATTTATGGCATAACCTAAATAATAAAATACAAGTTAATATTCCACCCAATTAAAATAACGCATCAACGCAGAAATCCCTGCCAATGTTCTTTTATAGGTATTAATATTTCACTAACACAGAGACACCTAATGCGGATAGGATGTTTCAGCTCGGAATAAACGATAGCAATAAATTTTATTGTGAATTCAATTCAATTTATAAACACGAGCCCTTCAACTATGAGCACTACTTTATTTGTTCTATCTTCAATGGATCGTTTGTTGTAAAGTGTAGATAATTACATGTTTGACTCAGACGTAACGGACGTCCAACATTCATTTCATAAACAGTTTTCAGCTTCCAATGAATACATTCAAAGACAAATCTCAAACCCCGACAATTTCTGTAACACAAACATCGGATTCTGATTATGCCCGTTAGATATTGTTTTTAAAAAGACATTAAGTTTCTGTTCCTAAACAAAGTAAAAACATAATTTATTTAAGTTTCTTACGAAACGCATCTGAAAGACACTCATCTTGCTTCACAAATAAAACGGCTCTTTCTATTAAAAGAATTTAATCACCATTTTGAATTAATAAAATACAAACGAAAAGATCGGTATAATATCGTGGTGAACAACGACAAAAAAGTCTTACAGGAAAGACGATGATTGTGTTGATAAACACTTACTTTCAGTTTAATCGTACTGTATGTTAGAATACAGTTATATGCTGAAGATCCACCTGCTATCTACTTCCGTCTGCACATGCATATTAATACAACATAAAATTGAAGGGTAGTTTAGTTGTGGAGAATTTTGCAATTCGAATTGCTATTGACATAAAATAGGGTCTGGCCTACTTCTTTCGGAGCGTGAATTACTTATTGCGTAAGAGAGTTTCTTTTTTCTTTTTTATCATGTTTGTCAACAAAAATAATCTCGGTGGTCGATAGAAAAACTACTAGGGTATTATTGGTTTTACAAAATACGAAAATTGAATAAAATGAAATGAATTTAACCGAACTGCAGATGCATAGTGATCAATACCAACCTAATACTTCATACTTAACAGAATAAATGTTCGTCAACTGCATTTCCTTCAGCAGATCCCGATGCCAGCATTTCCAAATTTGTGGTCCAATTCCACCTCGAATCAATAATTTTAGGCCTAATATTAGTCTAACTGCATTAGTAAGCATAACTGTAAAAACATAAAATCGCCTGCAAGGGAACGAGAAAACTGAAAATAAAGCCAGATCACATTAATTGTCGTTAGAATAATTATCTATAGAACAAACAAAACGACGGATACATTGAAAATCTACTCAAAATGTAAATTTAATTGCACTTACAACAAATGTACGTTTCTCAGCGCAAGAGCCCATTAGTATAAAACTTTCATAGGTAATCAGATTTATGTTAAGTTTAATATAATAAGACGATACAATGACACTTACGAAATCATAAAACTTCCATGACTATATATATATTATATTGCTCTTACTCTGGGCTTCTAGTTCTAAGCACTTAATTGATCAAACACTGTCGAACTGTGCCCAGTGGAATCCCGGCCCATTGTTCCCCATAAGAAACAAATATTTTTAGACTGCTCCACGTCGAGATTGGGAAGGCACACCCACTCGCCAACGTTATGGATATTTTACAGTGGACTGAAGTTGAAAAATATCAGACGGTGGTTTGTCATGTTGGAAAGGCTAATGTAGAAAAACCTAAATGGTAAAATTTTAGTTTCAACCCCGCAAAACCAATTTCCACGCACAACTTGCGTCGCTCTACACGGCCGTTGTCCGTTTGCGGGGACGTTGTAACTCACCGAAAGGCGGATTCAAACATCGAACCGCAGACCTGATTCCAGATATAGTATGAGTGTGAGAGCTGATTTACCACTGTGCCCCGTGTCCCACCTTCCCCTACTAACTTTCGCGTTTGTCTGACTGAATGCATAATTATGCAGTTTTTATGCAACTTTACCAACGTTATGTTGTCGAGAGATAAAATAATCACATAGATCTCAACTCATCGTAGATTAGAACTATTCCGTATTCTTCACAAATATTTGATTAAAACATATAATTTTGCCCACCCCTGTCTAGTTGGTTTGTATGTTGAAGTATAATTAGGACGATATGTCGAGTTACGACAAAGGGATTCTGGAAGAAAAAAAAATTTTGTTTGCTAGATTAGACTTTTGTCAACGACTAGATTTAGGTTGCCACCCCATGGTTTTCACAAACTGAAAAGCTCTGAATAAGAGGTTCTCAAAAATGTCGTTATCCCTAAATTGAAATACCATAAGCTCAATTTCCCCTTACATTAAAAATAAAATTCCATGCGTGCATTTTATCAAATTTGATAGCAGCAATAACATAAGAATCCATAAATACAAAAACAACATATTGATTTAATCTCAGTGAGAAGGATGTCACTGTTTCTGCGATATCAAACCTAGGAATTCCATATCATCGTCAATTATAAGCTTGACTCAATATTTTGTTTTAATGAATGCCATTGCAAAGAATAAGTTGAATGACATTAAATCAAAAATGGTAATGACGTCATGAAATGGGTGGCATATTGCTGTTGGAGACGAACACAAAAACATCTGTAGTTGCGAAGTCGATTTTGATTCTTGGATTTCACGAAACCGAATTATAAAACCAACTCTCCATAGCTTTTCTTTGGCGCCATCTCAACAGTTTTCATTTCACAGAAGATAAGCTTCATTGCAGCTATAATAATGAAGACTACATGTCTCTACTACCTGCGAGACCTACTAAATTATGATGTAACAATGTTTGCTAACTAGATTCGAACAAGCGCGCCCAGTTTTTCTGCAAAGTGGCGGAAATATGGCGATTACAAAATAAATTGTTACGTCAATGAAAACCCCCCTAAAATTGTCTAGGTATCCTCTTTTGGGTTAAGTACCCCCAGTTTGTGTGCCACTGGCCTAGCAAATACCATACGGATTATATGCCAGCAGAACCAGAATACGTATTATTCTCAAGAATAACATATGCAAAACTAAATTTGAAGAAGACTTTTAAACACCGAGCAATAATTTTAAAGAATAGATACTGCACGCTATATTTTAGATTTTTCATTTTGACTTTATTCAAAGCCTTTTTGTTCGCAGATCTTCCCCACACACTGCTTAAGAAATCCTTTTCCCTCCTGAGTTTAAAAAATAAAGGTAAAGTCCGGTTGTTTTCCATAGTTGAATCATAAGCGGCTGCTTTTATGGCTTGAAAAATACCGGAATCTGTCTCACAGAGTTTGAAAGTTTGTTCCAACCATTTTTCAGCTAAATCAGGCGTAGAAAGTTACTTATCAGTTTCTAAATAAATGAAAATGATATTAAAGATGAATTTTACATTTGTCACTGAGCATATATGGCTTGGAATTTTCTTAAAAGCACTCAAAGAGCAGTGGTTTTCAACCCTCGTTGCGCGCAAGCTCACAATTTATGAACAGAGCTATATTTATACTTTATAGTGTTACATAAGCAAAAGTGGAAAACAATGAGCCTAGTGCCCAAACTAAATTAAACCAAATTGAATTACCCAACAGGCCGGATTTGGCCGGCGGTTTAGAGGTCGGAGTAAAAGAGTTTTATAAAATAAATGATATGCTTAACTAATCACCTGAAACCAATGCGTCAGCCAGTCCAATGAACAAGGAAGATTTGCTGTCTATCTGCATTGAAGATGCGAGCAAACGCATAGTTTTTCTGAAACCAATATTGAACGAAATGAAAAGATTATTTTTATTGAATACAGACAGAAAGCTTAATACAGGGATGGCCAAATCCAAATATTTCTCTATTCCGAATTGATTCTTAGAAAATATTCCTAAAGTTCGAATACATTTTGACGTGACGTGGGGGCATGTTCATGCGGAAAACTACATGAATCACTATTTCTTCGTAATTTTATTCCGATTTTTCTTATTTTAGTTCTATTACGAGTTCAGGGACTGTCTCTGTTAGCCAAGAGAATATACTGCCCACAGGTTTCAGTCCCTCTACAAAACTTGATGTAAAGTAGGCGAACAAAATTAGTTACCTCCATACACATACTTCCGGAGCGCCATTAATCTAAGTGAAAATTTCCGACAGAGAATAAAAAGCATTGGGCTCATGAGAATTCTCAACAGAAAAAACGTCTATATTAATTTGGTTTTCTGGGAGTGAGAAGTTGGTGTCAAAATTTTCATCAAACATGTAAATTTTCCCCACAACAGAGACCCGAATTAAATAAATATTCATGTTATTTTATCCCATCTTCTTGTGAACAAATTGAATCATTGAGTCAAGGAACATCAGTCTGTGAAATTAGCCGTTTATACAAAAATATCACATATTGGTTTAACAGTTGGAGGGCAAGTAACACACTTGCTGTAGAACCACTAATTAAACCCTAGCATCCCGGGTTGCGTCTTATAGTCCGATGCACCTTATAGTATTGTAAAATACGGTATTTAACGCTGAAAACTGGTGCACTATGCCCAGATGACCCGACTATTGTCTGTCCCCAGTCCACATACACTATCTCCCATATTTGTGGATACAGATAGTACACATTTCAACATCACATACCAATCTATAATAAATGTAAACTTCTCAAAGCTACATGTAGTTTGCAGCAGTGGCCACTTCAGCCCCGCCTTGATGTTGAGTGTGAAATCATTTTGTTATTTGTTTCAGATGCATGGGATTGATATTACATGAAAGTACTGAAACAAAGTTGCTAATAGGATCATTTGCTTATGGGGTTATGATGAAGTCAATGCTAAATAATGAGAGCAACGCTAAGTAAGCAACGCTCACATATCTTTGGAAAAATTTTGATATGTGAAAGTGTATGGAAAGATGGAGATTATGGGTCGCTCTCATAATCAACATTTCCAGACCGTAAGGCATTTCGTTTTTTTTTTTTGGGGGGGGGGGTCTTTGTATTCACTGTAGTATAAATAATATTCTTTTTTTTAAATGTAACTATAACACTCATACATAATATATACAGTACAACAAAAGATTTGAAATGTCTGAATGTACAAAAACTGGAGTGCGACTTGTGCATAATATAGCAATGGATCCATCAAGATTGAACAAGTAAAGTAGTTTTTATGCACAGAGAGTTCTAAAATAGGGAGGGGGGAAGTCAACAAAAAATTTGGGAACCACTGATTTTAGTAGTAAATTTTCCTAAATCAACACAGGTGCCCTGTTCCTAACATTTTATAAACTGATGAACCTGTGAACCATGATCAAATCCTAATCTCCAACCACAAATTAGACAGTTACATTTTATTTTCCAATTCAAAAGATAGTTCATTAGAACAGAGGTCCGCAACTACTTTTCATCGCGACCCCAAAAAATGTTTTCTAATTTCTTGCGACCCAAGCATTTGGTAAACATGTAAATAGTTACCGATTTTAAGACTATTATTGACACTAGCAATTTTCTTGTACAAAATTATATGAAACTTATCACATAAAATCGTGAATAATAGCGTTTATTATGACTAATGCGAATTATTATTGATGATAGATGTTGTATATTTGATACTGTGAAACGTGAAAATATCTAGTCGTAGTGATGTGTTTTCGGGAAAATATTTATTAAACCACTGTGAAAGATCATGAAGATAACTGATTGTGGACTGTTTCCCAATGTTTTGACTGAACTCGTTTTCTTTGAGAAAATCGTTCAGCTCGGAAAACATATCCATTCTTCCATTTTCGAACGGGCAATCCAGTGAATTTTCTTTTTGAAAGCTTCGATCTTGTTATTCGCTTAGATATTTTGTCATTGTTTTCTTTTCGCTCAACAATCCTTTTTCTAATCGGCGGAAAAATGTATTGGTTTGTCAATGAATTTTGGATGCTTTGCTGTAAGATTCGTTTCAATTTCAATGCTTTCAGGCTCTCGTTGGCAAGAACATCGGAACAAACAACACATTGAGGACGTGACTCATCATTTATAAGAACACACGTGAAACCAAGCTTTATAAATTCTTCGCTGTACTTCCGCTTATAAAGATGGTTTGAGTGATGTATATATCCGATGAGGGTGAGAAGATGAGTCTTTTGTCGGGCGTTGATCCCACTGCTTGAAGACGCAAAGATGTTTGAAGGTGCATGCGGTGTTCTGTTCTCACTTAATTTCTCCTTTGTATCTCCCGCTCGTGTTTTTTTTTTGGAGTATTCTTCGGTAACCAGTTTGTCAACATTATTTGTGACTAAAACTACCTTTAAAATTCTTAACCCCGCTAAATTTTGAATTTAATCAGGAATGCCTTACAATAACAAATGTAACAGCACCCTAACTATTTAATTTAGAAGGGAAAATCTCATCATCTGTCCTTATCAAGCAATTCCACACGACTACTGCTAACCTCGCATTGCTACAAACAACACAATTATCTACGTAGTAGGATAATACTAATTAACAATGCAAACAACTGCGTAATGAATGTTTCCCCGACTTTCGATCCCGGCAAAATTCTCCGGCTTCATACTCTACCATTGCAAAATTATTGGTACTTATTTCAAGAATGGTTTTGCGAGTTGGCGCCTATATAAACCGGTTTATATGTTTCAAACTATCATTTTAATTCAATACATTCAACAACCTTACATTTAAATGTGCCGTATGGAAGTTTGGCTTAGTCTATCACAGCTATTTCTAGATTAATTTTTGATTACTGCATTAAAATAAAAACTCCGACAAAGCAAAATAAAAACTAAGAAATAGCCCGCGAAAACTGCCAAAATGAGGTAATATTCACAACCACGAAAAACTGTCTGAATGGTAAAAGTATCTGAGCGCTTCTGAAACGTTTATTGTTACGTCAAATCTTGCACTTATGCTGATTGGCCAATGTTACGGCAGTAAATAAGGAAGTGTATACTCGGGAAAACATCCATATATAATTATATTCAGAGATTTATAAAGTTGTTATACATAAATACGCTACACTGACGCGATGCTCATATTTATGGCACATTTAAATTGTTTTGCGACCCAGAGCGGAGGGCTTCGCGACCCAATTTCGCGACCCCGTAGTTGCGGACCCCTGCATAAGAAAGCTGCATATTAAGCCTTCAAAAATGAATTATTTCGTCTAGAATAGATTATAGAGATATTCAGATTCAAGGCTGTGGTGTCGAAAGTCGTATTTCCAAAATTATAGTGGCGGAAGAAATTGCAAAGTCTAATTCTTTGGAGTTGGAACTAAGAGTTTTGTGTTCGATTACATCAGCGACTAACATGCTATTACATATATATACATTGTTACTCGTCGATGAGAAAGGAACGAAATGTAACCCAGTGTACGAAATGTAACGAGGTTTGATATAATTTCACATTGGCCACTAGATGACGCCATGCCATCTCATTCAAACCGTAAGCAAAACAACAAGTTCAAATATATGCACACGAAAATCAAAACAGAATATTTTACCCATAAGTTTTCCCAAAATGATATATATTGTGTAGAGATGAGACTATGGAACGCCTACCGTACCTGGGTCCAATGTAGTTTGATACCACATGTATCTCTATTGGGCGTGGCGGGACAATTTTTGCATACGTCTTACCTAACCCCCACCTGACTACGTCGTCCAAACATTACGTCATTGCAACGAGTATAAAACCGTTTTCCAAAAGAAATAATAATATATCCTAATCTCATATTTTTCAGTCAAAGGCTTGTCCATACAAATGTCCCGTAGTCACACTACAAACACCGTTTGGCAATTTTTCTCATACCATCTACTGCCACATTGCTGCCGTCTGCTTGAAAGTTATACCAAGTTAGTTCATGACCAAAAAGTGATGAATTTCCCTATTACAAAACTAGTGAATTCCTTTCTTTATCGCAGTGTACTCAATTATGAGTAATTCCCAAATGACTTCCGGGAATTCAAAGAAACGGTCATGGAATTGGTATCAGCAAATGCCAAAAGATTTCGATACCAGGAAGGAAATAAAAACGTTGCGCATTTTCTCGACACGCGAGTTTGCTTGTTAGTTGACCTGGTGAAAACGACAAGTTTAATGCCACATAGCCAGAAAGATCGAATAATTGCAGCAAGTTGGAGGCATCAATAACGGTATTTATACCTTAGAAATACAGGTTTTGAACCATAGGCCTAGAAATACGTAACCTGTAGCTCAATTCTCTCAATAATTGGCGCCATAAACGAAGCAAAAACAATGTCTAAATGCTGGCGAAATCCGTAACTCATCTTCATATTAGGTTATTATAATTTTCAATTGGTTGGAGTACTCAAATTGAGTTTAGAGATTTTTTTGGTTCCAAAATTCTAATAAAATTACACGAACTATAGTCCTAGATTGTACCTATATATTTACGATTGTATCATATTCTCTGTACTCGATGTCGGAAATCAAAGTAAAAAGTTGACCATTGAATAAGGATAAGATTTACATATTTATCCCGGGAGAGAGGAAAGCCGATTTGACGACTTAACCATATGGGAACCACGTCCTCTCGTCCGGTTACCATTCCATGTCGGGTATGGGATTAGTTAGGTATTTGTTTTTCCGAAGCATGGACTTGATGGCGGAGGAAGCCGTATCCGACCAGCGGTTACGTGAACCACCCGATGGCATGCAATGGCCAATACTTATAGCCTCATGGTCAATATTAAATATCATAAATGACTGAAGATTGTTACTGTGTAATACATGTGCAGGTGTTACGTCACATTCTCTGCCTCGCATTTCAGTACTTCGTGATCGTCATATTATCATTGCGCTTTACAATTACAAATACAGTAGAGTTTTTAGAAAAATGAAACGTTCAAAAATAAACATTGGTGAATATGAATGCTATTATAAATGGTATACAAAACTGATTTGAAAATTCAGAAAAGCTCCTCGGTGTTTTAACATATGTATTTGACCTCCAGAAGTATGTGCACCAAGATGGCGCACAACCTGAACATAGCATGTGTACAGGTTAGGCTTCAGGTTGTGCGCCATAGTATGTGTACCAGGTCAGGGTTCAGGTTGTGCGCCATCTTGGTGCACATACTTCGGGAGCGAATGTATTTAATATTTATTGAAAAATGTAAGTTACTAACTTAATGTGTCCTTATTTTAGATTCAAAGACAATTGATATATCATCGCCAACTTTCTGCAATTATATAAACCAAAGAATAATTCAATTATCTAACTGGTTTTCGAATTTAGGAAATCATGGTAAAGACTAAAAATCAAAGCAGTGCTAATATGGAGGACGAGAGAATGTCGATGAATTCCTTGGGAAATCTCCATGGTCGAGTAGATTTCTTCGGAATTGAAACCAGGAGAGCAAACAAACCCATATGTGAGCCTCTATTTATATAGTTTAACAGAAAGACTAATTTAATTCAAAAAACGAAAAAATGTTACGAGTGATTACTTGAACTAATTTCTGTCGTTGAGTGTTTAATCCCGACATGGGCAAACTACGTCCCGCGGGCCAAATCAAGCCCGTTGGGCACTGTAATCTTGCCCGCCTGATACTGTCACAGTCAAACTAAAACCAAATTTGATGTTTTAGCTTAAATACCTCAAGGAACTTGTTGAGATTGCGATTAAATTTAGTTTTTACACAGAACATATTGTTTTCCGCATTTGCTTTTGTAACGCTGTAAATATTGTTTATAAAATGTAACTTTTCACGTCACACTCACATGGCCCGTCAGTCTAGATGGGCAAAATTTTTGGCCCCTGGTCAAAATACCTTGCCCACCTTGTTTAACCAGTAGTCTACATCAGCGGCTCATCCTAACCCGTAACATACCATGGATTCCACTTCATACGCTTACTTTTACTACTTGATCCACAATTGATTTAAACCTAATTGAAAACAGTAGAATGAGTATAGTAAAGTGTACTAAAAAGGGGACAAATGAGACACCAGTTTTAAGGACATCGTCAAGCAGTAAAAATTTATCCATCTTTCCATTTATAACAATGCTAATCACGCGAATATTTGAAATTGAATGCTCGTCCCAGAATCGAAAGCATATCTTAAGCCGTTTCGAATCGATTTTATCTAAACCTCCTTAAAATTCTGAAAGAAAAATAATTCCATTTCATTTCTGAATATATCATTGTTTTGGCCGAAATAGGAAATATTTTCTTATTTACTTTCCCGCGCGTTCAGACAATTAGAAAATGATAAATAATGTTAATGCGAACTTCCTTTACTAGCTCACGTACCGGACAGATGACTCAGCGAAGTATATAAACCACAAATTCAATAAACATTCATTTCCATTAGTTGATATTTGTTGTTAAACTGTAGAAAGGAAATTTTAACCTGAATGCCTGTATTAGGTATTAAACCAAAATCGCGGCTTGAAGGCACGTTTGTGAGCGTTTTGGAAATAGCTGACAGTTTTTTTCGTCCAACACTATTCATGCGTAATAAATTGGTTAGGCTTAGCTCTATTGTAACCGCTTTGCTTCTTGTTTGAATCATATAACTACAATACAAAATACGATGACAAAAAAAAACAGAATTCAATAGTTTATCGGGCTAGCAAATTTTCCAACAATCGGTTTGCAGTTCTGAATAGCTTAAAAAATACATGGTGTGGCAGTAGTTTCCATCAAGTACGCCACAGACTACTATTTCTTTTGGAATTTTGATCAAAATGTTCAAGTGCATATGTATCAAATTGTTGTCCTGTTTTGCACTTTTTATTCGTAATCATTATTAAACCTAAAATATATTTACTTCCGTTGATTGTAAATAATTCAACAGGACGAATATTGGGCCATATATATTTATTTTTAACTCCGATACCTAGTTATTGTGAGAGGCTTCAAGAAACAAGATGGCCACGCCAGGTACGTTAAAAGATATCAAATGAGAAATTTATTCACTTTCTTTCTTTTTAAATTTAGGAATATTCTAAAATATATAAAATAATTAAAAATATAGAAAGCTCATGTTACTAATGAATCATCATGTTTGCCAGCTTCTATGCCATGGCAAGACGCCTAGGTAAACAATTTGGATTTATGATAGATATGGAGTAAAATAAATACACGTACGATGCACAACTTGCAATATCAAATTACTCTTGCTATTTGTAATTGCGATTATTGATAATCATACGATATTTTATTTGTTTTATTAGTATCGATAAGTGTCGTAGTTATTATAATTATTTTTTCATATTGCAGATCAGAAAATGAAAGTGATGCAAACATGGATATTTATCCAAAGTGTGGCAACAACGTTGATGATTGCATACCTTATATTATTAACAGGTACCTACCATTATCTTGCAAGCCATGTTCCTTAATATATTCGCTTTCTAGTAAATTGGTTGGGCCCAGAATTACTCGATTATTTATTCGAAGATAATTAATTTTCAATTCTATTTTTGAAATTGAGGTAAAAATGCGACCAAAACGAGGTGACGAGGTTGCCTAAATCTTAAATGTGCCTGATTGCTATAGTTTTTTTCGAATTTCTATGTTTTTATTTCTAATTTTAGGCGGTTTAAAATTTCAGTTTTCTTACTCAATCGAATCTTAAAATATATAATGTCGAATTGCACTCAAATTTTAAATATGATTTCCTTTTGGTTGATGCAGGCCCACAAAGGCAAAAAAAAACGGTATTTTAACATGTGTTGGGCATACCGTGCTTCCCAGAAAATAAGAAAGACTGGGTTGTATTTCAATTTTCTTCCAAAAACTAACACTAGGGCTTTTTGGGGGGGGGAAGGCTTATATTTTCATGTATCAAAAACAAAATTACAAAGTAGAAAATTACGAGATTTTCAAATATACAAAATATGAAAACCGATAATCATTTACATGTTTTATTCAGCATAACTGCAAAACATAGATTATTAATCGTTTAAAACGTGTAGAAGAAATTTCTTGCTATCGACTAGGTCAAACAAAAATTTGCGTTGTTGACTAGGTCTTATTTTGAGGGGAGGGCTTATATTAAAATTAGTTCAACATTTCAGGTAGGTCTTATTTTCGGGGAAACACGGTAGCTCCTCTTGAATGGTATAGTACCGATATTAGAAATATTTCGGAAATATGCATAATAGTGAACTCATTCGGCCCCAAATATGTGCTGGAACAATTGGAGTCAGTCAGGCCATGTGTAATCGTCTTTAGCGACTTCGAATTGAATTTCTGATGCAATTATTCATGAAAAAGTTACTGCGAAAATTTTTCTACCGCGTAACAAAAAACTTTAGTGCATACAATTTACATTACTAATACAGATTGTTAACAGAAGTGTGAATCGACGAAAATTTCCCTCCAGTAACACACAATGGAAGCTTGAAAAAGAAATAGCTTGTAAATAGTAAATTGTGATCTTACGAATCGGGAATTTTGCTGAGAGACATTTTTTTCATATGAACTAAATTGAATCTTTGTGCTACATAAAATAATTCTCATTCGATTTATATGTACGGTAACAAATTTAAATTAAAACAACAGTTCGGTGTGTTGGTATAGCACTATGATGTAACACTGACTACTTTTTGAAATCTGATGATATCTAATTTGTATTCAAATATTGTTGTGCTAACCATCATTCTTTTTAGTGTGGCTTGCTCCGTTCTTTCCAATGAACTACGACACAGATGATGATGTCGATGATAATACAGCTGCGATATCGAGTTTGCAAAGCAATCTAAACGAAACTGACGGTAGTACTCTAACAGATTATTCAATAGACTAGTGATTTTCGCCGTCAAAATTCATCTTGCCACTCACAATGCTCCAAACGAAACCAATTGCGATAGTCATTTGATACGAACTTAAGTGATTAAAAAATCTTTGTTGCTACCGGTATCTCTACCGGCACCAAGTTGGCGGCACTAACTATAGGGCATTTCCAAAAACTTGTAACGCATTGTTGTGATTTGGTTTGATAATAATACTAAAGTGAGTGAGCAAATATCCTAGAATCATGAAAAAAAATTGTCTGAAAATCTTTTAAAATCGTGGGGACCGCCATACTATCCGCATGATATATAAATCGTTGTTGTTGTCTTTGTTGTTGTCTTTGTTGGGGCGTTTGGACTTTTTGTGGTAGTTGTTGATGTGTAAAATCGCTTTTATGCAAAACGAATGAGGGTGATTCGATTGACCAAAAAATAAGGATAAAAGTTCTAGCGACTTCATTTAATTTTGAGTCCTGAAAATGTTGTCCTTCCACTTTCGTGTTTATACATATTCGAGCATTACTGGATAACAGCAAAATGAACTTTACGTCTTATGTGATAGTATTCCTTTATTTTAATTTAGAGCAAGTTAACAATAATACAAATAACATCGATGATTTGGAAGAATGGAGGACGGATACCGATCGAGAAATCGATGAAATGGTGAATTATTATGAATATGTCCATCATACAAATCTTCATCAAAGTATTTGCTACTAACTACTAATATTCTCCATTTCTTCATTGTTACTACTATAATGCCCATTTATGCGCACATAAACGATTTGAACCGTACAAAGGCGCGAGTGCAACTAGCGCATAGCACTATAGCTGAGGGTTTTTTGAATATGAAACAAATAAGGTAATTTTAATGCATATTGTGGTAGATGTAAACTGTTCAAAATAGGCGAATGTGGGAATTTAGCGAAAAGGGTTGGGAACCAATGCGTTAGACTATTGCACCTTTATATATATATCCTAAGTGGACAATTCAAAATAGAATAAACAAATAAAAACCCACTCAGAAAGATATCCAACTAATTCAATGACAACACAAAATACCAGATCGGAAAAATAGTAGTGCAATGATAACCTCACCCTACGATGACACAAAATAGACTTGTTTGGCTTCAAAATCATTTGTAAGTGACTTATGATTAATTTAATTACCGAAAACAATATTTCAGCGACCATTTATGCAAACATAAACTATTCCAGTCATCAACACAACACAATGTGCGCATTCTCCCTTTCCGCGACATCACGTGACGCAGTTTGGTTTCAGATAAACAAACAACATATCATTTGCTACTAATATTGCTCTGATTACCACATCAAAAACGATCATTCGATAAAGTATAAACCCTTTTCACCGACAAGACAAAGTTCAGCGTATAGGTTGCACAACAGCTCTCAGTTCAAATCAACAATAGGCCCTTGTTTATGTGCTATAAATTGCGGGTAATGCAGAATGGTATTAGGGGGAAATATGAAGTTTGATGACGCTATCGATTTTCAAAGGCAAATATAGAAATTTTGTTTATAATTACATTAAAATTATTCTAAAAAAATTAACATGTCGGTAAAATGGACACATATATATGTTCTCAGAAACTTTTGTATGACAACTGCTTTTGCCGCCAAACCATACACTGAGTATGTGTAAATTATGTCTTTCCCAGAATTTGATTTTAATTGATGAATATTGTACGCTGCAAGCATATTATATAATTTTGATTTCTAAGTCTTGCTTCATAGTAAGTGTTTAAAAGTTCTGTAATTTCACACTAATGACCTATTATTATTTTTTTCATTTCAACAGAATGCTACAATTAACTATCAACAAGATGAAATTGACGAATTATACAATCAAACCGATTACTTAAATCAAACAGTCATCGAGCTTCAATCAGAAATTTATGTGTTGGAAAATAAAGTAAGCAAAAATATCTTGATATGAATTATATATGTTTTTATGATTTTTGAGTTATTACAATGTTGTTTGCAAAGCTGTGAACAGCGACATTTTTTACCTCACCAGTTACCGGAGATTTGATTTGACAGTCAAGTGTATTATAATCCCCGATGCCAAAATGCGATATTGACATGCGACGGTTGGCTAGTGATAAGCTACTATAAGGAAGTGATATAAATAAATAATGGAAACCATTTGTGGTATTTATTTCAACGATACATTGTTTGGGAAGACAAATATATATAGTCCTGTTCTTATACACATATGTTTTCAAATCTCGGTAATGTAGACATGGCATATATCGCCGGATGAGAACAGAAGGGGCCTAAGTCACAATTTTTGAAATTTCACTTTTTTCAATATTTTGGGGTTTTGAGCCATGGACTATAATATTGGACTATAATATTTTGTAGAAGTTAATTAAGAACAGAATAGGCCTAAGTTCTAATATGATGGACATGGGCATCAGAAATAAAATGTCCGAATCTTACTTCTCTGAGAATTTGTTCAGTGCAACTAAGTCACCTAGTTTTACCTTGCATCTCATACAAAAAATTTCCGTTGTTAAAACAGAATGGGCCAAAGTTCTTTATGGAGGTAAAAAACAGAACGGAAGTGCCAAAAAATATTGATTACAAAGATATTCTCATTCACATTAAAATAACGAGAGCTCAGGTTTACTAAGTGTGAATATCTAAAAATTCAAAAATAACGAAATTTAGAATGGTTTTTTGCGTTATTTTTAAAACTCTAAATTGTGACTTAGGTCTGTTCTGTTCTAATTCGGCAATATATAGATATATTGGTATGATGAAAATGATGACATTGAAACCGAAAACATCAGCTGAAAAGTTCCATGTATATGCCATACAAACTTGGGATGGACAAGTAGACATTTGCAAGCGCAAATTGACGTGTCTTAAATTCTCGATTCGCAAGTACTTGGGTATTTTGGTATCCATAATAAATTGTTTCCTTGATAATGAAGAAATGAACTTATTGAGAAATTCCATATTGTACTTCAAAAAACATTTATGAATTGACATCCGATTTCTTAAATATATAAAGCCTTAGTGTACTACAGATCAAAATTGTTTTTCGAACATTTTTAGACACGTTGGCAACAAATTGAAATTATCGCACTTGCAGTACGATTGGCTGAACTGGAAAAGCAACAAATCGCGTGAGTATACCGTGCAAACAGGAACATTTATTTATTTATCGCTTCCAAGTGCTGAGCAATGAGAGGTCGTCGTCTAGCTATTCATGTGTACCATGAAGATGAGATTTATCACAAAAATATACCCACGGGTTATAAAGTACATTGGTTGGTACACATAAAAAAATTGGTTGAAATAATCAAACGATAATGTCCTGAAAGTCCGAAATATCATCTTTTATCAATTAATTCATTTATACTATTGAAGCGATGAATCTGCCCCGTGAATACTTTCCGAAAATGACCGAGGTGCTAGAACATATTTGATTTATATGGTCCTCAATAAACAATACTTAATTTGGAGACGAGAATCGATGGTTTTAATATTTCTCTCTCTGCATTTAGGAGGCCTTTATTTTCATTTCAATACTCAAATTTGTTATTACATTTCCAGGAACGCTGTAGATGCTGCAGCTGGGATCGCTCGAGCTGACAGAAGAGCTGTTGAGTATGATCGGAGGATTACAGAATTGGAATGCTTCGATAAGAAAATTACAATTCAAGTTGATGACTTGAGTAGTAGCACTAAAGAGCAGTTTTGTAACGTGACTAAATCATTGGGAACAATATCCGGTCAAGTGAGGGATAATCAAGAAATAAACGATGTAAGATTTTTGAATAACAGAATGTGTATTGAGAGAGCTTCGCAGTATTTCTGAAAAGGATAGTTTGCATACTTTGAATACCTCCAATAGAATAATTACGTCAGTTTCGTCCTAATAACAATATGTATGTAACCAACTGCGAAAATTTCATTTTCATCGATTAACATAGCCTTCGATATCGAATATTCAATTAACGAAAGCTAAGCAAAACCCTGCATTATTTCTTGGCTGACGTAAATGACTTATGCAAAGTTTGAAGAATAGATATTATAATGAACAATACAAAAATTACGATATACTTCACTTTTGATTCGCTGCTATTAGTAAATGAATTGGTGAATAAAAAATTTCAGACGAAATGCGGATTATGTGGAAAAAATATTCAATTTTAGCTACACTCAGAATCTTTCTTTTTCTCAGATTAGGGACACGATCACAACGGCAAAATTTGAAGAAGTGAATGACACACTTACTCAAATATTATCTGATATTGACAGTATCGAAACTCAGCAAGACGTTGATGAACAAAAGCTGCAAGACCTAAACGAGGTGAAGTTGCAATTCAACATTCAAGTAGTTGTTGACTAAATTTTAGTAGAATCAGGCTTTGTTGAGAAGGCGGTAAGATGACCTCGGCTTCAAGCTCTACATCGTGACGCTATTGGTTATTCTTTACCTACGACCTCTTGACTTACGAAAACGTGAATAACATTCTCAAAAAAATTGCACAAAGTCGAACATGGCAGTCAATATCAATAATCAGTAATTTATTTCCTCACAATACTGAGAATACGAACTATACTTACACAAATTTAAAAATATCGCAGTTCAGGGTGAAAGAAGACGCCGGAAACCAAATTTCATTCTTTGAAAGCGCTATTTATTATAATAAATAATGAATTCCGCTAATCATATTATCACTATTCTCATAACGTTAAATGAAAAGGAAAATTGATGCAGCTGAACCAAAACACACTAAAAAAGTGGTAAAATATCCTAGGACAAACTTCAAGTAACCATGCCTCAAGTGTTGTTTGAAAGTCATACCACGTGGTTTGAATTTTTGTTATTTTTCAGACATTTATAAACGAAACACAGGATCTTCAAAATCAAATAACAGAGTTACATAATTACACAGTGCAAGTTGCGGGAAATCTTGAACAAGCGATTGAAAATCAGATCGACCATGCTATATGGGCTGTTAACAGGTAAAAAAAATTGTTCTTTACTATAACGTTTTTATTTATTTATCTCGAACCAGGATTTTAGGGTAAAAACAAATGAAACAAATAGGACCGGTGTTTTTCTCACAAAATGCTATTGATAAAACTGTTTTTGCGGATGACCTGCTTTATAAGGACGTTTGTAAAAGGTATGGATAGTACAGTACCTAAACCTTCTATACGTACTGACTATCTCGTCCGTATTTTATATGCCTCAAGTCTCGTGGACTTACTTACGGAATTACTTGGTGGTCACTTGGTCAGTCGTTTATGTTAACATGGCATTGCATAGTAAATTTTAATTTCTGATCATTGTAGTAGTGAGAAACAACGTCTGTCATCTTTCTCTTTATGCGGTCCTGTTGAAGTGTAATTGTTATATTATACGATACGAATATTGCATTCATGACGTTATTGATTTGTGCAAACATGAAGTACAAATTGGTCGAAGATTTGTAAATCCCGGGTTGATTTATAAATAGTCCATTGCTGAAGAATATCGTTCGACCTCCAACATTCTGATTTTCAGCTTCAAAGAGCAGGACGATATGAGAGAAGCTGCAATAGAAGCAGAACGTATAGAAAGGGAATCTGGATTGCTGAAGCTTCAGTGTTCACTAGATGAAGTAAATCAAACATTGAACAGCAAAATCGATTCAACCGAACAATATTTGGAGGACTGGACCATGCAACAAGTTAACTTAACAAGACAAATGTTAGAAGATGACGTAGGACAATTGCAGAGTCTTGTGGAAGACACAAAAGTATGTTAGAAGTTGGGACATTTCGAAACGAACCATTGTAAATATTGATTTTGGCCGGCATAAAATGCACAAAATGTTTTTAGTGAGTAATGATGATAATAAGGACCTCCTGAAGTATGCGCACCAAGATGGCGCACAACCTGAGCTCAGGTTGTGCACCAGGTTAGGGTTCAGGTTATGCGACATCTTGGTGCGTATACTTCAGAATATGATGATAACTATTATTTCATATTTGAAATAATCTTATTTTTTTTACCATTTGACAATCCATTTCAAAAGTTGAACACTATCCCACATATGGTTGTTACAAATTCTCATAAATCATATATCATTAAGTTATCAGAGTATACCAATACAGATAACAATTTGTGAGAAATATTCAAGTTATCTTCCTTTTAGATTCGATTTTTTAATGCATCTTCATTATTGATCTGCAACATATATATATATATAAAAAAAATAACCTTTTCTTGTACAGATTAACATGACCAAACTCATTGATGCCACTGCAGACAATTTACAAGAAGAAATAAATGAAACCAACATTGTCGTAAAGAAAGAAGCAGCGACAAGAGAATTACAATACGTTCATGTGAGTTCAAGTCAATGATTGTGATATACTCGTTGGCAGGACTAATTTTCGTCCTCTCGAGATTAGCACCTGCGAAATTTTTATTCCGATTCACAACTCACGGTGAGACAAAAAATATTTCCTACGCCAGCTCTTCCCCAACTACGGCATAGCACAATTGTTACAGCTGAAACTTTGCGTTTGAAAAGATTTGTTGTCTCTTTTAAAAATTTAGACTCAAACTATTCAGTTTTAGAATTGTGAAATTCATACTTGAAGTGTCGAAGCCAAATTTTGATTCCGGTTCCGACTTTGGGAAATTTTAAAACAGAGATTTGACCCCGACTACAAACCAACCGACCCTAGGTTAAACTTTTATTTCCTCACTAATTTGTTTGTTCACAGTCCCATTGATAGCTAGTGCGTTTTGTGAAGGCGAAAATGTTGGCGTGCAAGCCTACACTGTATATTTGACGTTATGATGAATGATTACATTGTTAAAAATATAATTTTGTTTTTAGTTATGTGATCAGATTCATATTGTGAACGCGGAAGTCAATGAAACCAACGAAGCTTTGGCGTCAAACGTTATAATTTTCACTGACGACATAAATCAACTTAACCAATCAGTAGAGGATCTACAAACAGTATGTTCAACAATTTTGCAAAATTACTTCTTTTTGAATTTACAGCACAAAACGAGGTCCAATGTATTCAATTGCATGATGCTGTATGTACTTCCTGTGGAAGATTTCCCATTCAATACAGTTTTATAAAACATTTTCCTGGAAATAGAAAAAATATGACATGAGGGTTAAATAATATTCAAGAATTAAACAATTTTTACTTGCGGATGAATACAAATTCAGATGGCTGTCATTCATAACATAAGTATACTGGTTACCCAGATAATTTGTATCTTGTCCAGCGCTCCCACCTATTTCGTTTCGTTGATTTTTATTTTTCTGCAATACAATTTCAATATGTGGAAAATTCCGTTATTTAAAAAAAGCTTTCATAAGAGAAAATAATAAAGACATTGTATATAGTAAACAAACATGAGAGATACTGATATATTGACGCTGAACATGTTATTTTTATGCTTATTTAAATAAATCGGGTGGCAACTGACTCTGATGACCCCTAAAGGTCGTATCTTTGCCTCCCAGTCATGTATTGAAAACGTCTGTTTATTTGATATTTATATATGTATGTATATATTGTTTTCTGGGTTTGACGAAATAAACTCTCTCTCTTTCTCTTTCTCTGTCATATATCCATTCCTCTTCCTAACTGTAATTGGTTTTCAAGATACAAGCAAACCACACCACTGAAATAAAAGTTCTACAAGACGGGTTGTTTGACCATGAACTAACATTTGTCATGACACAACGATCAACGACACAGAGTCTTATTCAACTTCGAAATGAAACCTGTGAATTGGTGAGTATATTGCTTATACGTCTCTGGACGCTGTATATGTATGCACCTACATCCATGTCATCACAGATTTCAATCGACTTAAAAATTAGATCGCAGAAACGTATTCTAGCATGAAATAGTACTATGCAACGAAACTCGCACTATATACAAGTGCCCTCCAGAATTCGTACTAGGACTCAATGTCACCTTTACACGCGAATGGATGGATATTCATATATATCAAATTATTTTTTACTTTTTGAAATTTAGTTCAAATTTCTGATATTAGTTGAGTAATCTCCGAATCCATTTTAAGCATTGCTTTTTTGCTGTAGATCAGATAATCCATAGGTTTTGGGGCTCTGTAATTTTAAAAAAACAATTTTTAACTCAAGGCAACTTTTATGCAGCAAAACGAAATTTCATCGATGGAAAAGGAGCATAAATTATTTGATAACAGAATGGATAATGCAGATAAACGACTTACTGCTAATAGACGTGAATTCAAAGAAGATATCGTGAATGTCAAGGCGGACTTCACCATTGTAAGTTCGTTCGATATTGCGAAACAGATGTTTTACTGGAGCCAACAAAGGTTTCAATGTGTTTGCTGTCGCCATGTGCTTCTTTACGACTTTAGTTATTTTGACACTTCATTTTAACCAATGTACGTACAGGTACAATTGCTTTTAAACTTTCACAGTGGCTAGTAAAGCGAGTAATTTCCACATTGAGATGTTATTTAAAATGTTTCATCAGTTTCTAGGGGGAAAGTAGAAGTGCCCATATTAATATATATATATGTGTGAATGCACATAGCCATCAAATACGACTGTGAAATATTGGATGATAAATTAATTATTTTGACAAAATACTACTTCCCTTAGCTTATTTCAAATATCTCATAAGGGATTTCGTTTATCTAAATTCTCTTCCACATTGCTATCCATACACTGTGGATATTCCAGCTTTTGGGCGAAGTTACTAACCATGAAATTCCCGGTTTGTGGGATTTCCCTTCCCTGCAGATGCCACGAAGTGTTTGTAGTTTTTTTATCAGTCGCTATCTAATATCATCTATTTCTATATTATCATTAGTCTTTTATCAGTAAACTTTTTGGTTTTAGTTGAGTTTATATAGCTGTTATATATTCCTTTTATTTAGTCTATCGCATTACTGAATCAAAGCAACAACGATGCTCTACAAAGTGCCATAGATGCAGAATTAGCGGTTGCACAGCTTGTAACAGATCTCGGCGAAAAGTAAGTAGAACTTCTGCTGTAATAAATGGAAATAAAGGCAAAAAGTACGGCTGGCTAAGCAAAATTTATTATTATTAAAACTAAAAAATTATTTCAATGTATACAAATTTATGAAATATTTCATTTCGTTTTTTAAGCATTCCCGAATTATATGCTGCAATTATGTCAATATTGCCTGAAGCGGGTACTCCAAGGCCCACCGGAGCACCTCCGCCGGTTACGCGTCCTGTCGCCGAAGCCGATTTCCAGCCACCACCTGTAAGTTTGTAATAAATATCTATGTCTGAATAGAAAATATTGTGGAAGATTCCTTTTGTATATATTAAAGTTTCCATTAGCACAGTGGTCCCTAATCTTTTATGGGTCTCGGCCCCCTTCTGGCGCCCAAAACTGGACGTTTCGGATTGTGTTGTATTTTTACGACCTTTTATGGAATGCAAAAACAACCAGAGACAAAAAAGTCCAAGCTTCTTAGTATACGACTAAGGAAATTTTGCCTCACAAGGTTTTTTATATTAGGCACAGTCTTTAACTCTTTGAACTCTGAATCCCCAGAACGATGCTACTCTCTCACCCTGACCTCCCACGGCGTCGCATCGATTTGACGCGTTAAAAAATTGTAATATCCCTAACTTTAAATCAAAATAACTTCTAAACCATTAGATATCAGATGGTCTGTAATATATCATATAAAAGCTTATCTAGTCTTTTATTTTTAACTGGCATTATTTTTCACGAGATGTTTTGATGAGATGTGTAAGCCTATTTGTAGCCCCATCTACAATTTTTTTGTATTTTGGTAATATTTAATACATTTCTTAGAAATGTATCATCAATATAAGTACAATTTTGAAAAGTATACAAAATTACCTTTCGGAGAATATACGTATGACTTTCTTATCTTACGCATAACTCATTTTATTGCAGAATTTGTACTATCGATTCAAATGGTTTGCGAACAAAATTTATCAACTATTTGACGCCAAGTTTGCGTAAGGACGCAAAGGGCGACGACGACATTGTCGTGATAACGTTCATGCGACGGATCGTGCGTAACTCTTTGCGTGAGGTATATTGCGCAATTGCACATCTGGTCGTTCACAGCTTGAGTGCAGATTGTGTCTTCATTGCATTAGTATCATATCCTCGGCCGCAGATAAAACCCTTTCAGACGGATTTTGATCGAACATAGTAAAATTGCTAGAATATAAAGGCCATTTTATATACGTTTACTATTTGGATATGGGACGAAAATGAATGGCCAAAACGAAATATTTGATCCTCATGAATTTATGAGGTATTTTATTTTTAATTTACGCCGGAAACATCAAGGCTAATTATTCACCGTTGGATATCATGAAGATTGAATAAAAAAAAACTGATAACGGGTACACGGAAGACATGGTGGCACCAGTAGCTCACCTGGTCAGTGTTTTACATTTTGCAGCCTCATTAGATTTTCGAAATTACTGCATATACGCTACATTCCTGATATCGCTATATTTACAATGGATTTTAAACGAAAGCTTTGTCCAGATGAAATATTGGATAGTATTCATCTATCGGAAGAAGAAAATATGGCACAATAAAACTGAGCAATGGCGCTAAACAATGCATCCATCGATATGTTCCATCATTCTGTTTTTAAAAATCCTTATTTTGGCTATTCGTATTTTCCATATCTTTATGCAATTAAAACGGCAATAACACTGCGTATTGTGTGTTTTAGTCGAACCGATGTAATGCGTAAATTTCCCCGTGTATCGTTTACAAGTCGTAAGTCGCTTCACGAATACGAACTTAAGTAAATGACGTTACGAGCATGCGAGGAAAAGTGTTTCTCGTATGAAACGTAAACGTGCTACGTGCCAACGTAATTGCTTAACGTCGCTGCGTAACGGCGTAAATGTGTTAGGTCGTTATTTACGTCACCTTGACGTCGCCTCGATCTTGCGACAAACAAAATCACGAATAAAAATGCTTCTAAAATTTGAATGGTGCAACATAAGTTCAATCTAATGGTATCACTGGAAAGCTATCTTCAAATTCTACAAATTTTGTCGATAATGTACTAGGTTTAATCGAAAACAAATTTAAGTTTTGTCAATTAGATTTGAGCAATTTTCAGAAGTTTTTTATGCTTTTTAATTTTGCCAATTTTCATAAGATGATCACAATATTTTATCTCAATTTTAAAATTATACTTAGTCCTGTAGATTATCTTCCACACGATGTAAAACTTGTCTAAATATAATAAATGGTTCGCGAGATATGAGGTTTCAAAGTTGCATACCTCTTACGGGATGCGAAAGCCGCTAAACCGGCTTTCAGCGTCAGAAGACTTTCTCGGGAAAGCCGGTTTAGCGGCTTTCAGGGTTCAAAGAGTTAATACAGGTAGACAAATGTCACTGTGAACATCAAAACGGTTTTCAGATTTTGTTTTGATGGTAACAAGATCAGAAAAACCAGATTCGTACATATAGACTGTGACAAATTATACTATCAGTGAAGAAGTTTTTTGTGCTAAGCAAGGTGTAAGAATACGAAATGCCACTCCATAGCTACATTCAAAAGCGGGCTTTCCCTCCGGCAGAACCCCGAATTCGGCCAATGTTGCTTTCTTGTCAAATCTAACTTGCTTGGCAGCCAAGAAACCGATGCCAACGTCTTTTACCCGGAGATAAGTTTTGTCACAATGGTTTTGAAGTTTAGATGGGCGTAATGATTCATTGCTCGTGCTCTGTCATCTCGATTTACTTTGGTAAAGCCAAAGCCAATGTAACTTTCATTCCATTTTTGTTGAACTCAGTGAACTCCTGGACGGGGGATTTTATTTAAAAAAAAAAGTATGCAAATGAAGTTGCTTTATGATCAATTGTTGGCCTTGTATCGTGGCCCCTTGGACTGCTTCGTGGCCCCCTTGAGGGGCCATCGGCCCCCGGTTGAGAACCACTGATTAGCATATCTGTTCCAAACAGGGTAATATTTATAAATGGAGCTCGCTCATTGAAAAGTTTGTAACTATGCGGCGAGAGTGAGTAAAAGAATTCTATGTAGACACAAAACAGGCGTTTCTGATTTAAAATTTCATTTTTACCAGGGTACAACTGATGATGCGGGAACTTCTGACCACGATTATGATTATGGTAGATACAACTTCAAAGACTCAGAATAATGAAGTAAATTACTGATACTCAGACAATATCAGCATTCCACTACCACTTTGCCTTTCAACAATACTTCCAAACGCGTTCGCAAACAATAAATACCATCATAGCCACTGATATTGAAATAGATCGGGTGCAATAGATGCACTGTTTTCGTGATATAGAGAATTTACTTTCATATAGCGAAATAGCAATATCCATTCCTCTCAATTGTTGACAATTTTGTCAGCGATGATTTCTGGCGCTTTAATCGTCATTTTACTGAGATATATTGATTTCAACAAGTAATGGGCTAACTACACATATCACTACTACTTGGACTCCTGTCAGTTAGGAAAATAGACTACGTATATTGATATCAATATCTGCCACACTGAATTCCGCCTATAAATTTGTCAAAACCAAGTACCGTACAAATCGGGTCATACAGTATATATGATTGTTCTGCTTTTTTACGTATTAATATTATTTATTATTGAATTATTTTAATCACTGTTTACACATATTGTCATCAATAAATGCGCGTATTCTAATCATTTTTGTTTATAAAAATATTTTTTTGTTTTAGTAGTAGAACGTATCACAAATATTTGTCGTTTTGTCATTTCTGAATCTTTGACATTAAACTCTGTATTGTGTCAACGTGTAAACAAAATTTTGATGCCCACAAGTAAAAGTTCGTCGCAATGAAAGCAATCGAAAATATATCGTGCAAAACGTTTGCCTCGCTAGCGGTACATTGCTTTTGGCGTTTCTGGAAGAAGACTGCGAGCACGGCCCATTTACCATCAGGCAGGGTCGACTGAAGCTTAGGGGCCAAAGCTAAAGCTCCAGTAGTCTTGACATTCCATTTAAAATTATTCATTTTAAGTCCCTTTTCAATTGACAGTATATAAAATGAAGACGTACAGCACTTATATAAGGATAATCCAAGGTTGCCACATATCTATGCATATGAATTACCGATTAACGTTTGAAATGCTATGGTAAATTTTTTCAATGGTTTCAAAAGAGTTTGTGATGGAATTACACTCTGGTAGTATTGTATTTATCCACCGCCTCTTAATCGTATCAAAGTTACTTCCATCAGCTTAAATTGTCATTTCAGAATTCTAGATTTAAATATTGTTTTTCCAAACGGCTTTGTATGCAGAAACATAATTAACTGCAGTAGTATCTAACTAATTATCTATATCCCCCAATATACGCTACACCGCCCTCCACCTTTTTGGTTCATACATTTACGAAATATATCTCTGTTACACTTATAAGTTGCAAAAAATGAATCTATTGTTATGTCATGAACGTTGTAGCTTACTATCAGTTTGCGTAAATTCGTCAATTTAAGGGTTAGCAAAAAAATACTGGACCCTCAGGTCAGGGGTTCGCCATCCATGTTATGTATAACGATACGCGGATGCATGCTGGTTACATTTAAACAATAGCCAGTTAGTTATTCACTTGAAACTCACACCTCTTTTGAAATGCTAGATATTGCTGCGAGTAATATCGAAGTAATGAACACCGAGCCTTTGCCGATTTTTGAAGGTTTTGTTTGTCAGTTTGCTGTAGCTTTCTTTTATGTCAGAGTGACCAAAATAAAAACGATTGATGTTTGATTATATGTTTCCTTTATATCACAACTTTGTTCACAGATCAACGGCTTAATCCTATTGTGTACCATGACTGCTGTCCGGATCCTGGTGTTGGCAGAGAATGCGGCGAATGATACATATATATCGATTCAGATTTAATACATAATTTAACATGTCCTGTATGCATGGAACAAATTTTCCTGAAAGTTGCCAACTCTAATCGATGAAAACAGAAAATATTATAATATTAACGCTATTAATTTTAATGCTATAATATTTCGTAATTCAACAGAATGGAACATCATTATGAAAAATAGTGTTGTGATAAATCGAAAAATGATCTGTGGTATAATAATTTTTCCAATTAGAAAATCACTTTGCCACAATATATATAGGGTGCCCATGAAGTCTTAAAATTGCAAAGGGAATTTATAGATACCATATATTGTTTTGGCCCTAACAGATGTATTAAATAAAGTAAAAATACTGATTATAAAACAACCAAACCTGGTTAAGATACATTGAGAACTGACTTCAAAACAAAATTGAAATTGTAAAGAGACTTTACGGACACCCATATCAAGGGAGTCATTCTAGGTACATAAAGCTGCAATTAATAAGAGAATATATAAGCATAGATACAATTCATTTCTATCACTTGTGTAGATGAATGAAATCAGGAAAAACATAGATTGCACATACAGTGTTGATTAAAATATCACAAATATTTTCAAATTAATTATCTTCTTCTTCAAGTTGAAGTTTAGCAGCTTGTTCACTCTTATGAACTTGCTCTCGTATGATTTCTCTCAACCGCTGAATTCTCGCAAGTCTTGTACTTTCACTTCCGCTACCGGGTCGACTCCTGTGCAGTAATTCTACAGCTTGTACATAATCATCTTCTTCAAATTGAACTCCCTGTTCGACCACTATGCTCTGAATGGGAAAATAAGTACTTGCTGATGATATTAGTAAAAGATATTGTTTGATTGGTACTTGGTGCTAAAAGTCTGGAACGAGCTTGCCATTGCATCCCTGGTTACCCTGCACACGTTTGAACCTTGTCGGGGTATCTGTGCGTCGAGGATTACTGGGATCCATCTTTGTCATAGGGCAGTGGTTCCCAACCCCTTTATGGCTCGCGACCCACTTTTAGCACTCCCCAGCACACCATTCCGGTGGTATTTAGAGTGTTAATATGATTGGTAGATTTCAAATTCTCATTATGTTCAAACAATTCATGCTCAACAAAGTGAAATCGTCCTGTGGAATAACCTCATCAAAGAATGTAATTAGGAAGGACTGGGAGTTTTCGTGTGCGGGGAAGTGTAGAATCAGTTTTACGCCTAGCCTCCTGCCCCTCCCCTAACATCACTGTGGCAATAGGTCCGGTTGGGAACCGCTGTCATAGGGTGTGTTAGAGGATTAATAAAGTCTATTTTTGTCATATAACTACAGATAAGCCGGAATGAGCCAGCCAAGAGACAGTTCATCACAGAAATTATAAAATGAATAATGTGGCAGTGAACACAACGCACATATGAGAACTTTTGGTCCAACATATTATATCGAAATTTAAGTCTTGTTACCTGTAGGTCATCAACAGAATGATATAACATTTCATAATACAATCTTGCAGAATCTAGATGGGATTCTCGAGACATAGTAGCATGTGTGATAACTTGCTGTAACGCGAAGATGTTTCTGCAAAAAAGGCCAAGATCATAAAAATGTGATCCAATATCCACACGAACAAGTTGACAATTGTATTAAAATTACTGGCATATTTACAGGGAATTTGCTTGAAACAAGGTAACACACGTTCAACCAGAAGTAAAGTTATGGGTTGCCACTGCAAGAGCTATTGAAACTAAGCAGATGTATGGTGGTGCATTGTGCACCCGCGAAACAGTTACGATTACGATGAGGTGAATCTATCGCACAAAGTATTAAAGACTTCTGATATGAAATTATTACCCACCGGCACATTCTTTTTATTCCAGAATGTGTAATTCTGTTGATAAATCTTGATCCATGAATTAGGATAGCAGATATCATGTGACCCAGTCCTTCAAATACGTAACTCTGTTTGTGAGGTTGTAATGCAGAACGAAACACTTCATCCATGGATGATATGACTGAAGCAAGTTTGATGACCTATTGGATTATGTGAGATCAGAAGAAACTTGGTTAAATTGATTGACAATTGGTATCAACACTATCAACACAAAATTTCATTACTGAGGTTGCCTAGGCAAATTTCACAAAGAAAGCGATATATTCCTATAAATACAGGTATACTATTCAAAAATATTCAAATTTAAAGCTTGGTATAAGATACAAATTCTTTGGTCATCTTTAGTGGTGGGAGAGTATCTTTTCCTAACAGGTCAACTGAAAGTGAACGCCCTGATCTATGAATTGACAGTTGGGCAGACCATTTGGACAACGTCAAACTTAGTACCAACTGGGCGTTTTAACAAATTTTGGGCACAATAAGGCTGGCACATGCAGCCAACAGAAGCAGAAACATATCCTGATAATATATTACATATTAGCATTTGCCAATGTCTACTCCTCTTTTGAGTATAAGTACCGTACAATAATAAGTTTAAAATAACAAGTAGGCTAAAGCTACTATAATAATATTCTAAGGTTCTATCTTATTAAATGTTTAAAATCATATTACAGCAAAAATGAAATTTAACAGCAAATCCAAATATCTGAATTCTAGCTATAGATTCTTCAAATAATGAAATTCCATTGAAGCTGAATTCTCTTAAAATAATTCTTTCACGCAACTTCCATTTGGTTAATAATAAGTCTTACCTGTGCATCCCGTTCCATATTATCGATAGTTCTGATGTCAAAGTTGCTCTTTTTACACATTGGAATCAAGTAGTAAAAACAGTGAATTCGAACTTCAATATGAAGACACAATAAACAAACTTCACTCATACTATTATAATCTCTACAGAGTTGATTCAACATAAGCATTGTGTCCTGAGGCAAAAAAAAAAATATTGATAAAAATAAAATTTTATACTGAAAAAAAAAACATTATTATGGTATACAGAAATGAATTGTTTCAAGCAAGGTTCAGTTTATTACTTCTTGTAAGTTGTATCAAACTTAATGAATGTAAAATACTTAAATTGCGCTTGCGTTGAGTGGAATAAAAAGTAGCGTTTGATATTGACTTCAATTAATATAACAAAATACTTTTCCAATCAGGTACACAGAGTAAGTAAATGAAGAATGAAAATTACTCTATAGCAGTATTTACCATCCCTTTTTGATAAGAATAATTCTTCCAATGAAATTTTAGAATTGAAATAGATATATTCATGATTAAAATTGCATATTTTAAAAAATTGGAATTATTAAATTAATGCTGAAAATTAAAATGTACAATTTTGCCAAATAGTGTTACGATTTCAAACAAATTCGGCCATATTGTTGGCAGAGATTCCTTCAAGTAATAAATCATATTTCTGCGTAAATGAATAAAAAAAATATTTTTTGTCTATTACCTGTGGAGCTGTTGGATTAATCTCAGTCAGCAGAAGATTAAGTCGTTTGACGAACCATTGCAAACTTTCGTGCAAATTTGCAATAGCGGCAAGGTCAGTGACATCTTCTACAAATCCACCAGTTGGTATTGGTTCATCACCTACTCTCGACACAAAATATTGACCTTCTCTATAAAAATCTTTGAGTAACTGATGAGAGTATTTATTATGAGTATTCGTTTTTTGTACGGGTCGTTGAACGATTGCCCAATTCTCCAGATTTCTTAAGAATTTATTAGAATCGGCTTCCCGAACCCACGAAGCACTGATAATTCTTTGATCTTCAGACTGTGGTTGCACTACTCCTCTGTACGATTGAATCAACGTTTCTTTGTATTCATGTAACAGAGAACAAGCCATTGCCAAAAACTGGTCGTGATATCCTCCTAAATTTGTCATGAGTGAATGTAAGTCCCACATGCATTGATCAACAACAACCGCACTTTGAAGTAATGAGTTGCAAGATGAATTCAGTTTTTTATTGCTAGATGTATCCATAAGGGCTTTCAGTGGATCAGTGACTTTACTTGAAGCGTCAAAATTTTTCTTCATTTCGTATTGGATCTGCCTGATGAAAACATTTTGAATATAATCCGTGATGAAATCATTGAGCAGACATTTTCTTCCTCCGGAGTAATGCATTTCACTTTCTATTTCTTTAATGAAATTGTTGAGAGGTCCAAAAATGAGAGTAATATTCCTTGAATTGGGTTTGCAAACTTTTTGAGCTGTGATATTATGGTCAACTAGTTCTTGAGTGCTTGCGTCTTTAGTACCTGCGTTTATTCTTTGTTCAGCTCTCTGTTCACGTAAGTACGTATTCATTGATATTGCATGAGAAGATGCCTCAAAACGAAAAAGCTTAGCAACACGAGGACGGGTTGCACGCTTTCTTGAAAAATGGGATGCAAAACTGCCACTTTGTACATCATTAAAACCAGTGTTTGCTAGTTGAGAATTAGCAGATGCATTGTCAAAATCTAAATACTCTTGTAATATAGCTTGCAGCACAGATTGGATTTTAGACCAAACCTCCTCCATGTCATAAAGCTGGACATCCATTGAACCATCTGAATTTTTGCTCGCAGATTGAGAAATTAAATGTAATATGTGTTCGTGAGCACTGGCAATGCATCGAAACTTTTCAAACAGCTTTTCTAATAATTGTAAAAGACGTTCTGGGTTATCTCCTTCGTCACCTTGCTTGTAGAAAAGATCAGTAATTTCTACAGTAGTATGTGTAACAATCATATTTATATGCCGATCCATTTTAACTTTGGTAGCTTCTATGGCATCTGGAATCTTGCCTAAAAGGCCGAGAGAAAGCACCAATATTGCCATTAGACGAAACGGATCTTTTTCTGGATCTTTCGTAACATCTTCAAGCTTTTCAACATCGTTTAAATCATATTTCACTTCAGAATCTCTGTCACTTGCTTTCACAGAATTAAAATACAGTTGTTTGTGTAGCTCCGTTATAAAGCCCTCATGCATTGTTACTCTGCGACTCAACAATTCATTTCTTATATCATTCAAGGCTTCAACCTTAATTAAATCATGAGTGAGTAAACGAAGTATTTTTAGAATCAATTGAGTAGCGTGAAGGTAATACTTTTGTTTCATGAACTGATCGATATTCTCAGGGGCTGCTTTCACCTCCTCAATATCATCGAGAAGTTGTAAAACTCGTTTATACTTGACACCTTCCTTCCATAAATTACGAAGCTCATCTTGTCTACAATGTAACAAAGATTTACATTGAAGAAGGCTTTCTTTCACATGTTTTATGCGGCTACGAGATTCAGAAATCCGTTCGCCAATTTTTCCAAACTGCTTGATCGTCTTGGCAAGTTCTTCATAGTTTATTGCAACCATTTCATCAAGTTTTTCATCGTTCTCAGTGAAAGCTTCTTCCAATCTCTCTTTTTCTTGATCTCGTTGACGGTCATCATCGCTTGATGCCAATGTCCGAATAATGGACATCAGTAATCCTGACGGATCTCTAATAAATCCAGCTCGACCAACACCAGCTACGCTGGCACGAGCTTTTCCGTCCGAGGAATCCATGATTTTCCCAAGGAATTCCTTTTATGTTAGCTATAACTGAACAGAGAAAGATGAAATATTATGCTACAGTGCTATGTTAGATAACGTAGGAAGGTAAATCAGAAAAATGCAGCATGGAATCAATCAAACACTTCACAGGTATAAATCATGGAGACAATTTTCTTCATATTATATATGACACATTTATATGCCTACTACTCTGAACTTTGAAGGCTTTGCAAAAGCATTATTAATGCAGGATGATTATTAGACCGCTGAAATAAGCAGAGACATTCAAAGTGCTGTACGAACCAGAAAAGAATTATATTGGTTGTAACTTAGGATAGGATTTACATATTTATCCCGGGGGAGAGGAAAGTCAATAAGACGGCTTATCTATATGGCGAACCACGGCCTCTCGTCCGGTTACCATTCCAAGTCGGGTATGGGATTAGTTAACTTTTTGTCAAACACTGATATGATTTAGCTTCCTTACTGACTTTGCATCCTATTCTACATCTACTGATACTTTTAGTGCAAATTGACAGCTATGAACTTGAACCAGTATCATAATATTTTTACAAGTTTCTAAAACAAAATTGGCTTCAATGTGTGTGTTTTTACATTCATTATATTAAAATTAAGAGGTTAGAATCATGTGACAAAAATTAATGTGATGTCACCAAACATGAAACATAATAAGTTGAAAACTCAATTATACAAAATATTCCAACCGTTTTTATTTGAGTAATATTTAGGGTCTTGTGTAGTTTCGTACCTTATGTACTTCTAGTGGGCGTAGCATAACAATTTTTTGATATGTCAGTCCCAACCCCCATCTGACTACGCCATCCAAAAATTACGTCACTACGACATCACAATCACGTCATAGAGCTTGCCAAATATATGTACAATCGCCCGAAATGGCATTGGCGCCGACGATAAAGAACTGACTGTCATTATCGATCTCTCTCCTATTGGAATCTTTGCGATGAGAAAACAAGAGAAATAACTGTTCGATTTCGGGTGCTCGTTTGCGCATCCTGGATGGCAGTTCGTATAGTTTGAAGGGCTCTATTACATCACTGTGACGTCGTGTTGACGTAATTTTTGAATGGTGTAGTCAGGTCAGCAGGTGGGGGTTAGGATTGATACGTGAAAAAATTGTCATGCTACTCCCACTAGAAGTATGTTAGGTACGAAACTACATGAGACCCAATATTCAGTACCAACGTTATAATATAATAAAACATTCAATATACATATATATATACAGTGGATCAGGGACAAAAATTACTGAATTATGGCTAAATCATTGCCACCATCCAAATGGAATCAATCAATCATCATTTATTCGTCAACACAATCAATATAAATATATCACGGAAATATGGCAAGATATACAATAAGTAAAAAAAAAAACTTCATATGTGTGACAGGAGTCGCGAGGGACCACGAAAGGTCTTCGAGCAGCGACACCTACGATGCTGATTCAGCTTAATAAATAAATTTAGTTAACGGAACAGAATTTTATCCGAATAATTTGCGCATATAGACTATTACAGTCTGCTGGTCAGACAAATCAGTCACACAGATATAGGATGATTTATACACCTGGTAACAATATCTGGATATACGGTTTAATTAAGACAACAAGATTAGATTAGTCTACTTCCGTACCGGTAAGTGGGAAAAACTTAGATGTAAATCATCACTTATATTACATCCCTTATCATTATAACTTATACTTGAGAACTCTAAACATAATTTTGGTTGATTGAATATTAAAACTTTGTTATTGCATCAATGTTTCAATATCTGATATTAAAAAACACTTAATCACAGTTTTAGCTATGTATATTCATCAAGGGAGGCGGACAACTCGACTACACGGACAACTCGACTACCTAGAGCAGTGTTCTTCAACCTTTTTTATCGAAGTATACCTTTTACAGTTTCTCAAGAACTTTGTATACCTTACAAATACCAATGTTTATTTAAGGCTCAAATAAACAATAAATTTTAGTCACATATTGTACTGCAATATCATCATGCAATCTAATAGGCTAGTGACCGCAAGTTATAAATTTGACTGCCTTAGCGTCGACGGGAACAATGTTTGACGTAAATCAAACAAAGTGCATGGCATCCGAAATCACCAACCCAGACACATGCCCGTATTATCTATATAATTTGTGATGTAACAACGTGCTCACGTCGGTTCTTTGCGTTAATAACATTTCACGTGCGCCGCGTTTGCATTGTTGTATCCAATCGCATATTTTATAGGATGTACACCTTTTATCAGTTGTATACCCAACTTATGGTCTGGTATACCGTATACCCGGTTGAGAGCACGGGAGGCGGACAACTCGACTACACGGACAACTCACCAGAGACAACTCGACTACCTAGAGGCCTGGTGAGTTGTCCGTCTTTTGGCATTTTCTACGGTAGTGTTTTAGGTCTATAGAAATGCGTTTTTGATATTTTTAGTGCTCAAATGTTGAGAAAAATAAATAAATATGCTCTAGAAAGCATTTTTATTTGTATAGGTGGCTTATTTTGATCATGTTGTATGAATACAAATACAGTCTACAGACAGAATTGGAGTAACGTTAGCGAAGTTAGACTGTTGACTTATAGGACTGTGTTCGTTCAATTTTTTGAACTTTATTGGTATTAAATGTTTTGAATGAGCCAAATATATTAAAACCTTTATACTTCACAGTAACACTTAAATATTTATGAATGTGAGCTCAGTAGTCTATGGTTGCAGTAGTCTAAACTCGCCTACGGAGGCCGTCAACTCACCAGTCGAGCAAACGCTCTGCGACGTGACGTCATCGATGCTCGAGGTGAAGACAACTCGACTACCGAGCAACGAGAGGCAGACAACTCACCAGTCGAGCAATCGCTCTGCGATATCGATGCTCGAGGAGAAGACATTGCTTTGCAAAACGCAGACTCAAGAGTTGCATAGATAGATAGATAGAGAGAGAGAGAGAGAGAGATTTATTTCGTCAACCAGAAAAAAACAGTCATAATAATAAATAAATAGTGGCTATAAAAAAGTACGCTTTTTTCGGTGTAGACTGGAACAATGACATTAAACAACATGATAGGCAACTCTGACGTCACTGCGTAAGACTACAAGCGAAAGATTGTATTTCATGATACGCTCCAATGCACATATTTCTCGTCGCCCTTCGCGACCGTTTTCAGCTCGCTTTTGCTACTTGGCGCCTTCCTTACGTGTAGTACCTGCCTTTTTGCGATTGTAACGAAAGAAAATAATCTCTATATCCAAGAAGTTTCACTCACTTGGAAAGCTGGAATGGCAGACAAGCTGTAAAAAGCAATTCTGGTCATCATAGACGTTTTTTATCAGAGAAGATTACAAACGCGATAGCGGAAAGATTTGTGTGGAACATTTTGCAGATAATAACAAATTTCAAAGTTAGTAATTTTAATGTTTGCGCTTAAACATTGAAATTTCATTTAAAGAGGGTGTCATACAGGACAGAAAAACTGTTTTTACTTCTCCTAACGGTGCTGTGATACAATTCCATAACACAAAGTTTGCACCTATCGAACTTGCTTTTGTAGACGAAATAATTAGACATATTACATATTCAGTTAATCGTAGGTAACATTGCTGGTACATAATGCCTCGTAGATAGGTTTGTGTAAATTTTATGAATTCAGCTCATAGCCCACTAATTAATATTATCTTCTATGCAGGAGGTTGCAGGGCTGAATTCAACCTGCAGCTTTACCGATCACCTGGCCATGCTCATTTAGTTTGGCTCGAGCAAGTCTTCTTAAAAGACTTGTGTGAATAGAAACTACCTATATGTTTTGCCTTCCTCCGATTTTAGAAGACAAATTTATTTTGAGGGATTTCGCATATAATTCTCATTGGTTGTTGGCTGTTTATAATTCCTATTAATTGTGGATTCTGATTATAACAGAGTTAAAAAAAAATTACGTAATTTACTGGCACCTCTTTCTTGTCAATACTCCAAGCTGAGGTAATAAACAAGACAATACATTTATGTCATCTGGAAGCAAAATATGCACACTAATTAATAGTTTGACACATTGAGATAACACATCATCAGAATATACAAGTTAAAGATATGTATGACCATCACATGGTATTTAAAATTAAAAAATAATTAATAGCGGCTGTGGAGTATGAAAAGTTCAAGACAAAGAAAAGAACATAAGTTCATAGCTCATGAACTCTCAATTTTGCCTCCATTGCTTTGTGAAGGCCAATATATTTCGAGTGGCTGAATTAGTTTACCTTTATGATAACAACGATTTTGTATTTAATATAGCAAGATTTTTTTCAATTTGATTGAAGTGATATTATTTCCCAAAGCAATGCTTGAATCGTCTAGAATAGATCAGTGGTGCCAAACTCATGGGTTTTCGAGAGCCGCATTGCATTTTGGAAATTGTAAAAAGGGCCGCAAACAGTTTTTGATAATGTATACTTGAAAGATATTTTTAAGATAGTTTTAGTTTGTGACATATGTTGTGATGCAACTAAACAGTTGGATTAAGTTTCATTATTTTCTTTAATTTCAAATGCAATTACATATTAATATTTGCATTCCACTATTATTGCAAGTTACTGTATTTATTACAAAAAATCATAAAATTCTATGTACATCCATCAAAATCATTTTTGAACAAACTTTGGATAAGGAAAGAATAATACATACACTAAAAATGACTTATTTTAAATATATGGACCTAAAATTAACAAAAATACTACAGTATAAACTCAATGTTTTTTTTAATTTCATTTGTCCTGACGTTTGGTATCTTTTTTGTGTCACCAGCATACTAAGGCCAGGCTGAAATGATTTTGTAGTACCAACTCTAACTAACGAGGTCACATGATCATGGGCTAATCTGGATCTTTGCGAAAATTAATTCCAGTAATGCAAAAAAGTGATTTTTATAATTTCATGTATAGATACAAAAAGAACACATGACAGATTTTTTCGACAAGACATTTCGCACCACATTGCGTGGCATAGGATTCCTTGAATTATTATCGATATTGATTTTTAGTAACTAAGTCGTTGTATAATTTTATTTTAATATACAAACACATGAAAATTTTCTGTTCAAAGTTGCTCTTCGAATTTGTGATATTGACTGCTGAGCTTATTGTGCTTTTTCATTGTATTGATGGAAATATGACAAATTAAACAATGTGCTTCAGAATTTTGTGAAATGCAGAAATATTGCAACTCTCATTTTCTTTGAAAATGCCACCTTCTTTATGTACTTTGCGTTTAATTTAATCACTCAAGTGTTTTATTCAAGTATTCTTTTGCTAGCTTAATGAGTATTCTTAATTGGGTCAAAATGTGGATGAAAAAAAAATTAATTTCCCAAAACTACTTTCAGTAAATTGTTTGTGTGGATAATGTAGAAAAAAACTTCCAAAATACTATTACAATTATTGCTAAGCGTTCGAGGGCCGCACTGGAAGTTCTCTGGGGCCGCGAGTTTGACATCCCTGGTCTAGATTGAAGTTGTCCAAAATATATATAACAGTATTTTATCATGAATCATGATTATACCCTTTCCTGAATTTCTTCTATAGTACTACCAAAAGTTGATGAACCAAATATAACACAGGTGTAGTGAGTTAGCCGTAATCCTCATTTTTCAAAGCTGTTTTAAGTATGTCTGGTGTGTTTTGTGCCTTTTTACAAATAGGACCGCTTATGCAATCTCACGCTTTAGAATTTTTTGATATTTTCTTTAAGCCCTGCAGGATGTGGGTGCCATACACAACTCTACCGGAGGGTCAAATGTCTTTGCATGCCTCCCATAGGTTGTTCTTCTATTGCAAACATTTATGGAGTACTCTAAATATATTTCTTGGAATCACACGGTCACTGATATGTAGCCAGACTTCTGATATCTCCCCTTCTGCTGTAGTTGTCCTGTGAATAAGTAATAAGAAATTGAGATTAGACGATTAGTTGAAACTTTTGCTTTATGTCGGCTTAATTTCTTGATTGATATACATACTATTTTTGCTATTGCCTCTTGTGCTGCTGGAGTCTCACAATGCTTAGACAGGTTTGTCCACATTCACATCTGAAGAAGGAGAGGAGATTTATTAATTTTCGTCAAGAATAAATGAAGCATTCTATATGATTTAGAATGGAAAAGCTAATAAATCCAATATCTCATGTTTAATGTAAAAAATATTTTAATGAATTTGGTATATAACCAACTAATAAAGGAATTTAGTCAGAAAATTACAAGCATTCGTGACTCCATATACTTGAGAGATCAGACTATACAATATAGACCGGTATGAGTGAAATGTTAGGTGAACTTGTTAACTCTTTGATTCAATCCTCACTGATTAAAAAAAATCTAAATGGAGGTGCATGAACTATTTGAAACCATAAGGGGTAAGTAAATATGCAATTTTGGCAAATGGGCAACTACGTACCGTACTGAATTAATAACTTCGTAGTATTTGACAAAAGCTGGCTTTCCCACATGTACTTAACATTGCGATGCCCGGGTGTGATATACAACAATAGTATTTACCTTACCTTTTTCCGATTTCTTTTTACCTCAACTTTCCAAAATATCATTAAAATCGACAACAACTGTCAAAGCCGGCACGAACACCATTCGTGCTATGCTTGAAAGCAGCACACATCCGCTCGTTTTCGTCTCGTCAAGTATGTGCATTGGAGCGTGCTATCGGATACGATCTTCGGCCAAAAATGCCGTAGTTGCGCATCATGTTGTTTAATGTCATTGACTGGAAGGAGCGATACGACCATGCGGTCATCGAAGTCAGCCCCCTCCAAGTTTACGCTGATAAATTCACAGTAAAATAAGATTATTAGAAATGGTTGAAGTTCACGACACAAAATTTGAAAAAACAAACAAAAAAATGAAGTAAATAAAAGTAATTAATTTTTTTTCCGTGAAATCAATTTTTAAATGATGAGATTTGAAAGTGAGGAGTAAGACCCACAAATTAAAAAAACAATTTTGGCTATTGGACTACTATACTCAATGTAGATTTGGACGCAAGGAGCCAGCCTTACATGTACGAATGAATTTCAGGAGATAAACAACATGGTACTCATGTAAAACAATTGGTTCAAGAGAGGAATCAACCTTCCAACGAGAATATCGGTCAGAGACCGAGGACTTATCGATCAAAAGTCAGGAGATCCCCCAAAAAGATAGATAGAAGTTTATTCATCATCCAGTCATTAGCCAATAAATCAAACACAAACAACAACATACGATAGGTAAAAGAAGAATAAATCGACTAACAACGGAATTGATAGGAGGTTGGAAGGACCATACGGTCACTAAATCGAAACAACTCTCCTGGCATAAAAAAAGGTTGACAGATTACATTTTATATTATACCAATTATAAAACATTTTAACTTGTTGTAATTAACAATTGAGCAACAAGAGTAATGTGACACATATTGAGACGAATTTAAAATAGAAGCGGCAAGAAAAAGCGTTTAGTTTTATATCACACAAAATAAAAACGTACAAGTAGAAAAGTTAAGCATTTACTTAGTGCCGACTGATATTAGTTGTAAGTTAACTCACCACGGCAAGGTTTCAGTCATAGAGTTAGAATTTCTTTTTGCAGAAGAAAACCAGGAACAGATAGGCACTGTCGCTGGGCCTGGCAAAGAAACTGGGCCGAATTACTTTTTGTTACGATTAATGAATTTAATATGATATTTGAATACTAAACGTTATGGGGAAATTTAATGGATGGAAGGTTTTGTTTTCTTTTTCGTTACGAATAATGAATTTTATTTGAATACTAAACGTTATGAGAAATTTGCTGCGTTACATACTTACTCTTTGCAATACTGCGGCCCGTAGATGATTGAACACCTCCGAAGAAGAGAGTCCACAGATAACTCTCCTTCCTTAAACTGTTCCCAGACACGTTGCACCCTCTCGTTGGCTTCCGCATACCTGCCGTTGACACGCCCCACAACATTCTCTTCCAAAATCTCCACAACGTCCGCCTCTATCCCTATACTTACCTCGTACATTGTTGAGATTAAACTGTAAAAAGGCATATTTTTCCGAGTTATACTGTTAAAATGGCGGTGCCAACCTTCCAGATGATTGTTGGTTCTTATTTCTACGTCGAATACTGAGCAATCATTGGGAGTCCAGACACTGTTGTATAGCTTGTGTTTTGAAAATATTCGGCGAAGTCCTTGAGTTTGCATCTTTTCTTTCAGTGATTTGAATCTGGACGTAATAAACATAGGTGGTATATAGCACAGCGCCATGACATGCTTGATCGGGTCTCTTGTTCCAGCGTCCCTGAAACAAATTAAAAACATGTTAATACAAAAGAAGTGAAAGATGTACAAAGACATATAAAAAATATGGTTAACCACTCACTTGTTGTATAGGCGAGCCAAATTATTGTGACGGACATTCTTCATGATGGCCTGAGTGAAGTGATATCCATGCATGGAGATTAGATAAGGTGCCAGATCGGTGATAATGAAGCCGCGCTCGGTTATCGCCGAGTTCAAAGCCTCATTATCGCCGGCCTGACACCTTACAAACGAAGCTCATTAGCCGAAGTCGATTTTATTACAGTTTTATACTGAAACGAGGACGACTAACGGTATATTAACTCCACAAAAACTACGCAAGAATTCAAGATGACTCCAAATATGTGCAAGTGATGTGACGACAACGTTTCCATGAAGCAGGAGGGACTCATTTGTAACGTCTGTCGAAATTGGTTTCATCGCAAATGTTTTAATAATTCAGGTGTGGCAATGACAAGGGAACAGTACAGGCTATTAAAAAAACAGGACGTCACGTTTGAGTGGAAGTGCCTGGACTGCTACCAGGCCCATGACACCCATCATGACTCAAACCCGATTGTTGTATCCCAGCAGATGGAACCTAGCCGTCGGCTGTTAGACTACTCAGGTGGTGAGTTGGCTTACAACTAATATCAGTCGGCACTAAGTAAATGCTTGAGTCTGCGTTTTGCAAAGCAATGCCTTCTCCCCGAGCATCGATATCGCAGAGCGATTGCTCGACTGATGAGTTGTCTGCCTCTCGTTGCTCGGTAGTCGAGTTGTCTTCACCTCGAGCATCGATGACGTCACGTCGCAGAGCGTTTGCTCGACTGGTGAGTTGACGGCCTGTCGGGCGACTGCCGTAGGCGAGTGAGCTCACATTCATTAATATTTAAGTGTTACCGGGAAGTCTAAAGGTTTTAATATATTTGAAGGTGCTCATTCAATCATTCAAAACATTTAATACTAATAAAGTTCAAAAAATTAAACGAACACAGTCCTATAAGTCAACAGTCTAACTTCGCTAACGTTACTCCGATTTCGTCTGTAGACTGTATTTGTATTCATACAACATGATCAAAATAAGCCACTTATGCAAATAAAAATGCTTTCTAGAGCATATTTATGTATTTTTCTCAACATTTGAGCACTAAAAATATCAAAAACGCATTTCTATAGACCTAAAACACCACCGTAGAAAATGCAAAAAGACGGACAACTCACCAGGCCTCTAGGTAGTCGAGTTGTCTCTGGTGAGTTGTCCGTGTAGTCGAGTTGTCCGTCAGCCAAGAGCACTGACGCACTGACCTAGAGGCCTGGTGAGTTGTCCGTCTTTTGGCATTTTCTACGGTGGTGTTTTAGGTCTATAGAAATGCGTTTTTGAAAATTTAAAGGTAAATATGCCGCCTGGAATTAAAGCCTGAAATCTCGTGAAATGGGGTATTACCTATAGTGGTGGTAGCATAAAAGTCATATTGGGGATGGCAAAATACGGTCGAAAGGTGGCAGATTAGGGATGACAAAATAGGGTCGAAAAGTCAAATTGGGGATGGCAAAATGCGGTCGAAGCGTGGCAGATTAGGGATGGCAAAATGCGGTCGAATGGTGGCAGATTAGGGATGGTAAAATGCGGTTGAAGCGTGGTGGCAGATTAGGGATGGCAAAATGCGGTCGGAGCGTAGTGGCGGATTAGGGATGGCAAAATGCGGTCGAAGCGTGGTGGCAGATTAGGAATGGCAAAAAGCGGTCGATGGGTGTCAGTTTTTGCCAAATCGACTGTCATAATGCACTGTATAGTATACAGATAACAATTAACAATTGCCTCAAAATTACAAAGAAATATTGCCAAAGTGTTTAGATTTGGGACTGATGAAATGGATTAGTACCTGTCAAATTCGGGCTGGCAAAACACAGTCGATGGGTGTCAAAATGGGATGGCGAAATGGGGTCGAAGCGTGGCAGATTAGGGATGGCGAAATGCGGTCGAAGCGTGGCAGATTAGGGATGGCAAAATGCGGTCGAAGCGTGGTGGCAGATTAGGGATGGCAAAATGCGGTCGAAGCGTGGTGGCAGATTAGGGATGGCGAAATACGGTCGAGAAGCGTGGCAGGTTAGGGATGGCAAAATACGGTCGAAGCGTGGCAGATTAGGGATGGCGAAATGCGGACGAAGCGTGTCAAATTGTGGGTGGCGAAATATGGTGGATTCCTGTCAGGTTGGAGATGATGAAATATGGTCGATGCGTGTCAGATTAGGGAGGGCGAAATAGGGCAGTGGGTTGACGGGTGTCATGTTAAGGATGGCGAAATGCGTGTCAGATTCGGAAACGAACATTGTCAAATTTAAGGAACTAATCTGATCAGTGTTTCACATTTTAAAATTCATTTAAAAGGTATTGTCCGATTTTACATTTGTCTTATTTTATGATTAATTTGAATGTTTTATATATTATTACATTTTTCGCATCAAGTCTTGAACATTTTTTTTATATTTTTCTGATTAATAATTTTAATACAATCTTTCAATGTTTGATATATTATTACGTTTCTCTCATCAAGTTTTGGGTACTCCTGAAGTATGCGCACCAAGATGTCGCACAACCTGAACCCTAACCTGGTACACAGGTTGAGTTCAGGTTATGCGCCATCTTGTTGCGCATATTTCAAGAGGTCTGCATTGGCTGGCATAGCATTGTGGATCGTGCCATCATTTATGAGGTCATATGTTTTATCTCTTTCGTCATGGAAATTTCAATTTTTCCCTGGTATAATTGTCGCTACAATTTTTTACGCCACCCCGAAGCCTGCGATATTTCTATTCCAAATACTGTTATTAAACAATTCTTTCCAATTACAACTATTTTAAATTGCTCAAGTATATATGTAGAAGAATCCTGTTTTGCTTTAAAATATTTTTGGCATAATTCACGATCACACTGCATGAAGAGTTCATTCTCCGTGTTTCGTTAATTTTAATTCTCTTTCGAAGTTAATTGGTTTTATAATTTGAATATAACCTTTTGATGTAAAGATGTGTTCGATATATTATGCTATAAAATGATTTTTATGATATTGGGTGAAAACCTATCTAGAGGAGAGTCTTTGAATAGGAATATACGTTGTAGTATTACTCACTTTTGTATAATATTATTCATGAAAACGCGATAACTATTTGAACTGCGTAAAAATGAAAATGCGACTTTTGTATAAAACTGGCAAAGAATCTACAAAAGGCAAGGTAATTAAACATAGGGATTTTGGCAGTGGCGGCGCGTGGTCATTTTGACAACCGGGGCAAGCTACTGCGGGACCAAGTCACCCCCATCTACGGGGACAGGATGAGCGCTGTAAGTTCTCCCATCATTTTATGAGTATAAAAACCATTCCATCGGTAACAACCAATCGGCAAAAGCGACAATTTTTAACGATAAGAAAGTGTCTTTAAAACCGGTCCAAGTCAAGGGATTAATAAATATAGACATGATTTATTTTGAAACCTCTTTCAAAAGGAAAGGCAATATTTACCCAGATAAATACAATGACATATTAACAGAAACTTCGGGAAAGCAGACAAAACCTAAAATAAGGTTTAAAACGTTACTATGAAGAAAGGAAAGCTAATGCAAAGATAAGGACATGCGTCGCTCACTCATAGATATATATGCTGCTAGACCATATATGCAACACGCCGCGGTTTCTTGGAAGCAAAATGCTCAATAACGCGCTGATTAAAGTCATGCATCCCAGAAATAACGTATCTGTGAATGGATAAAACAGCCAAGGAATTTAATCTATCTTGCTTCATTGTGTTTCTGAGATACGTTTTAATACGCTTCAGCGTGCTGAATGTTCGCTCTGCGTCGGCGGAAGAAATAGGCGTCGTCAAAATGATGTCCAGAAATTTTGCAGACGCCGCAAAGGTAGTTACATGGAGTGTTATCTATGAGGAACCCATAGAGCGCGCAAGTTGATGTGATGTTCAAAAAAGTTTGATTGGTGTATATACATCGCAATTCATTTTCCAATTTACCCACGTTTATCATGGGGTAAAATTTGGAGATAGTAGCCAACAAATGGATGGGAAATTGACGTGCAAATTTTGAAAAATTTTTGGGGTTCATCAAAGAGAACGCGGCAAGGTGTTCAGTGCGCAGACGATCGCCTATTTGATTCACCAGAATGTCACAGCATTCCTTTGCAGACAAAATCAAACGCTGCGTTGTTTGCCTGCGGCGTAAAGAAGCACTCCATGTGTCGTCGTATTTTATTGTTTCCCGGATACGAGATACAGCATCGCAGAAGTCTGAAATACACGGCTGCACAGACGCTCCATCCTTTAGCCTTGACTGCAATGCGCCGTATAATACATCCACGTGATAGAATATTGTGGACAAAAAAGCGAGAAAAAATGAAAACTCACCATCTTCTAGCAGACGCTTTAGACCTGCCGCTTCCCTCACAGAGCGTTCGTCCCAAACCGGAGAGCTCTGAATGCCATTGAAACACTCAATGAGCTCAGACCTAATTTCGGACACGCCCTGCACCACGCGTGATTGGAAATTCCAACGTGTTGGTGCACAAGCTGGGAGACGGCGGCTACATATCTGGCGAAGGAGGTCAGAGCGCTTCGGCGAAACGGAAAAAAATGAAGAAAACCCCGAAACATTTGCAAAAAATATACGGACGAGAGGGGTATCAAGACACATATTTTTAATAACGAGGTTAAATTGGTGTGCATAACAATTTAAAAAATGCGCATGAGGAAAATCTTCTTTTATAAAAACTTGAACACCATGTTTCGACCCACTCATGACTGCCGCGCCATCATAAGTTTGAGCTATCAATTTTGACTTCGCGTTGTAAGGCTGTAACACTTCTTTCAGTACAGCCGATATTCCGCAAGCCGTGCGATCAACGATTGGTACAAAGCTGTGAAATCTCTCGGTAGGTTTACCATCTTTCACGAACCGAAAAATCACAGCCAGTTGGGAAACGCACGTGATGTCAATTGTCTCGTCAGACTGAATCGAAAGGATCTGGCAATTCTCAATTTCCAGAGCCAAATGTTGTAAATAAATTTTATACATTGAGTCGAGCAAATCATTTTGGATTTTCTTAGATGTCCCTTTCGAAACAGTTGCGGCATCAAGATGATCTCTCAATACTGTATCTAGGGATGCGGTGTATTCCACCATATCCAAAAATACCCCGCTATTAGAAGAGCCAGCCCGTTCATCGTGCCCACGGAGGGACAGCTCGTGACAACCAATGAACTTCAAAACATCTATCAATCGACCGAGAACATGGCGGTTTTTCTCGACGTTTTGGTTTACCGACGAATAGAAACCGCGCGTCCTTCATCCAATTGTGCTGCAATATTAACATTTCCGAATGTTCGGTATTTTACTGCATTGTCCAGATGCTCCATAGAAGATTGATGATCCCTGGCACGCTCGGAAAGATGTTTAAGATCTCTAAAACCAAATTTACACCAACGTGAGTCACGGGCGGTAGCAAAAAGTAGGCAATAAAAACAAAAAAGTGCATTTTTGTCCTCGCTGTAACACAACCATTCGTGTTTTTTATACCAAGTTTCTGCGCAGAATGTACGCCGACGCTTTCCTCCGTCATGGGATTGTTCCAGTTAACAATTTTTTGGTTGATAAGGCCCAAGACGTTGTACCTCTAATTTTTGTTCCAGCGGCAGCTGCGAAAACGGAGTGCGAAGTAGTGCATCAACCTTATTCATTATGAGGTCTAAGGCTAAAAAATGCGAAGCCGGAAAGAAGTGAGGAGCTCAAAAGGAATGTGGAAAATCGAAAGCAAATGGACTAAAGGTCTCTAACTGATTCAAATAGCGAAACAAGCGACAAAAACGAAGGCGAGGAAACTATCAACTCTTCAAGCAACCAACGAACGAGAAGGAATGCGTGAATATGTCAACACGTTGTTGTAAGGAACGTCGGCATTGTGTCGTCATAATTTCGGGGCTAGCCCCGATCGGCCCCCGATGGATTTAGTAAAAGAAACAGAAAACAAACGAGACAAACGCGGCGAGTGGAAAATAAAAGAGAGAATACGATATACAATGAGCAACCGGGGCAAAATCGGCGTCGCCCCGTCGACGTTCGACGAATGCTTTGCGAGCGAAAAATGAACCATGTCGGGAGAATATGGCTAGTGTAGACAGTCTGTGCAACCGATATTGAGGTATTTTTCGAATATTTTTTATTATACCGGAAAAACAACCGGGGCATTGCCCCGGTTGGCCCTATTGGCGCGCCGCCACTGTCAAATTGTCTTTGAAGACATGTATACCGGTTTCGAGTTGCTTCCGAAGTAAATAGGCCATTCTAGTCGTCATAATTAACCATTTGACAATGGCGTTCCTTATGACGTCACAGATGAAAAGTTGTATTTATTCGTCGAAATTACCGGCCGACCCAACTTTGCTTCAATGGCCGTTTCTATTTACTGGTTAATATTTTTCGTCCGTCAAGCTCCTTACTGCTCGGCTCCAAGCTGCGCTGGAAGAACAAATGACATTGTAGGATTGTTGCGGAGACATTTTACTGCCTCAAATTAGCGTATCACTATAAGATCTTTGAAAAAATGACCAAAAATGGTTCTACGCTGTGTTTGGTGTCAAATTTAACGCATTATATAGTTTTTTATTATTAATTGCGTTATATATCTGCCCCAATAGCCTTTTAAAACTACTAAAATTAGGCTTGTTTGCGTTACACTACTCGAGCCGAATGATCGAAAATGGCGTCCATATGACGCCATAATGGGACAAGTTAGTTGCACGGGGTTGTGTTTACCCAAAGCCTATACATACCTTTAGGCAAGTTGGTTGCCGGCCGTTGAGGTAAACAAGGAAGTCGATGCTCGGGGAAAGGTCCATAGCTGTAGCTGGACGACTACTGTATGTATAACAGGTTTAATGGGGTCTAGTATGGTTTAGTACCACAAGTACTTCCAGTGGGCGTAGCATAACGAATTTTGCATATGTTATTCCTAACCCCAACCTGACTATGCTATCAAAAAATTACGTCACTACGACGTCACCATCACGTCATAGGATTGCAAAAGTGTAATTACGATCGCCCGAAATGGCATCTGCGCCGCCGATAACGAGTCGCTAACGCCGACGATCTCTCTCCGATCGTGCTGCCATTGGTTTTCAATTTGCTGCCGCGGTAACGGCAGCTCGACATTGGTCTGTGGCAGCTAAAATGTCAGTCGCCATAGGTTTGGCCGTAGCGGCCATGGTATGGAAATACCGCCATGGTTTTGTGGCAGCTGCAGACGCCACAGAATACTTAAAACTGCACTTGCGATTTCGGGTAACCGTCTGCGCGTTTTGTACGATCATCCGCATACTTTGGTGGGCCTTATTACGCCACTGTGACGTCGAAATGACGTAATTTTCTGGTGACGTAGTCAGGTGGGGGTTAGGATTGACATATGCAAAAATTGTTGAGCCAGGCCAACTAGAAGTGCATGTGGTACTAAACTATACCAGACCCGATTAATGTTAAATCATCCATGAGAGCTGACCAGCTTATCGGATATATATTACAGTACTGCAGTACGGTAATTTCATGATTTTCTGAATTGCTTGTCAATTTGTTTCAGATTGGATAGGGTCTGAGAGTTTCGTTTGTCAAATCAGTAAATTGTAAACACATCTTGATGGATAATCATAGGTTGCATGATGCTATCGTTAAGGATCTTCTTCTTGAAGTAATAGAAGAAGAAATCTTAGGTTTGTTAGAGAATTCCATCATTGAAGATGAACATCCTATTGATCCCAGAGCCAAAGAGAAAAATAGGCAAAAACTTACACAATATTTCGCTGATGATATTTTGAACAAAGTTCTTGCAGAAGAGTTTGTTTCATTAAGCACAGAATTCTTCGATATGATTATTAAAAACCATCGCACAGATGTAACTGCGGTTCAACGATTGAATGATGTCTTGCGAGATACTACAAAAGAAATAACAGAGGAAATTGTTCTGGAACTTATGGAAGAAAAGAATGCAAAATCACAATGCGAAAAAATTGTGGATGACATCATTACAGAAGTTCAAGCTGAAGAATTCAACATAATGTCAAGCAAAACTTTGGATCATTATAGAGCTAGAGTTGCCCTTCTTCAGTACAGGCAAATGCAAAGTTCTGCTTCAGGGGTCCTTCTCGATAAAGTTATTTTAAACGCACTACTTTCCCCTTATAATGATGAAACCGAAGAGAGTGACATTACTTTACAAAATAACGAAAAAGACAATATTATGAATAAAATTATATTTGAACTTGTTTTGTCACAATCACTTGCATTACATGCATGTTCTCCTAAAAACACTCCAATGAAAAATGGTAAGGATTTATCTTTATCAAAGCTTCCACCAACTGAGTGTATTCCTCTTAATTGGTATAAAAAAAAAGTTACTTCAGCTATTGCTGAGGATGTCGCTGTCACAATGTTGTGCGATAGACTGGATGAGTCTATGCAATTTGCGGCTGAAGAACAAATGAAAAATCAGGCAGTTTCATTATTCAGTCAATTTATCAATGCTTCTTAATTACTGATCTTAATTAAATATGGATATCTCAATATTCGATATATTATTACTGTATGATAAATTTTGTAATTACTAAAAAAATGTAGGTGAACAATTACAGAATTGTGTGTTTTTCACTAAAATCAATTTTTCCATTGGCATAAGTAATGGGAAACATTTTTATGGCGAGTGTATTGATTAGAGAATTTTTTAAGAACCTGATTTCTGAGCAGTTAATTTTTGTTCTTTTTTATCCATTCAGAATGTTTTTTTTTCACTTTTCGGCAATAGAAATTCATGTCCAATTTTTCAACTATGCTTAGTATGCAGTAAATTGAATATCTTTTTTTGTAAATATTTTTGAGAATGTTTTTGTTTCAAAATTAATTTAAATTACTATTCCTGTCCTTTCTAGCATAACCTTTTGCAAGCACTGTAATATTTACTTTACTGATTTTAATTAGTCATGCGTTAGGCATATTATTCTTCTATATTAGACTGTTTGTATGGTCTTTTTATAATTTATTATTTCCTAATAAAATTTAATCCCATAGTATTATATTATAATTCATAGGGTGCTCTTTATTTTTATAGCATTTTGCATCTATTTTATACTCTCACGATAATTAGTATGTCTATAATTAGAAGTATATCTAGTAATTCTGATGTTATTTACACAACTGCTGTCACCTCAAGTCAATCTCTACCAGAAACACCTGCAACTTCATACTCCAGTAAAAGAACTGATAGAAGACGTCATTCACTACGTTCAATTAAAAGACGAAAATTCGACGATGAAATTGTTGAGAGTAGTTTAGCTTCTAAAGGACTCAGAAGATCTCTAGATGGAAGTAATCCTGATGAACATCATGATGAAGTAGTTTCTCCAACATTAAGTGTAGTGAGTATTCATTCTTGGTCATGAAGCTATGAATGTTTTTATTTTAATATTTGTTGTTGGTCTTGTTAATACGGTTGTTTTGGTCATAATACATCTTTTTCTTCAATTATTAGACGATTAGAGTAAATTAGTTTGAAAAGTTTAAATTAGAAAACATTTTTTTTTGGATCATTTGATTTGTTATTACCTTATACTTTTGTGAAACATTACTGATCCATCCAAATTTTGTGTTGATTTATTTTGGAGGCAGGGGCTATCTATTATTAGCTAGATCTGGACTGACAGTGTATTGAAACTGTGACTACAGATCAGAGCTCTTAATTTTTTCACCCAAAATTATAGCCATTGATATTAATGATTTGACCACTACTATGAAACACATCAGCCCAAATGCAGTTTTGTGGAAACAGCACTCGAAACTATGATATAGGGGTTTCAAGTTTTGAAATTAAGATTCAAACATTTAAATAATTAAATTTTAAAAATTAAAAGCAGAAATTGTATTTGTAAAAAGTATTGGAAAATTAAAAATGTGAATGAAAAATTGTATGGACAGGAGTTGAGCCACTAAAATTTCTGGAAGCTGCGTTTCCAGCTCCATTTATTATGGTAACCTTGGCTCCGGCTCCCTAGGTATTTCTTTGTACAATACAGCCTTATAAGCGAATACAGGATAAAGTTAAAAATTCTGTATCATAATCAACTATTCTGTAGGTTGATCATCTGCATTTTACTTTTTTCAGACCGCTACCTCTCCAACAGAATCATCTGCTAACAATGACTTTTCATCTTCTTCCAAAACTGGTCATATTACAAAATTGACAGCTTCACAATCAAACAATACTGGAGTAATGGTTCAAGACAGAAAAGGTAAATTTATGTCAGATTATTAGAAATACCAATTACTGAAAGTTCTATATAAAATTATTTAATTGTCACATAGTAAATTGCTTAGTGTGAAAGTGTGTTTAAACAAACAGTATCTACATATTTACCCCAGGCGAAAGGACTGACCAGCGGGTACGAGAACTACCCTACGGCGGCAAGGAGTCCAACAATCCTCTCGCACATCAATAACCCTGTATGGGAATCAAACTCGCGAACCCACGTAGGATAATCAGAGATGTGGTGGCGAGTGTGTTTTCAACGCACAACGCGCAGCTGAATTGTTTTTATATCTACTCTTAGATTTCTTAGTCAGGGTATAACTAAAAAGATTGTTGAATCGAGCTAAGCATTAGAAACAAATTTGTCATCACTCCTCTGACTTTCTTTTTGTGACTTCACAGCTCTTCAATGGGGATTGATTACTGGTATATTCAAGAAGTTTACTGAGCTTAATAGATTGCTGATTGTAGGGTCGATATCCACCATCATCCAAGTCATCTGCTCTCTTTCTGTCATCTGTCACATTAGTTTTAAAGACAAATTTGTTATCTTCAGACAAAAAGAAAATAGCTTCGCATCAAAGAAAGAGATTAAAGAAAACACAAAAAGCGTTTGCTGCGGTCAAAGATATGGGTATAAATAATCTATAACCTATTATCTCAATTTGACTTAGAATTTTTTCATGAGTTCGGCAACAATATTTTTATCAGTTAAGAAAAAATAACTTGAACATAGAGCTAGAATAAATAAAAATATTAATTTATATATCTTGTTTTTAAAGGTCGTTGGAAGCCAACAGATGACATTTTGTTAATCGATGCAATTGAACAACTCGGTGATTTGTCTCTGGTGCATCTTGGTGTCAAATTTTCTTGTCATTTCACAATTGAAGAAGTACAAGAAAGATGGTGAATATACTGGAATTTTTTTTTTGAAATTTGTTAAATTTTACAACATACAGTGACAATTGAAAAAAAATCTCGGACATGGGGTAAAAACAATGATTCAGTATAAAAATGTTGATTTTACAATAAATTCAAAAATATGGGAATATAGTCGCTAATTTTTTAAATTGACTGAATCTATGACGAATTACTTTCATTGAAATGCTTCTATGTAGCACAGTTACCTTCTTCTATTGTAGTTTTGTGCAGATATTGGAATGTAAGTGATAGTTTGAAATTCAAAATAAATTATAATTCTGAGCAAATTTTAAGAACATATTGACTGTTCTAAATTTTTTACTTTTACTCCTTGTAATTTCTTTGGTTTGATTTTTCATACAGGTACGCCCTGTTATATGATCCTGTCATATCATCTCTTGCACGTCAAGCAATGAAAGCAATACCAAGAGAAATTGTTACTGCTACACATGCAAAGGTTTGATATTTATTTCTTGTGTAATTAATTTTAAAACACTTATACCATAATTTGAATGTGCAATTTTGTTTGGTATTTTGTCATTACATAAAGCTCTGATATTTTTTTCTTTTTTCTATGGTATTAATGAAGTCAAATGTCGGATGTTTTCCATATCATATATATTGTTTATGACCTATTATTGTATTGTGATGAACACCTTTATTTTTTGTCATAAAACTTGTCAATACAACAAGTAATTTTATTTTTAAATTTATTCTAAAAAGTGACTTACTTTTTATATCTTCAATCTCATATGTTTCAAATCTTATGACATTGTTGACTGTGTAATAATTTATTTGATCTTGTACAACCATATCAGGCTGAAGATGATCTTTGGGCTTGTATTGCACTGAATTGAACATTCATTATTCTTTGCTTGGGTGTAGTATTTCTTGCAAGTCAAGAGGAAGAAAACGTATTTCCTAATATCCTGGTTATTTTTCTTATAGGTCATTTGGAAAAATTTAAAGAAGTAAATATCAATAAAAATATTTTATTCCAGGCACCTTTCAGTAAAGTAGAAGAATCTCATTTATGCAAAATTCATTCCACGAACCCTCCATCGTTAGAAGATCTACAATCTTTACTCGATGAAAACATTGACTCATTTCATCCGAATCGAACTGCACAATCAATGTTAAACCACTGGAACCTACTTCATCAATATCATTTACTTGACGACCAAGCTGTTCAACAATTGCCAAAGGGAGATCATGTGCTCAATTTTTCTGATGCAGAGGACCTTTTAGAAGACAATGGTAAGATTTTAATAACTGAATTGAATAATTATCACTTTTATCATTGATTTTAATTATACAAATTTTGGATGAAAATTCTTACTGAATCAATTCAAGTCCATGCTTTCAGGAAATATGGGTTTATATGGGCATGTAGGGCTGAGCATTTTGGATAGAGTATTAAAATTGAATTGTATATAATTCGAATCGGTACGGATGAGTATTTTGAATCTTCGCCTTCTTGTTTTTTTGTCTGCCTGCAGGTCAAGATGAATCCCTCATTTTTTTTATTCATGTCAAATTTTTAAAATGCAATTCTAACATATGACTTTTTCCTTCCGAGTGCGATATTGATGGAACATGTTCCCTATTGTTTGTGAACACCCAGCGAACTGTCTGAATGATGGATTATGTGATTCACTAATTTATGTGTCTGATGCACCCATTACAATGAAACAGTCAATACAACTACATATCTTCCGTTCCCAAGTATTCAAGATTTGATTTGATTTGAAAAATATAGTCAATTCGATCTGAAAACATCAAAAATACGAAAATGCCCAGCCCCCAGTTGCATGTAGTAACAACTCCTTCAATCAAATATACTTTTTTTAATGCCTTTTGTTAAGATGACTGTTTTATCTTTTTTTAGCACCAACTGGGCCTTATGATCAAGTGCTCGGAGCAGAACTAAATCTAGCTGATCGTAGACAGAAGAGAGAGATTAAGCAACTTGAAGAAGAAAATGAAAAATGGAAGGTCAGTCGAGGGTTACCACACAACGTGGATAAATTTAATATGTTGTTATGTTGACTTGTAATATTCAGTCATTAGTCGATAAACTGTCGGTGTTCATATCCAAATAATCTGGTGTTTTGTATATGACCTTGGCGCAGGGCGTAGCCAGGAACTTTTAAAGGAGAGGGCCTGAAATTTTTAATTGCTAATTCAGACCGTAACAGCTAGCATGTCCCACGGGAGGTCCGAAAGCGTGGGTCTAAAAAGTATTTTAAGCTATGAAGAATTGCTATGCAGGATCATGATACAGGAATATGCTTTTTTCACTTTTCAAAAGGAGGAGGTTCCGACCTTTTTTTTTTTTTTTGTATTATTAGTTGCCGAATTAGATCAAGATTATTATTCATTTTTTTAGAATTTTGAATATCATGGTTTTAATTACCACCATTTCAATAAGTCATATTGTATATACGAATTATAAAATCATACAATACCAATTTATCGATCACATATATATACATATTACATCCATTTGAAGTTCAGTATAGTTGATCCGTGTCATTTTATTAATTTATAATTATATTACCATCAGTAATTAATTTGCATGGAAAAATAAAAGTTTTCAATAACTTAATTTATTATTATTATAATTATTATTATTAATTAATTCCGACCTTAAACCCCCTAGCTACACTGATTCCTTGGCGTACTATGTTGGTGCCTATGTTTATGGATCCCAGGTTTTGACCCCATACCCACCGATTCATTCACCCAGAGTGCAATTATTCTGGAATATATTGTTAACCTTTTTTGAAATTTGACTTATCGGAAGACAAATATTTCTATCAGTACTTTTTATTGGACGATATAAGCAAATCTGTTTTGACTCTGCTACACTTTATTGTGTTGTGGCTCTTATTTCTCCTATTTCCAATTTTTTGCAGTAGCCTCGTATAGAAACTGTTGTCTCTTTACAGGTTTTAGTTTCAAACGTTGCAGAAACACAACCAACTTCACAGTTTGATGAACAGACATTGGGAGTTCTTCAAGGACGATTGGTCAGATATCTAATGCGATCTAAAGAAATCACTCTGGGTAGAAAAACTGTAGACACCAATGTGGATGTCGATTTGTCATTGGAAGGTCCCGCTTCGAAGGTAGATTGTTAAGATGCTTTAAATATTTTGTCTTTACTTTTTTACAAGTTATACAAAAATGTGTGCCTCCTCTGCATGGTTGATATAGTTCAACCATCCGCGTCTTATATTTGATGAATATTGTTGTACTCATGTCAAACATTTGTTGTCCCAAAATTCTTCCTTATTCGTACAGCACTCCAGGGTAAAACTTATTGGGCACACAAGAGGCTAAAGTCTAACCATAATTCTGTTTCTTAGAATTCTTAAACAATCAATCGTTTTCAAACTTTTTAAGCTGCGTCCCCTTTTTTCAAAATATATCAAGTCTTGCGTCGAACCTAAAAATAACTAGCTAAAAATAAAGCTACAAATAACAGATAGGTAGTAAGGAGTATGTATGTTTTTTTGGACCTCCTGAAGTATGCGCACCAAGATGGCGCACAACCTCAACTCAGGTTGTGTACCAGGTTAGGGTTCAGGTTATGCGACGTCTAGGTGCGCATACTTCAGGAGCACCTGTTTTTTTTTTTTTTCTAAAACACATTGAAAATACGTGGATGCAATCTTTAAACAATGAGGAAATGTAAATATCCAAAATAAGGCGGGCAAGATCAAATCTAACAAATATTTTTAATTAGCTTCACGTCTCCTCAAATAATTGTCTACAACCCCCTTGTGGGCCAAGCAACACTAATTTTCCCACAATAAAATGGTTAGATATTTTGAATGCCATAATACCTCATTAGATTTTTTACTGCTGTAAACATTTTGTTTTAGATAGTCTCAGAACCAGTTTTATTGATAGCTCCATTAATTTGAATAGTTTCCTTGAAAATTCATTTTGGATTCATTTTTTTCTTTATGTTGAATAATTAAATTATTTGTTTATTTACGTTATTATGATTGCATTCCAGTTTTCATTAAAGAAAAAATACTAAATATGTAAGAGTTTAATTTCAATTATTGTTTTCTTAGGTTTCACGAAAACAAGGAACAATAAAATTGAAGAAAAATGGTGAATTTGTTTTAATAAACACTGGGAAACGACCAATCGTTATGGATGGGAGACCGATATTGAGTGGCAATAGAATGAGACTTTGTAATGATTCAGTCATTGAACTGGGTTTGCTAAGATTCGTTTTCATCATAAATGAAGATTTGGTAAAAACTACCATTCAGAAGAAACCTGTGGTTCGCTAATCATGGTTTCATGCTAGAGACATCAATCATGGATTCTTTGAAGCACTGCCACATTATTTGTCAACTTGTTTTCTGTTTTTGTAATAAATAAATGCTACTTTGGGCACATGTTTACATGCATAGGATAGAAATTGTTGCACCAGTGCATTTTGGTTAAGCCAATTTCAAAAAAATTTCTTCCACAGAACAGAAAATACCCTTTGCTGTAAAAGAGAGCTGTGTTTCAAGAAATTACCGCGGAATTCCAACCTTCGAAATTACAGATTTCCAGCCCTCGTTTTTCTATGCCATTTCGAAAAAACGAAGTAGGTAATATCACTGCAAGAACTGGGATTGCATGAAAGCTTGGGTGTACCTACTTCTATCTAAAAACAATCCTTCCATTACGATGCTTTTATTCAATGCTCTCTAATCAGTGGTCTGCGATCTACGAAAATTTTTGCGGCGATCGTACAACTTCACTTTTAATGCATAAAAACATGTGTCAGAAATGTATGTCGTAACAGCTGCTTCACGGTGTAATAATTAGCGAAAGCACACGACGGCCGCACGTCGATTTCTTGCTGAACTTGTCCAGTGTCGGTTTAATCATTCATTGTTTAACGTACAAAGAAATCGGAGAGGTCAGCTCCCCCATATTCACTATTTTAATTACGTATACCGGTATAAGATTAACAGTTAGTAAAAAGGAGTTGCGAGTGCGTCATGGTTTCAAGTTTGATGTGGCCTACACACTACTCCTAATGTAGATATTCGACCCATGGACCTTTCCCCGAGCATCGACTTCCTTGTTTACTTCGTGACATTGGCCAATCAGCAAGATGAAAAAAGTGACGTAACAATGCCCCCTTTTTGCATCCGCTCAGACACTTTTCTCACTCAGACAGATTTTCAAGCGTGGTTGTAAATATTACCTCGTTTTCGCGTTTTTGAACTCTATTCGTTAGTTTTCAGTTGTGTTTCGGAAACTTAAATAAAAATCAGATAATCCAATGATCACTCTGTCTTCCTAAGAGTTTTAATTTAATTGCAGTAATAAAAATTTGTGTAGAAATAGCTGTGATAGACTAGCCTGAAATTCTTTACCGGTACTTTGAAAAAACCGATTGTTGTGTGCAATGAATCATAATGATGGTTTGAAACACATACCCCATTTTACAGGCGCCAACTCGCAAAAGCACTCCTAAAATAGCACTGAAAATTTTGCAATGGCAAAGTATAGGAAGAATTTTCCGGGTGTCAAAGGTCGGGGAAAGGTCCATTGTCCAGTAGCACAACTTTTTCCGACCACTGTGTTGAGTGGAAGTTCTTGGACCACAAGTTACGGGTCATCCGAGTCTCGAAAGTTCGAAGTCAGTCGATCACTGAGTAAGGTCTTACTGGCGGTTACTTAACTACGAATCCGAGTCGTTTGATTAAAGCGACTTGGATCACTTCGAGTCTTTGGCAACTTTTCTTTTGATGAACGGTGATTGGAACCCACGAATAACTACAACGCCACCAAAACCAGATGGCGCTGTTCGCATCGGGTGGTTCTTTCTTTTTGTCGATTTACCGAATGACTATTTTTGGCCTTTTGTGTTTCGTAATGAAGCTAATATGATACTACGCGCGATTGCGCCACCGTGGTTGCTGTGTTTGTATTACGGTGATGTTAAACATTAATTTTTGTATCTGTATAGGTGGGTTCCGGAATTTCATCATCGCTAACGGTACCGTATATATGTAGGTCGGTGAAACAATGAACACAGATCGATAGACTGTGGTCTTACCGGTACAGTCTTAAATTACCTAATATATGTTCACAAAGAGCTGAAAAGAGCAAATTCAGACATACCGATACGCTGGCCCTAGGCGAAAAGAAAATGAAGATTTAGGTGCACTACTGCGACCATTAGAGAATTATATTCTATAGCTTTCTACAGTTGTATGTTATTTAACTTTATTCAGCTTTCAGGCTTATAAAAGCAATCATGTTTTGCTTCTTTCTGTCCTATGTCCAGCTAAGATTTTGGCCTGTTTTCAGAGAAAGCCTAATTCTAGTTCCTATTTGCATATTGTTGTATCCAATTACATAATTGGCCTAAGTACCGGTACTGAAGTAAGGGGCCATTTGCCAATTGTTTATTGTATCGTTATCTCCAGACCTCTCAGTCATACCGAAAGCTTTTGTTTCACTTATTTTGTTATTTTCACAGTATTATATTTTATATTAGGCCTATGTGTTTTCTGGTTGCCGAAATGATAAATTCTCTCTCTATATCCTGTTATCATGAAAATACCAAGGAATAGAAGAATTTCAAATATGAAATTGAGATCTATGGCAGTACAGCAGTATGGCTATTCCCATTTTTAGGTTAGCATTGTATAATTGAAATTATATTCAGCATAGATATTGCCAGGTTTTTGAAGTGTAGGGAACAAAACAGATCTTATCAACTGCTTCAATGATATAAAAATTGTAAATTAAATCTTTTTAATAGTGAAGAAATTAACTCCTAAAGCTGCTGGTTTTATACAAATACCAACACATATTTATTCACATTGTAACGTGTTATTCATCGATTTATCTCGACCAATAGAAACATTTTATATAGTATTTCAATCTATCACAACAGTCTATATCTCGCATTGAATTCAATGTGTGAAAGTTGCAAAATTTTTGTATTATTGTGGCTTTGGTTCCAATATTTAAAATTTTTAAATTAAATTTTTTCTTTATAGCACTAAACATTTCCTATTTTTTCAGAAATTTTATTTTTTTCTGCTATAAATTAATCAAAAACGAAAGTTGAACAAGCAATTGGCTGATGTGTAATGAGTAGGCGTACCGGTTTTTACGGAGGCTCACCTGGCCCACCTATCGACGAAAGATCATTAACGCATCATGTACCACAGTTGTATGGTCAGATTACACCAGGAGGTAACCATGTCTATGGTGGTCCTGGTATACCATATGATCCTCCACCCCAAGAGATGAATGGAAATGATTCTGTTTATTATACCCATCATGTAGGGGGAAATGTAATGCCCAGTAATTATGCTGATTTCAGAAGTGTTCATATGAATACTTATCCATATGTCCCGAGAATGGGTCAATTTTATTATGGGGGTGGCCCGGCCCCTTATTATTATACAGCCCCTCCTCAATTTGTTGATGACAATTTTGCGCACGGCCAACAGTACACAGAATGGTCTTCCAATGATTTTTCGACTCCAAACGACATGTCGCCACCAGAATCTACCACTGTGGAAGACAACGCTACTGCTGCTGAAGCTCGGTCATCTAGTAACGAAAGCGCTGGGAAATCGCGACGATTTAGCAGACAACGCAATGTTAAAGATGGTGATGGAAATAGACCCCGTAGTGCGTCAAATAAAACACAATTCAAAAATGTACCTAAACATGAAATAAGATTTAGTCATCAGAAACGACAATTAGACACTGCTCCAATATCCGAACAAAAGTCTGTTATAAAAATTGATGACGATGACAGTGCTGAGGCTTCCAATACAGAAGATTCAAGATTTTCTATAATTCGAAGTATTGGCAAGAGAGAGATTGACACTGGTTATGATGAACCACAAAAACCGAATAGAGGACCAAGACAAAACAATAAAAAAGAGAAGCCGAGAATCATGAAGAAGAAAATTGACAAGCCTGTGGTAATTGAATCATCAGAATCTCAACTTAATCTTTTATTGGACCAACTTACATGTGGAACTTATGAATGCATGGTCTGTTGCGATCGTGTCAAACAACAACACGCAATATGGAATTGCAGTAAATGTTATCATGTTTTTCATATGGGGTGCATCAAAAAATGGGCCCGGTCCCCCTCCGCTCATGTTGAAGGTGAAGGGTGGCGATGCCCAGGTTGCCAAAACATTACCAAGAAATTCCCAAGCACCTATAACTGCTATTGTGGAAAAGTAAAAGAACCAGAGTGGAATCGCAGAGAAACTCCTCACTCATGTGGAGAAGTTTGTGGCAAAAAGCGAAGCAACAATGATACATGTACTCATCCATGTAACATACTCTGCCATCCAGGACCGTGTCCTCCATGTCCAGCCAGTGTAATTAAGCCCTGTTTATGTGGGAAGATGACAAGAAAAGTAAGGTGCAGTCAACAAAAGCCATTGACATGTACAGATGAATGCGGGAAATTGAAAAATTGTGACATTCACAAATGTGATGTTATATGTCATGCTGGTGACTGCAATGACTGTGACGTACTTGTGGAACAAGAATGCTTTTGTAGTAAAAATAAAAGGGAAGTTTTGTGTGGTTCCGATCAGTTTAAAATTACTCGTACCAAAGGCAGAAAGCAGGTTTACTCTTGTGAAGGTATATGTGAGAAAACACTTTTGTGTGGTCATCACAATTGTGCTGAAGTTTGCCACGAAGGAGACTGCAAGCTGTGTCCTCTACGTCCTAGTGCTGTAACAACGTGTCCATGCACTCAAACAAAGATTTCTGATTTAGTTGATGAAGATGGTAATAAAGCTGTTCGAACGCAGTGTATTGATCCTATTCCTCTATGCGATAAAACATGTAATAAACCACTGCGATGTGGTGGTGACAGCATTCATACATGTAAACTTAAATGTCACACTGGTCCGTGTTCTCCATGTACGGACGATATATCTGCCATTCATTGTCGATGTGGGAAATCAGAAGATGAAGTACCGTGTTCTGAAATACCAGAAAAATTGTATATTTGTGATCGACGATGTAATAAAAAACGCAAATGTGGTCGACATAAGTGCGGAAAAACTTGTTGTATCGATACAGAACACTTGTGTACACAGATATGTGGAAGAAAACTTGAATGTAAATTACATCGATGTGAGGAACCTTGTCACAGAGGGAATTGCCACACCTGTTATAATGTTAGTTTTGAAGATTTGAGTTGTCATTGCGGAGCTGAAGTCATGTTTGCGCCAATTCCCTGCGGCACGAAACCACCTGAATGCTTGAGAGAATGCATGAGAGTTCATTCTTGTTTTCATCCTGTTAAACACAATTGTCACAATGAAGAAAAATGTCCACCTTGTGTTGTTTTGGTCAAGAAACCTTGTAATTGTGGAAGGATAATTCGAAGTAACATTCCATGTCACCAAGAGAATGTTTCATGTGGTGCACCTTGCAAAAAAGTACTCCCTTGTGGTCATCACTGCCTGAAACCATGCCATCAAGGCCCATGTATGGAGGAAAATGACAAATGTACTCAACCTTGTAGCATTATGCGTGTTGAATGCATTCATCCCTGTGCAATGTTTTGTCACCAAGGTCAGCCTTGTCCTCCTTCACAATGTAAGGCTATGGTCACTCTTAAATGCAGCTGCGGAAATCGCGAAATGCAGGTAGAATGCTCAGAGGGAGGAGCGACTTATCAACGGATATCATCAGAGGCATTCGCAAGGCAACAACAAATGAGCAAAGGCACTGTTGACATTAGCAATCTCTTTAACAGCGGAGGAAAGCAGAAAGTCCTTCCGTGTAATGAACAATGCAGTGCTATCGAACGAAACCGTAGATTAGCAGAAGCCCTGAATATTGATGAACAGGCTTCAGCTGTAGTGGAACAACATATCTATTCATCTTTTCTACAGATGTGGGCCAAACAAGATCCAATGTTTGTTCAAGGCATAGAACAAGAGTTAACAAATATCATTGAGGCCGTAGCTTGGTTGGATAAAACTAAACGTTCTCACACATTTCCATCTATGAGAAGAGAGAAACGACAAGTTATTCACGAACTTGCTGAAGCTTTTGATTGTAAATCTGTCAGCATTGATGAAGAGCCAAATCGCAGCGTTCTTGTTACCGCTGTTCGAGGTGTGAGCAAAATTCCACGTCTTCTCTTGAGTGACAGCGTGAAAAAGAAAGAACCTGAACCAGCATTTCGAAGGCAAACTGAGAGTCAAAGTAAGACAAGTAATACCGTTGATGGCAAAAAAAGACTTCTGAGCTCCATGAAACTTGTGTCTTTGACATCTGCATCCCCTTCATCAGACGATAAAACAAGTGATTCCAGTCATCACATAAAAAGACCAGCTTCCATTCCTCGTATGCCGAGTTATACTTCATCAGTTGCCAAACAGTCTACTACCAGCGTTTCTGGGAAATTCTCAGCTGAACACACTGCTAGAGTTGGTTATTCAGATGGAAAATTGTCGAATACTACTCCATCCAACAGCCGGAGTAATGCATATAGACCAGCAAGTTACGCTCGGACCAGCCAATCAACAAGAACGCCATCTGGGTCGGCAGCATCTGGAGGCAAAAATGAACCAGAAATTGACTATTTTGATATGACTGGTTAAAATCGATCTACAAGATTATTTGTGGATTGCTGTTTCTTTTATTATTAGGGGGCTAAAGACTGAGGTGAAGTTGGCCAAGTTTAGATATGAATTATTATGACTTTATTGAATATACTTACCGTAGAATTCTTGTTGTTGAAATGTGCTAAGAAGCAGTTCGTGTTGATATAAATGAACCAATTTATGCATTAAAAATAAATATTGTAACTTGTGAAATAGGCTTTTTTCGTGTGTAATTGATTATATTAGATCGTTTTTTGATTGTCAGCCAGAAATTTCATGTACATGAGCATAAGTTAATTTGTTAAAACGTACAGCATCTTACTCAGATGGTGCTTGAAATTCTTGTTTGTGTATTAATAATCCTGTATATTGTTTAAGTTTCATCATTGGTTGGTTATGGAATTTTGTTGAAACGAGCTTTTCTTTTTCGTGAAGTGAGTTTAACTAAGCAGTGTGTAAAATATGCTTGGAATAAATGATTTGAATTGTTGCATTTGTGTTTTTTTATTGTATCATATTACTAGAGATTGAATATTCGAAAGTCTGTTAAAATTATATCTTTCATTAAGTTCTCCGCAATGGTTCCAAAAGAAAATGACTCGCAGCCTAGAGAAACGTCAGAATCCCTTTAGTTTAAAGCAATAAGTTTTAGTCATCAGTTCGCATAACTTGTCGTAGTCTTGAGATAGCAAAATACTTGGTTGGAAACGACTTACCAAATAATACGATTCACGAATTTATGCTTTAGTCGTAAAATTAAGAATACGCAAGCTTGTTTAACAAAAAATCGAAATTGGGCCCTTTAGATGCCTTGGCGGATTTGGATTGGATTTGCATATTTATCCCGGGGGATAGGAAAGCCTATAAGACGGCGAACCAAGGCCTCTCGTCCGGTTGAGGGTTCATGTCGGGTATGAGATTAGTTAGCCAGTTATTTGTTTTCGGAAGCATGGACTTGAAGGTGGAGGAAGCCGTAACCGACCAGCCGTTACGTGAACCACCTTTCGCAGATATATATATATGTGATTGAATACTGTTTTTTTTTGAGTAACTTTGGTTTAATGACAGATGGAAATTCTCTTGTCAATGTGACTCGTATTTATCCATTTTATTGATGTTTGTGAAATCTGCTATGACTCTTCAACTCGAAATAGCATGTAACGTGACTTGGGACTACCCTGTACGTATGATTGCTCTTTAATATAATCTCTGGAACGATGTTGGTTGCCCAAATCACCTAAGCCGTACTCGCAAAATAAGACATTTCTGATCAGGTGAGATACCCTCCTTGTCTTGAATTTTTTATTTCCCATTTTCAATAGTATCCGATGCTTCAACCTTAAGGGTTATGTTATGGTCTTGCCAGTTAACGTCGATCTAAAGATCGGTAAGTATGTTGATAGGTATTTGTCTGTATGTCTGTTTGTTTGAATGATAGATGAACGCGATATCTCACGGAGGCGAAGTTCAATCTGCTCCAAATTTTGCATGTGCATTCATCATATCTCGGACCAGAAGCCTATTGCCTATTGAATGAATTATAACGTTTAATTAGCGAGTTATCAATTAATTAGTGATGGGACACGCGGTGTCACTATAGAGTCATGAATCAAAACCGCAGTTGCGATCAATAAGTCTTCGGTCTCCGCCCGACATTCTCGTTTATTTGTTTCTGATGTGTGGACTTGATGGTGGCGGAAGCCGTAGTGGTCTGTGACGTAATCCATCTTGCGGCGCAATGGAGTCTAGCAATCCTTTCGTACATAGGATTTAGGCCTACATATATATATCCTGGGGGAGAGGAAAGGGGTCCAGGCTGCTTAAACATGTGGCGAATCACGGCCTCTCGTTCGGTTGTCAATTCATGTCGAATACCTGCATAAGATTAGTTATAGCCTGTTCTTTTATTTTCAGAATCATGTACTTGATTGTGGAGGAAGTCGTAACCGAACAGAGGTTACGCGAACCACCCTACGGCGCGAGGAGTCCAGCAATCCTCTCACACATAATTATCCCTCACGGGATTCAAACCTGTGAATTCACGCAGGGTAATCAGAGGTGCTGTGGCAATCGTATTCCTAACACTTAGCACAATGCGCTGCATAAATATATATTCAGTACCGCTACGTCATGATTTCAACACAACGAGGCAAAGTCGGTGGACTATTAGAACTGTCCCATGTATAATTTTTCAAACAAATTTTATAAATCAGGCACACTATTTATTGTAATATTGGAAGAACGGAAGCATTTTAACGCTGCTAATATATTTGGGACTTTTACTGTATGATCTACTTTTGTAATTTTTTTTGTTATTGCTATTATATTATGGAATACTATTCTAATTTAACTTGCTGAAGCAACTATCCACAACCCCCTGGTTCATACCGGCACCGGTCTGTGAATCCATTTGCGAGCTACGCACAATCTATTGGTAGGTGATTTGGGCGTTAAATTTGAATGACGAACTATAGTAGAAATAAAAATTATAATATTCCTTTTTCAAAATATTCTTACTGAACATGGCGTGCTCAGTGAATAGAAAAATGCTTAATCTTCACAAAATACGGAATCTGCCTACTTCGATTCGCACCGTAAAATCAATGGGATCATCGTTCTATATGCAGATGGACAAGACCTGTAATTTTTTTTGACAAGTCGTTGAAAATTACACTGAAATTTTTAAATCGCTCCATCATTTTTTTGAACGAGCGGTTATAACCATCAAAGAGAATATCGTCGCGTATATGTTTCTCGAAACCACCCGTTTATTAACTTCCCCGATAAATTAAGGAATACCTAATCCGGAACCACATTTATTCTTTTAATTTTTTTGTGTTCCGGTTTGTTAATATTAAAAATCTGACTCCGACTAACGGCAGTCAATTTGCATGCCATCAATAATTCATGTATTCAAGCATTTACATGTGTACTTCTTCTGAAAAACATTAAACGATCACACTTGCCATTTAGGTGCCAATCTTTGGAAGTACAAAATATTTCCAAGTCAAGTTTATACATGATATAAATTTAATCAAATATGATATAATTTATAATTCATCAAATCTAAAAGCATTGTTTCCCAACTTGACCTCGTTGTAATATTTTGTTTCAATCAGCATACGGATCATTGATTTGAAAGGCGGGTAGGCGATCCCTAATGGGTTTCAAAATATTTTTCTAAAATATACCTTTTTTTTATATAATCCAAGAATGACACTACGATCGATACTATATAATTAATTTTTTGGCCTGATATAAAGATGCCAATAAACGACTGGCAATACACACCAGGAGAAGGCAGGAAAGAGGTTGTTTGGGTTACCGCCTTACATTATGGAACACATTTTTATAAGTTTTCAATGCTATGAGCAAACCGTTATCTATAAGCTTAATGGCAATCCTAATATATAATCATAATTCACTAAAATGTTAATGAACCGAGGGAGATCGATGGACGAAATACAATGTAGTGCTATGAAGTGGAATACTGTATATACGAAAACTACATTTCAAAATTATTGTAATACTCTTACAATGTCCATTGGTATATTGGATTCGTCGTCTTTCCGTGCGTATCTAGTGACTTTGTAGTCGTGGCAAATCTTTCTGATAGATTTTTCCAACAAGTTCCATATTTTTCAATACTTAGAAAGGAAAACTCAACTGATCGAACAATCGCCAAGAAAAAATCAAAGTCAGGCGAGAGACATATTCGTTACTTTGCATTAAAGCAATCGGAATGCGTCGATATCCCAGTGCCTCTGATTTGAACTTGGTAAGTTAGGGTATATGTACCATTAGGGCAAGACGCTGCAGTATATCCAAGGAAGGACAAAAAGAGCATAAAATAAAGTTACATTAGAATTGGTACGAGGTTATTTTTCGATTGTTTTTTTTTCGATGTTTCGTTTCAAATTCGGTAACGGTGGAGCAAAATAACGGTTTGGATGAAGCCAGATACGGGGGTTAATTAGTTTAACAAAATACCCCCAGAAGATATTTTCTACTTTGGCAATGAACTTTCGCATTTAGTTTGTTTGATTTCAATGAAAAAGAAGTCCAATTTTATTTCCGAAAAAAAGTTTAAAATTATAGTTAGTATATAGTTAGCATATTAGTATTACTGATATGCCAAAATTGAGCATTTATACGCTGATATGAAATACTGGTATGAGAAAACTCGCTGAAAACTAGAGACACATTGAAGCATGAGAAATTATACGCAAATATTCCATCGTTAACAGTACTGGTGTAGATGTCTTGAGTAACTGTTAACTGGCACAGATATGCAATATTCTGAACATATATAAAGAACCTGTTTATTCTGGAAATTGAAACAATACACTTTATCTGATCAATACGTTCCATTTAGTTTAGGAAGTAAATTCAATCAAGTCAATATTGCACTGTGAAGTAAAGTTTCAAATTCCAACGAGTAATCTTATTATCCCTTTATTTTCGTAGCATTTGAACTCAAGCTTAATAAAGCAGTGTTATCTCATCATTTATTTATTGCACTGGTTCAATAGTTAGAGGTATTAACTTACACTTTACATTGATGTTTGCAACTTTAGTAATCTGACAGAGACTTGCTTGGTTTACATCATCCTACAATACTGCAGCAGTAATCAACTTAACTTCGTTAATATATATTTATTGAATCTTGCGAGTGTGGCGCGGCTTCATTTCTTTTTTGGTACTCCCGGAGTATGTGAACCAAGATGGCGGACACCGGAACGTAGTATGTGTACCAGGTTAGTGTTAGGTCATAATTTTATTCCGATTTTTCTTATTTTAGTTCTATTACGAGTTCGGGGACTAGCCAAGTGACTCCCGCAGTATTTGTACCTGAAATTATGGCCTAACTCGGTACACATACTACGTTCCGGTGTTCGCCATCTTGGTTCACATACTTCGGGAATACCCTTTATTCTTGATTGACAAGTTACTGATTTGATCAACTTTATTTTCTGTAGGATGAAGTTGAATTTACTTATTATTTTTGGAAGTATTTAGGCTATGATTAGTTTAATGAAGTATCGATCACGTGAATAAGAATATCACAAGTAAAATGCGTCTATATTACGTAATAAAGCTTTGTGTGGTTCAAATCTAAAGTTGGTGAATACAATCTGGTTTGTACGTAATAAATTGATTTTTGTTCTCTGTACGTGGCTATACTTATTTTTTACGTAGCCCCAACTAAAGCCTCAACTCGCCACATTAGTGACATTTTCATCATCGAAATACTGAATTCCCAACGTCTTACTAATTCTCTTTCATCTTTTATGAGATGATAAGGTTTAATAATAATTTTAGTGGCGATTTTATCATAATGTCATACTGAACGGATGTTTTACTTCGTATTCGTCTCCCACGAAAGTGGAATTAATTTATAAGTGATATCAATCTATCTGGTTGACTGACAACACAAATGCAATTGTGATTTCAGACTAGACACTGCGGATTCTTGTTTGTTTATTATAATTTAATGGAATTGTAGAATAATTTATCACATGAACTGATGTGCCGATTGAAAGTAGAAACTTTTCAAGAAACAGAATTTTTAATATTTTTCAGTTTCTATCCAAATCCAATCCAACCCGTTACATATATTATTGGCTGTATATGGCCATTCATTTAGTGATTTAACATATAGAACAAAACCACCGTATCTGGGTGGAATTGGCCTTTGATCCGTGACGTCTTGCAGGAAGCAGGAAATGATCACGATGTAAATATAATTAGTATCACCGGCAAAATATAGATGTGCTGAATTCATGATGTATCGTAGAGTCTTTTTTGCTCATTATTTGCCTTCAATTATTACCAGAGCCTATATTCTATATTCTGTGACTATAGTAAAATCTCCGTGTATATAACCAATAAGATATTTAATTATTTTTTTATTGTGAAGTGATAGTGAATTTTTCTCAAAATCTCATTTTTGTGGGTTAGCATGTTAAATATTATGATACATTCCTAAGTTTGAATTTCTGATCATTTCTGCCAAAACATATCAGTAAATTGTCGTGTGCATCCATGCATCAAGAAATAAGAACTTTATTCGAATGGGTCGCATAACGGGATTTTAAAGTTAATATCGATTATAGGCTTTGGTTGCCTTTAAGAAGCATTCAGAATTCGTGGGATTCAAATTCACGGATTCAAAGTGAAAATGTGTTATCACAGTGATCGTAAGCGTAGAGATTCACCTGGTGTAGCGATATGACATATTGGTGTTGTAGATGAGACCACACACAATTGTAATTTTGGGATTCTTATATATATATAGAGTACTGAAGTATGCGTTAGATTACTTGTCGAGAAGAGTTTCAAAATTTCAAACAACAAAAACAAGTTTTTAGATCGATACTATTATAGCCAAGAGTTCCAACCTAAAACATATACATAATGCATTTATTGGAAGCTTGACAAGTCGGCAATGTAAAGCATTCTTCCTCTTCTCTATCGTTGCCTCACCATCGACTTCATTTATTTGACGTCAGCATAAGCTCACGTATGCTTTTTCTTCCATACAGTTGGAATTGTTACGAGTAACCAAAACCAACATTCATACAAACGCATGGAAGCCCGGAAGCAAAATATCTGCTAGCTGGCTATTGCATTATGTATTTGGAACTAGCTGATTTGGCATTGTTTTTGACCTGAATGCGTGAGGTTGTAGCTGTCATCAACGGGGTATCTGTGCTTTTGTTTTTTGCCAATGTGAATGTTAGGCTAACGTGTGGGCTACAGTGACAATTTTCTTATTCTAAAATGTTCAAATTGAGGCAGGTTAATTCTTGATGGTGTAAGGTTTGCTTTTTCATCTTTTTACTCAACAAAACACCATAAAAATATTTATTAATGCATTTATATTCAGTTGAGATTCCGGATAATATTACTGACTCCGAATCGAACATAACAAGATCTTGTTGGGCAAGCAGATTCATTTACGTCCGAACTTTGTTTAGCTGTCTGATTTTATCGGAAGGAGGAAACAGTGACCCTTTTATAAGCTTGTTATTCAACTATAATATTGGGGTCAACAATGACGTAATCTGTCACGATGACGTCATAGCCTAATATTGTCGATCATAATCACTGGAAGATACGCAACTGGGAAGTCGTACCAAATAGGCAAATACAACGAACTCGATGCCGAAGAAAGGCCAAAAGCCTATTCGCGTAAATTCTCATGAAACTGCTAAGAGAGTGGGAAAATGTCCAAGACAATCACCATAGATGTACTATACTCTATATATATATCTTCGATTTCATTTCTTGATTGATAGATGATTTACATTTTGTGAGTTGCTAGTGGGTTCCATTTAGGATGCACCGTGTGATTAGATTGTAGGAACTATCATTTAAGTCTTGCTAACTATTTAACTTGATGTGGATTACAAATTATGAATGTTTGCTCATATAAAGATCGTGAGCCCCCAATTATAAACTGAGAGTGTAGGCAGTAAAATGATAGGTTTATCTTCACGACGGAGGTTTAATGATTTGTCGTAGATGCAAGACTTGAAACGCTGTACAGTACGTATAGTACAGGAATTTGATGCAGTGTTAAAAGTATTTCGTTTCAGATTTATGTGTTAAAATTCAGATGTACCGTACCTTAATCTGCAAGTGAACTGGTTATTAATAGTCTGTAGTCGATTCGACCCAAAAATAGCCTCTCTGCAGAACATATTTCTTTATTCATTGACCATCAGGATGAAATTAATCTTATGCTTATACATTATTTAAAAAACAAGATTTTGTTGGCAACTCCTCATGTATGTAAAACTGAACTACCCACAGCCTAACAATTTCTACACCAACCGATGCGATGCCACATGCTTTATAAGCTACATGTAACTGCGTTACGCGATTTTAAAGAAGTTTTGAATAGAAAATTCTTGCAAAAATGTTTAAAATATTAGCAGAAATATTCAATGAACTACAAATTATTTTAGTTCATTCGAATTTATGAAACATTCCTAGGACAAAATCTATTTTGTTCTAGATGCTTCGTTCTAGACCTCCATAAACGCTAAATTTTTCGTCACCATATGCTCACGGTATAACCCAAGCAATGGCAATAATAATATAAAAATTGAATACCAACTCGACAAATATCAGATGAATTTGTACCGTTTATTTCTTCACTTCTGAACTCTCTGTTTTATCGACGCCATGCACAGTTGGTGTTTATTTTACCTCGTCGTCATGTAATTAGCTTTTGCGTAAGTCCCTGGGTGCAAATTTGTAAATCGGATTCGGTCTCTCGCTGCGAATATCCCGAAAATCAATAACACGAGGGTGATAATTGTCTGAAACGCGTGTTTTGAAGCGTATAGCATGTAGCAAAATCTGCCTGATGGATGTGTATTGGTGTTGTATTTATAGAATCCGATCATGCTTAAAGAAGTATCAACCAAGAATGAGTGGTACTTTTATTAAACGGCCCATCTTTGGTGTATATTTTTCTGAGACATTTTGAGAAATGAGAAATTTTGATATGGTGTGAAATACTAGATCTGCGCTCATGCGTGTTTCTTTAAAAGCCATTAACGCTTACTGATATAAATGTCTTTTTGGAAAGAAAATGCAATTAATTTCTCGTGATTAGTAATGCAGAAAATTCTTAGTATATGAAGCGTATGAAAAATCATATTTCTTGATTCTGTCGATGCACAATAAAAAGAATATGTATAGCCAGCCAGTAGCGATACAAATATTGCCAAAGAGCACGAGGTAAACAGGAAGGCCAATAGTTAAAACGTTCATAATCAGAGTGTATGATAAAGCATGCGTAATTTCAAGAATATTCAAATTATAATGTTGTTAGGGTCAGCCGCTCAGATATACTCGAAAGAGTACATAAAAAGATTGCATCAAGTCATGTGGTTGGTGTTTATGACATATGATAAGAAGCATCAGGTTAACCATATTCATCGCTCGATGATTTTTTAAATTGTCAGATCTAAATAAAGAATGGATTGCAACGGACTTTGTTTATCAATAACTAATGCGATTCGAAATACAGATAGAATGCCGTTGTTTCCGTTCCTGTATGGATACCAGACATAATTTGATTGTCCAGTTTTTTAATAGTATTTTCCTAAATCGCATTACGTATTTGCTTATTCATTTTCATGCATTCAACAAGTTTTTAGCTAACATTTGAAGTTCTTTGCGACGTATTGTACTTCTGACGTTATAACCAATCCCGTTCCATCGGCTGTTGTGTTTTTTACGTGTTATATTCCCCGCGAATGTGAATTACATGTCCGATCATTGAGTAGAATATTAAGGTGTTTGTACAGAGACCCAAGTGATCTCAATAGCTTTCAGTAAGTCAGTGGAGTGGACTCTCGAGTCGATAGAATGTATTGCTTTGTAAGAATCACGTACAAGACATTTCACAATCATTTTTGCTAGACCTGTTTAGACCTGACCCTAGTTAGGCAATAGCTCGATTAAATACCATCTACATAAACTTTGTTTTAGGTCCAGCAAATAGTTCATATACACGTCGTCATAACAGAAAAACAATGTCGCAGTCTTGATGTAGTATTTTCCGACAGGATTCATTGGATTATATTGAAAAGAATGGCTAGGATTTGCCAGTTATGGAGGGCATTGATCTTTATTTCCTGCGGATTATTCATTTCATTCGATGTCTGGTATCATTATTCTGCGCATCAATCTTTGTCGGAAATTACAATGAAATTGTTTCCGAGGACACTAAATGAAAAAGGTAAGTGTATAAATAAATATTACCACACGACTATATTCTTTGAAACATATTTACTGATGCTTCTTTCATAACCATAGGCTACCGCTGTTTGTCAGTATAAAATTGCTAACATTCAATAGTTGAAGCTTTCGGGGCATTTTGCAGTAGCGGAATTGCAAAAAAGGGATGTCGAAAGTCCTATTGTTCATATCTATACAATTTGAAGATCTTTACGAATTACCTGATATTTTATGGGAGACCACTCAATTACACTATTCAAACCGTTCATACTGCGTTAAATATTCCTGGGTACAACAGACTTCGTGTTTAATCTTTTTCATTTTAAATGAAATAATTATTGCTGTAATACAATTAAGCGCCAGGTTTGAAATTCACTACGGGGTAGCTCTTGGCCTTAATCCGTTTAAAGCTAATAGTTTTTCTATTAGTGTAAGGTTTATCGTTAGTGACGTTCATTGAATAATCCTATAATCACGTTACATTATTTTTATCGTGTCTAGCAGTTACCTACGTCGCATTTTTTTTCTTTATGTGACGAATTTGTAGATGTATTTTTTAGATAGCATATTCCCTGCAATCCGAAAAATACAACACAATCGTTATTTCATTATTTCGTTAATTTTATTTTAAAAAATTAAGCTAAAACTAGAACAACGTAGTATGGCTTCTGTGTATCTCTCTATTGATTCCTTTCATGCAGGAAATTATTTTTTGTCTGCTTTACACTGTTAAGACAATCTACTTCCTGTATAAAATAAATCCGTTATGTCCCTGCTTATGTGTAAAAACAATCTTTTATTGTGATACTTCTACAGCGACCATACTACCAAATTATTTTACACTGTTGTGTTCCTGTAAATTGAAGTTTCTTGTCTCTTCGGTATGTGTAGTAAAGCTGGCCGCAAGGGCGAGTCACACCCAAAATTGTTGAATACATTTTGTTGGATCCTAAAACCCATATTTTTTTTTATGTTTCAGCAAAAGTTGCATCAATAAAGAGACAAGTATATAAAGATAATGTTGATACAAAAGTGCTCTATTCTACTACCAGACTACCTACGAAAGCTTCACTACCCAAAACTGCATTTCATCCTCAAGATACATTGCCTGGATTAATAAGTATGGATAATGCATTAATGCTGCCTGCATTACCACCACAACAAAGCAAAAACAATAAAGATAATCATATTTTTTTCTATTCGCAAAAACGAGATCACAATTTCATTATTTCACACAACGATACTTGTATAGGAAATACCAAGAATTCCGAATCTAAAAAAGATATATTTCTACTAATGGCCATAAAATCAATGTGCAAATCCAGAGATCGAAGAAAGGCTATCCGAAGGACTTGGGGGAATGAGACCTATAGTAGTGAAGTATTAGGAGTAAAAGTAAAATTGATCTTCTTGCTCGGAGCTTGTGAAAATGTGAAATCACAAAAAGAACTTTTTGGAGAAGATCAACAACATTTTGATATTCTTCAATGGGATTTCATTGATACATTTCGGAATTTAACGTTGAAGGACTGTCTTTATCTTCAATGGTTTGCTAAAAACTGTAGACACGTGCCTTACATCTTCAAAGGTGATGATGATATTTTTGTGAACATTGGAAATATTTTAAAATTTTTGAAAGACTTGCCTGTTGAAAAATCGGACACTATTTTCATTGGGTCAAAACTAGAAGGAAGTCCTCGTATCGTTGAACCCAAATCAAAATATTTTGTAAGTTCAAATTTATTTTCCAAAAACTATTATCCAGCTTATTTATCAGGCGGTGGATTTCTACTCAGCGGCAAATTGGCAGTTAAATTTTTTCTTCAAACATTGAAAACTCGTATCATACCTATAGATGATGCTTTTTTAGGAATCTTAGCGGAATCATTAGGTATTGAACCGAAGAATGATAGAGGATTCAAAAGTTGGGGTATGAGAAAAGTCGATCCTTGTCGTCTTTCAAAGATTAAAACATATCACAGAGCATCGCCTAAGTATTTAGTCAAATTATGGGATGATTTATTAACTGTCAACATGGAAAAATGTGGCGAGGAGACAAATGATGTTTTTACACGTCAAAATTGATTAATCCAGAAAATGTCTTTAGTGAAACAGTGTCCTTTTTCATTCAAATTTTGTTGAAATACTGATAAGCACCCGCTCTGCAATTAACACAATCAACAGCTACTTTACAGCATCTTCCAGTACTGTCCTCGCATGGATACTTTTATTCAAATTAGGTTCACGTTTTTATCGAGGTTCACTCAGAGAAGGACCTAGCAATTTGGTTTAAAATTAATAGACTTATTCAAATGAAAAAGACAAAAGCCCTAGGATCTACATTGAGTTGAAATAACTCGTGTGCCGCTTTCAACCCACTAATTATTTGTACTGCATATTTTTATATATGAAACTAAGAAGTGCTATTATCAGTATTTCTAAAAAATTATTGAATTGAAAACTCATTATCGTACTATTTGGAAAAAAATCACGTGCTTGTTGTACAAAAATATTAAAAATGAACTCCATATTCGAACTCGGCTTAAAATATGAATCCATATATATTTATATTATACCGATGTCTGCAGAACTATATCATGTCATACCATATTTTCTAGTTTGTAATTGATATAAGTGACGAAATGCATTTTTGGGACGTGATACTCTAACATGTCCTTTGACACATAATTTTATATAACAAAAGTCTCAAAATTTTCTTCTGATATTTCCATCCATTTTTGAATGCAAAGCGAAATGCAAAATATAAAAGTGCAATAAAAATCTTCTGCTTTGTTGTGATTGTCGCCATATACGGAAGACTAGAAAAGTCAGCTTTTTGAAATAAGGAACAGAAGTAACTATATGAAGAACACTATATCTAATCTATGATGTTTCCACATTACAGAGATTACACCAGTAATATGCAATTTACTGTAGAGAGGTTTGAAATAGAGATCCAGCATTCGAAAATCCCGGGTGTTTATATATCATGAGGAAGAGCAAAACTAGCCATTTTCATATAATAAATGCAGCGAAGCAGCGTTTCGCCAATGCAGTTCTGGCGTTAATTGCAGGCCAATGATATTAAATATCAATTCAAAGCAGTCTAGCAGTTGCAGTATATATATATTCACTGGAGCAACAGCTTCTGTGAAAAGATATCTCAGTGATTGGCACAAGTAAATCTTTTAGATAATTTTACTGCAATTTTTTCTAACTAGATTCGTTCAGATGAAAGTCGCCATTTTCAGAGCCAAAAAGTCACTTTCATCGAAAATATCCTATTGGCTTAGAGATCACTTCGTTGACCATGGAACAATTATAATCTCAATCATGAAAAGTGACAGTACTTGCAACTAATTATCCGAAATGAAAATTGTAGACATTCTTGCTGAGTGATGTATTGTAGATAATAATTAAAGTAGCGTTAATTAAAATTCCTACGGCTTCTCCAGTTTATGAAGTATCGAGACGGAATACAATTTTTCCGCAAGATTAGGCCTATATTCTTCTGCGGAAGGTAGCATTCTTGGAATTTCAGTTTTTGACTTGGTTGACGAGAAAATGGCGATAAATTGTAAAAAATTGGAAATTCCATAACCACAGGCGCGATTTTTGTTGTTGCTATGGAAACGAAATATTCATCCGGACTCTCTATAAAACGCACATTACTAGGGTGAAAGGACTATAACCCACGTTAAAAATTTCAGCCAGATTGATCCAGCAAAATTGGGTAAATTTGTATAGATAATTATTGCCATAAATAAGCGGTATTTTCATATTGGATTCTTACAGTAAACAGATTTACCGCTACCCTAAACTAAATTATTGGCCAATTATTTATGCATGTAATTTTATATATATTCGGTACAATTTAATTAACGCATGGAGATGAGAATAAGCTCACTTATGATCATGAATACCCAGTGATGGAAAACAGGTAACTCATCAAAAACAACTTTTTATTAATTTTGTTATTCATCTTTATTTTAATTAGTAATTATGGAATCTTATTCACACAAGATAAAGCCGATATTGCAAATAGTAAGATGGAAATATTTTAGGTTGATCTGGTAATTGACTTCTAGTAATCGTAAATATCCTTTGTTCCAATATGCTATTTTAAAAAAAAATTGATTTCCGGAACTTCCTACGTTACTTCCCCGAACGTTTCAATATTTCCCTTTCGAGTTTTTTTTTTTATCACAGCATATGGGACATATAGTTCTATAGAAAATACTGTAGATCGGAATATCGAGAAAGAATAATACAGAGTGAATATGAATCTTCTAATTACTTCAAGACCACTAAGGTAATTGTTTACTTGCCGTATGTTTTCTTCTTCAAATTCTGTTCAACCATCAGAAAAAATAAATGATTGGATGGATCAAGAAGCAGCCAATATTTATACTAGTAATATCAAATATTCACAACATATAGCAGAATTTGTAATGGACCGCCTTATGAAAATAAAGGGGGATGAAGACAGCAAAAGATTCGATCTTGTCTTGGACGCTGGATGTGGTAACGGAAAATCTTTATCAGAAATTTTGTCCTTTTTTTGAAGAGCCATCGTATTTGATGCAAACGAACATCAAATTATCAAAGCAAAAGAAAGAAGAATAAATTCTGACACAGCAACATTTTTAGTCGGTAGAGAGAACGCGATGCCGGTCGAGGATAATTCTGTAGATTCACTGCTTAACGTTGGCGCTTGGCATTATATGGAACTGAATGAGTTTATAAACGAGTGTAATCGAGTTTTGTAGAATACTGGACTTTGTGCAGTTTACGATTCTTCATTTTCGAAACTGCAAGTACATTATCCTGGAAAAAATATAACTCAAAGAACGGTCGACGGAAGTAACCTTATCGAAACTTACCGAACAACTTTGCATAAGCATTTCAGTGAAATCGAGCACCCTGCTGCAGAATGGTTCAATCAATACCACAACATTTATGATCAAGTTCAATAGGGAGAGAATCGATGACCTAACTGTTCATTTTGACATGACATTAGCAGAATTGAAAAATTACTTTCTGTCTTTCCCAACATTCAGAAATCATCATAATTTATCCGAGAAAGAATTTGCTCCATTGAATGTGATGGGAAGTGATTCAAAAAAACTTGTAGATGCTGAAGGAATTGATGACGAAAAATTGCAACTACGTTTCACATTGTCAATGTTCTTAATATTTTTATATAAATAAAAATTTCTTTAACTTATACTCATAACTTTCAATTCACGATGAAATGTCCTATCAAAGTTTCTTCTATTATTGACACGATACTAACCAGCATCACTTATTTCTATCTAGCGCAGAATGGTGGATTGAAATCTTCGTAGTATATTTATGACGTCATCATGAATGCTTTATTTATGTCGCTTGATGTCAATGTCGAGCTCTCTTTCTCTCTCTTGCGCACTGCATGTTCCTTAGTGCTATGATTTATGACGTCTATGTTATATCCTAATATACTCAAGCATCCTGAACAGTTGTTTGTTTACCCACAAACAAGCAGACTTTTAATGAAACCTGTAAGTAGGCTGGTGGTTGTCGTGGTATGGAATTACACAAGTTGGACCAAATTTGTGGCTTTGAAAAATGTCTATCAATTAGTGATTAGTAATAATAAATATGTCTAGGTTGCCACTCCTTACTACAATCCTAACAGCAAGAATATAAAGCTTTGTTGTATTCGGCTAAGTGAACGATCTCAGACGGATAATTTGTAGGCACGATCTTCTGGTGAGTTCAACATGAGTTGCGTTGAACAAACGGCAGCCATGTAAAGTTTGTTGCAGTTGTATTTATTAAACAACATACCAAGCTGGGAGTTTTACAGAGTAGAATAATATGGTAATTTGCCGGAAGCTTTTGGAACATCCAAAAAAAGGTAAGAAATCAGGGGCTGTGCATCGAGTCTGACATATATTTGGTATGTTTATTGATGTTAATGTTGTTGGGACAAGATTCGGTTTTATCTCCTACTACTACTACTACTACTACCCTACTTCAGTTGTTACATATTGAGGTGTCCATTAGGAATATATTGCTCCAGTTTTTATCAAAATTTCTCTCGGCTTATAGTGACTTTTCAAGTATTGCATATTATGAATAAAATGCGCCACCATGTGCCGAATATGAAAAAAAAATCACCGTGTCCATTTTCGAGAAAAAATCATTAAACGCAAACATCTGTGTAATGTAAATAGCAATTTTAAAAACAAATTGGTGAATGGACCTCCTAATTTGTTATTTGATTGGCGAGACACTAGAGCAGGGCTGGGCAATTAGTTTTGCTATCGGGTCACTTTGAATATTCAAAATGCAGTGGCGGACCGGACTAAGTAAAGCCAATTGTTTGTTTTTAATGCATTTCATTACACATTTAAATAAAACGAAGTACTATTGTACTCCGTTATTTTTATTTAAAGCACAGGTATTAAAACTAGTTTAAAACATAAATATCGCGATTTCGAGAGAATACATAGGTTCACAGTTAAAGTATATTATATATGTAAATAAAATAAAAAGTGTCCAAATCTAGAAACCTGCTCGCGGGCCGGATGAAACGTTGCCGCGGGCCGGATGTGGACCGCGGGCCGCAACTTGCCCAGGCCTGCACTAGAGCGTGAAATGGTGCCACTTTTTGTCCGTCCAGGGGACGTACAATCAGCCATAATCTGAAAATAGCGTTATAGTGTGATCACAATAACGTCGGTTTAGAAAGGAAATACATGCTTATTAATCAAACAGTTTCAAATATGGTAACCCTATACTAGACTCAGTGAAACTAGAGCGTAGATCCAGCATTTGAAGTGTAGTCTGTTATGCTTTTATGCTCTATGAAAGCGACAAACTGTTGAACATAACAAATATTAGGGAAGTCGGGAAGCGTTGCCCAGCTTGACGGCTGTAGCACTAGTGACAATCAAGCTTGTCTTCTGTATCATCGTATTCTTAGTTACAGATTTGACTTCGTTATGTCGATCGGACTTCTAAAATGATTCAATCAGAAACTCAGTCTGTGAATATCATGCGAGATATTTTGTTAATGAAATATATTCAGAGTATTTTAACAGGATGTTTTGTCTAAATGTTTTTTCTTCTCGAACCAAACACTGTTGACTGCTGGTTTCACATATATATAATTTGTCCAAGTTCCCACTTTTGCTTTGTGTATCTCTCCAGCTCAACCTGTTTCACCGAAATTGAGTGAATTTGTTAGATAGATATTGTCGAATTCGTTATAAAACTTAGGCCATAAATAGGCGGTATTTTCATATTGGATTCTTAGAGTAGACAGATTTACCGGTACCTAAAACTAAATTATTGGCCAATTATTTATGTATGTAATTTTATATATTTGGTACAATTTAATTAACGCATGGAGATGAGAATAAGCTCACTTATGATCATAAATACCTCGTGATGGAATAACAGGTAAATCATCAAAAACAACTTTTTATTAAATTTGTTATTCATCTTTATTATAATTAGTAATTATGAAATCTTATTCACACAAGATAAAGCCGATATTGCAAATATTAAGATAGAAATATTTTAAGTCAATCTGGTAATTGACTTCCAGTAATCGTAAATAAGGATATTTACATATCCTTTGTTCCAATATGCTATTTAAAAAAAATTGATTTCCGGAACTTCCTACGTTACTTCTCCGAACGTTTCAATATTTCCCTTTCAAGTTTTTTTTTTATCACAGCATATGGGACATATAAGTCTATAGGAAAATACTGTAGATCGGAATATCGGGAAAGAATAATACAGAGTGAATATGAATATTCTAATTGCTTCAAGACCACTAAAGAAATTTTTTACTTGCCGTATGTTTTCTTCTTTAAATTCTGTTCAACCATCAGAAAAAATGAATGATTGGATGGGTCAAGAAGCGGCCAATATTTATACTAGTAATCTCAAATATCCACAACATATAGCAGAATTTGTAATGGACCGCCTTAGGAAAATAAAGGGCAATGAAGACAGCAAAAGATTCGATCTTGTCTTGGACGCTGGATGTGGTAACGGAAAATCTTTATTAGATTTTTTGTCCTTTTTTCGAAGAGCCATCGGATTTGATGCAAACGAACATCAAATTATCAAAGCAAAAGAAAGAAGAATAAAATCTGACACAGCAACATTTTTAGTCGGTAGAGAGAACGCGATGCCGGTCGAGGATAATTCTGTAGATTTACTGCTTAACGTTGGCGCTTGGCATTATATGGAACTGAATGAGTTTTTAAACGAGTGTAATCGAGTTTTGAAGAATACTGGACTTTGTGCAGTTTACGATTCTTCATTTTCGAAACTGCAAGTACATTATCCTGGAAAAAATGTAATTCAAAGGACGGTCGACGGAAGTAACCTTATCGAAACTTACCGAACAACTTTGCATAAGCATTTCAGTAAAGTTGAGCACCCTGCTGCAGAATGGTTCAACCGATACCACAACATTTATGATCAAGTTACTGGATTCAACAAGGAGAGAATCGATGACCTAACTGTTCATTTTGACATGACACTAGCAGAATTGAAAAATTACTTTTTGTCTTTCCCAACATTCAGAAATCATCATAATTTATTTGAGAAAGAATTTGCTCCATTGAATGTGATGGGAAGTGATTCAAAAAAACTTGTAGATGCTGAAGGAATTGATGACGAAAAATTGCAACTACGTTTCACATTGTCAATGTTCCTAATATTTTTATATAAATAAAATTTTTTTTAACTTATACTCATAACTTTCAATTCACGATGAAATGTCCTGTCAAAGTTTCTTCTATTATTGACACGATACTATCCAGCATCACTTATTTCTATTTAGCAGAATTGTGGATTGAAATCTTTGTGGTATATTTATGACGTCATGATGAATGCATTATTTATGTCGCTTGATGTCAATGTCGAGCTCTCTCGCTCTCTCTTGCGCACTGCATGTTCCTTAGTGCTATGATTTATGACGTCTATATTATATCCTAATATACTCAAGCATCCTGAACAGTTGTTTGTTTACCCACAAACAAGCAGACTTTTAATGAAACCTGTAAGTAGGCTGGTGGTTGTCGTGGTAAGGAATTACACAAGTTGGACCAAATTTGTGGTTTTGAAAAATGTCTATCTATTAGTGATTAGTAATATCTATATTCCTACTCATATCATGGCGAATTCTAGGTTGCCTCTTACTACTACAATCCTAACTGCAGAATATAAAGCTTTGTTGTATTCGGCTAGGTGAACGATCTCAGACGGATAATTTGTAGGCACGATCTTCTGGTGAGTTCAACATGAGTTGCGTTAAACAAAAGGCAGGTCGGCAGCCATGTAAAGTTTGTTGCAGTTGTATTTATTAAACAACATACCAAGCTGGGAGTTTTACAGAGTAGAATAATATGGTAATTTGCCGGAAGCTTTTGAAACCAAAAAAAGGTAAGAACTCAGGGGCTGTGCATCGAGTCTGACATATATTTGGTATGTTTATTGATGTTAATGTTGTTGGGACAAGATTCGGTTTTATCTCCCTACTACTACTACCCTACTTCAGTTGTTACATATTGAGGTGTCCATTAGGAATATATTGCTCCAGTTTTTATCAAAATTTCTCACGGCTTATAGTGACTTTTCAAGTATTGCATATTATGAATAAAATGCGCCACCATGTGCCGAATATGAAAAAAAAATCACCGTGTCATTTTCGAGAAAAAATCATTAAACGCAAACATCTGTGTAATGTAAATAGCAATTTTTGAAAACAAATTGGTGAATGGACCTCCTAATTTGTTATTTGATTGGCGAGACACTAGTACAGGGCTGGGCAATTATTTTTGCTATCGGGCCACTTTGAATATTCAAAATGCAGTGGCGGACCGGACTAAGTAAAGCCAATTGTGCGTTTTTAATGCATTTCATTACACATTTAAATAAAACGAAGTACTATTGTACTCCGTTATTTTTATTTAAAGCACAGGTATTAAAACTAGTTTAAAACATAAATATCGCGATTTCGAGACAATACATAGGTTCACAGTTAAAGTATATTATATATGTAAATAAAATAAAAAGTGTTCAAATCTAGAAACCTGCTCGTGGGCCGGATGAAACGTTGCCGCGGGCCGGATGTGGACCGCGGGCCGCAACGTGCCCAGGCCTGCACTAGAGCGTGAAATGGTGCCACTTTTTGTCCGTCCAGGGGACGTACAATCAGCCATAATCTGAAAATAGCGTTATAGTCACAATAACGTCGGTTTAGAGAGGAAATACATGCTTATTAATCAAACAGTTTCAAATATGGTAACCCTATACTAGACTCAGTGAAACTAGAGCGTAGATCCAGCAATTGAAGTGTAGTCTGTTATGCTTTTATGCTCTATGAAAGCGACAAACTGTTGAACATAACAAATATTAGGGAAGTCGGGAAGCGTTACCCAGCCTGACGGCTGTAGCACTAGTGACAATCAAGCTTCTCTTCTGTATCATCGTAGTCTTAGTTACAGATTTGACTTCGTTATGTCGATCGGACTACTAAAATGATTCAATCAGAAACTCAGTCTGTGAATATCATGCGAGATATTTTGTTAATGAAATATATTCAGAGTATTTTAACAGGATGTTTTGTCTAAATGTTTTTTCTTCTCCAACCAAACACTGTTGACTGCTGGTTTCACATATATATAATTTGTCCAAGTTCCCAATTTTTGCTTTGTGTATCTCTCCAGCTCAACCTGTTTCACCGAAATTGAGTGAATTTGTTAGATAGATATTGTCGAATTCGTTATAAAACTTAGGCCATAAATAGGCGGTATTTTCATATTGGATTCTTAGAGTAGACAGATTTACCGGTACCTAAAACTAAATTATTGGCCAATTATTTATGTATGTAACTTTATATATTTGGTACAATTTAATTAACGCATGGAGATGAGAATAAGCTCACTTATGATCATAAATACCTCGTGATGGAATAACAGGTAAATCATCAAAAACAACTTTTTATTAAATTTGTTATTCATCTTTATTAGAATCAGTAATTATGAAATCTTATTCACACAAGATAAAGCCGATATTGCAAATATTAAGATAGAAATATTTTAAGTCAATCTGGTAATTGACTTCCAGTAATCGTAAATAAGGATATTTACATATCCTTTGTTCCAATATGCTATTTAAAAAAAATTGATTTCCGGAACTTCCTACGTTACTTCTCCGAACGTTTCAATATTTCCCTTTCAAGTTTTTTTTTATCACAGCATATGGACATATAAGTTCTATAGGAAAATACTGTAGATCGGAATATCGGGAAAGAATAATACAGAGTGAATATGAATCTCTTGATTGCTTCAAGACCACTAAAGAAATTTTTTACTTGCCGTATGTTTTCTTCTTTAAATTCTGTTCAAACATCAGAAAAAATGAATGATTGGATGGGTCAAGAAGCGGCCAATATTTATACTAGTAATCTCAAATATCCACAACATATAGCAGAATTTGTAATGGACCGCCTTAGGAAAATAAAGGGCAATGAAGACAGCAAAAGATTCGATCTTGTCTTGGACGCTGGATGTGGTAACGGAAAATCTTTATTAGATTTTTTGTCCCTTTTTCGAAGAGCCATCGGATTTGATGCAACGAACATCAAATTATCAAGCCAAAAGAAGAAGAATAAATCTGACACAGCAACATTTTTAGTCGGGAGAGAGAACGCGATGCCGGTCGAGGATAACTCTGTAGATTTACTGCTTAACGTTGGCGCTTGGCATTATATGGAACTGAATGAGTTTTTAAACGAGTGTAATCGAGTTTAAAGAATACTGGACTTTGTGCAGTTTACGATTATTCATTTTCGAAACTGCAAGTACATTATCCTGGAAAAATGTAATTCAAAGGACGGTCGACGGAAGTAACCTTATCGAAACTTACCGAACAACTTTGCATAAGCATTTCAGTAAAGTTGAGCACCCTGCTGAAGAATGGTTCAACCGATACCACAACATTTATGATCAAGTTACTGGATTCAACAAGGAGAGAATCGATGACCTAACTGTTCATTTTGACATGACACTAGCAGAATTGAAAAATTACTTTTTGTCTTTCCCAACATTCAGAAATCATCATAATTTATTTGAGAAAGAATTTGCTCCATTGAATGTGATGGGAAGTGATTCAAAAAAACTTGTAGATGCTGAAGGAATTGATGACGAAAAATTGCAACTACGTTTCACATTGTCAATGTTCTTAATATTTTTATATAAATAAATGTTTCTTTAACTTATACTCATAACTTTCAGTTCACGATGAAATGTCCTGTCAAAGTTTCTTCTATTATTGACACGATGTTAACCAGCATCACTTATTTCTATCTAGCACAGAATGGTGGATTGAAATCTTTGTAGTATATTGATGACGTCATGATGAATGCTTTATTTATGTCGCTTGATGTCAATGTCGAGCTCTCTTTCTCTCTCTCTTGCGCACTGCATGTTCCTTAGTGCTATGATTTATGCTGTCTATGTTATATCCTAATATACTCAGGCATTCTGAACAGTTGTTTGTTTACCCACAAACAAGCAGACTTTTAATGAAACCTGTAAGTAGGCTGGTGGTTGTCGTGGTAAGGAATTACACAAGTTGGACCAAATTTGTGGCTTTGAAAAATGTCTATCAATTAGTGATTGAGTAATAATAAATATGTCTAGATTGCCACTCCTTACTACAATCCTAACAGCAAGAATATAAAGCTTTGTTGTATTCGGGTAAGTGAAGAACCTGACAGATAAGTGAGTGAGAAACTGACAGATAAAAACAAGAACTTGTTTTATCAAGCAAAAGTTATAAAAAGACGATGTGGCTATGCCTTTTTATGGACATCAAATGGAAAGGTATTAATAAAGAAAAACAAAGACACAAACACTTTACCTATAACAGATGAGGAAGACTTGGACAAAATAAGATAAGTTCCATCTCTTTTAATCCTACTACTAATAAATCATCCCTTATAGTGATATGACAGACTTAAAAAACGTCTTGACAAATTCATATAATGTGATCCTTGCCTATTTTTGTGTCTCATGTCAATATAACTAAACCCACCCCAGTGTGTGTAAACTCTACTTTTATCTCTCCAAGCAAATTATTATCTTGCAATTCTATAAGTCCTAGAGCTATCTGCCAAGCCTAACTTAAATTGGGAATCACTTAGTTTCCATCCCCACGTAACATCATTCCCTAGTCAATACCTCGAAATACAAGATATCGATAATGTGTCCTCTTGTTTTCTTCTCTCAGAGCTTATTGCAATACATTTCAATATTAGGTCCCAAGCGAAATATTACGATGATTTAGTTCATCTGATCTCTAATTTTCATATACTGCCACATATAATTGCCCTGAGCGAGACCAGAATTAAAAGCAATACCGCTGTTCTCAATTTTGATATTCCGGGATACACTTTTCTCCATGTTCCCTCCTTAACTCAAGCGGGTGGTGTGGGTTTTTATATCAGGAACAACATAAACTTCCAAGTTAATAATGAATTCAACCTATCGTTTCCGAATTGTGAGGACTTAGGGATTGAGATCAACTATTCTCAACCAAATTCCAAAACCCAAAGCCTTATTATCGGAGCAATGTATAGGCACACAAAAAACAACATTCCATTATTTACGGGAGCAATGGGTTACTTATTCGAAAAGCTGACAATGGCAAGAAAGCAATTCCTGAATCTAGGTGATTTTAATATTAACCTTTTTGATAGCCGTGACAATTCCACATCCAAGTATTTGGACTTGCTTGCGTCAAATTTTGTATTCCCAATTATTACACGACCGACAAGAGTCACCCTGTCCTCACAAACCCTAATAGACCATATTTATACTAGTAACATAAAATCTTGTTCATCATCATTTATTCTCCTTAGTGATCTTACCGATCACTTTCCAATAATGTGTACAATTTCAACTACTGGTATTAATATCAAGTCAAAAACTCGCTTAAAACGCGACATGAGAAAATTTTCTGAGGACTTATTTAGATTAGAGGCTGAGTCAATATGTAAAAATTATACCAGTCCCACTTTAGGTATAGATAATTTCAATAATTCGTTTGACCTCTTTCTCAGCCAATTAAAATTGCTGATTGATAAACATGCACCATTACGACCTCGTTCTCGAAGAGAAAATAACTTATATTCCAAACCTTGGTTTACCAAGGGAATTCGTAAGTCCATCAAACATAAAAACAGCATGTTCAAAAAAAATTTTTGAAGGGCAATGCATCTCAGCGTCTTTACTTTACAAAATACAAAAATATTCCGTTACATTTACTGAGAAAATCCAAGCAACAGTATTACCATAATATCTTTGATAACAACAGAGGGGACGTTAAACGAACTTGGAGGACTATCAATGAGACTATCAAAGTTAAGTCCAGTGATAATTCCACCATCCAATAATTGAAACTTGAGAATGGTTCCATTGTTAAAGACTCCGTAATAATGGCCTCAGAGTTCAATAAGTTCTTTTCCACTGTAGGCAAGGGGCTTGCGGATAAAATCCCACATAGCTATAAGTCACCCACTGACTTCTTAGGCGCTCCTCTACAAAATTCTTTTTTTCTCGAGCAAACGACACCTCCCGAAGTTCATCAAATAATCTTGAACCTGAAAAAAGGCAAAGCAGTTGGTCCAGATGGTATTCCAACCTATTTTCTTAAAATAATCGCTGATATTGTATCTCCAGCTCTAAGTCATTTCTTCAATTTATCATTTAGTTTAGGCATTTTCCCTTCCTCATTAAAAATAGCTAGGGTAATTCCAATTTTCAAAAATGGCAACAAAAATAACCCGTCCAATTATCGGCCAATTTCCATCCTCCCCACCATAGGCATTGTTCTAGAAAAAATAATAAAAGAAAGAATGCTGAATTATTGCTCTAAATTTAATCTTATCAACAAATGTCAATTTGGATTCCAAACGAGTCATTCTACTAGCCATGCCCTCCACCCTCCACCCTGAAATGCTATTCTTCTTTTATTTTATTCTGTATATGTAGCTTGCGTATTTTCAAATGGTGGAAAAAATAAATTACTGATACTGATACTGAACGACCTCAGACGGATAATTTGCAGGCACGATGTTCTGGTGAACTCAACATGAGTTGCGTTAAACAAACGGCATCCATGTATAAGTTTGTTGCAGTTGTATTTATTAAACAACATATCAAGCTGGGAGTTTCACAGAGTGGAATAATATGATAATTTGGAACATCCAAAAAAAGGTGAGAAATCAGGGGCTGTGCATCGAGTCTCACATATATTTGGTATGCTTATTGATGTTAATGTTGTTGGGATTCGGTTTTATCTCCCTACTACTACTACCCTAGTTCAGTTGTTACATATTGAGGTGTCCATTAGGAATATATTGCTCCAGTTTTTATCAAAATTTCTCTGGGCTTATAGAGACTTTTCAAGTATTGCATATTATGAATAAAATGCGCCACCATGTGTCGAATATGAAAAAGAAATCAGCGTGTACATTTTCGAGAAAAAATCAGTAAACGCAAATCTGTGTAATGTAAATAGCAAATTTTGAAAACAAATTGGTGAATGGACCTCTTAATTTGGTATTTGATTGCCGAGACACTAGAGCGTGAAATGTTGCCACTTTTTGTCCGTCCAGGTAACGTACAATCGGCCATAATCTGAAAATAGCGTTATAGTGTGATCACAATAATGTCGGTTTAGGAAAGAAATACATGCTTATTAATCAAACAGTTCTGTCCATGAAATGAAAAGATGGGTTTACCAAGTATACTTGGTATAAAACTATTTTCACGGGGGAATAGGGTACAGGACAACTGTTTACATTTTGTTAGTTGTAAACATATTGTGTATCTGACTTGAAACGCGGTGCTACAACAGAACGTTACAATAATGACATTCAAATCAAGATCACTCTTGTCTCTAACAATTTTCTTCAACGCAGAAATTTCCCATGTATAGGACTACGAAAGAAGTCGCATATTTTACTCGGGGTATTCATTAATGTGGAGGCCGAGAATACACAGATACCAAGCTATATACTACAGTATTTTCGGGGGAAAACACACCTTTGAATAGTCTTACCGCATAACAGCTTCGAATTAGAAACTTCGAATAAGAAACATAAAAATCCACCAACAAATACTATAGATATATAGAAAAGGTGACATGCAGAAAAGTATTAAGATACACGATAACCTTTCATTGCGTATTCATATATCTTAGTTCATCTCTCAAAAAGCTTATGCTATCGTCTCAGTTATTTCGAAATGATCGAATTATATTCCAAATTAATTAATAGTTGTTAACTTGTTATTGAGTATACATTTTTTTTCTGAATTCTGATGTTTAAAATAATTTACATGACGACACGTTCACAGTCAATGACATTACCATATATTCTCTTTAATCTTGTTCTCTCTTTTGGCAAAAACATTTTGTTGTAATTCTCATGCAATTCTCGGATACTTTTGTAACTTGGTAGCCCTTTTGTAGCATCTAAATATGCTTGAAGGCGGAGTTTTTATTTGATTTTTCCAGCGTATCTATCTGATTTTCTTTATTGTGTTTTCGTTTTTACCATTGTCCCGATTTTTTAGTATCAAAAAAGAGTCCTGATTTTAAGCGATCAACGCCACCGGGAATAACAATGTCACGAGGAAACAAGAGAGCTATGCTCAAATATATGGACACGTAGTTTTGATTACGTCATAGCGAAAAAAAAGTAATAGCCTTCTGGAGAAAATTTTTATCTTTAACCACTGAAAATTTCAAAGCAATTGGTCCAGTATTTGAAGAGAAAAGTGACTTGTTAAAAACGTGTCAAAGAACAACAACAACAACATAATATTGAAACGATCGTTATGTCCACTACGTGTCCAATAAGAGACAAATCAACTATGAAGAGAACGTGGTACAGCGACGAGCGCGTTTTTTAGCGCTGCCGTTAGTCACGTGGTATAACGGAAGTGATTAAAATTCGCATTCACGGGGAGAAGGTTCATTCATTCCTATTTATATTTTAGATTATTGTGGTATTTTCTCTTATAGTTGTATGATGGGAATATAAGATTGGCATCGAAATTTTATAACTCCCAATATTCCAGGGCTTTGTGAGTACTTTCTCGCAGATTTTTTTGTCATTAATCATTGATCTCGGAGATATTCAACCATGATCGACTGGTAACAAACCATATGCTTGTTTGGCCGAAATTGATGAGAAATATACAGGTGTATCGTTCGAAACCTGGCTCAGATTATTAGGCAGGCTAATGCCATATCAAACGCCATGGTCGAGCGTGGTTAATTCTATTTCTTCAAACAAAAAATTCATATTACACTAAATATACGCAACTGCAGAGAATAGTGGCTGACTGCGATAACATATCGCTTGAAAAATGTGCAGATAAGACTAAAACCAGTCGATATATAACCGAACAGTTTTTATTACATCAAATTTTTAAAACATCGTTGAAAGACAACTTTTATTATATATATACATTATAACTTCATCCAAATATGAGATCACTTTGTTGGGTCTACTTCATCCACGTCTACGAAGATAAGGAAACCAGGAACGACTTCGTCTACCTGTAGCGCAAAAGTTAAAATAATCAATGCTATTATCAAACTTAGTATAAATGAACAATTACAAATGTTATACATCTTTCACGTTAACAGGATTGGCTGAAAATGCCATTCTTCTTGTAAATATATGACACAATCAAAATGTCACCGGCATTTATTTTATATTTTATTGTTATATATATATGAGTTGGGATTAACACATATATTTTATATCGAATTCATAAAAATCCTTATATACAATAAAAAAATATGTATGTGTTTGTTAATTTAATCAGATATTTTATTATGAAATAGTTAAGTTTAGTCGTAATATTTACTTCTACTGATAACGGAACCATTTATTGTGGTACAATTTATAGGACGTAATACATTTATTTCCTTTGACCGGTAAAGATAATATTGTACGTCATGCTTAATTAAAAACGAGCTATATTAACTTATAATTTGAAACCTTCAATCGATGCAATCCATAGCATCAACACTATGAAAACGACGACTTTTCTCCAGATAGGGCCCATGTCTATTGTGATGGTACCAATCAGTTTTTACTTAACAAAAAAACTAAAAAAAACATAAAATACTTGAGTTAGTCTAAATACATTTGGCAGATGGATGAGCTGGAAGAGGTTTTCAACTTATTAACTAATTTTAAGTTATATACGATCAATTTTTTTTTAACCATCGAAAATATAGAATGTGGTCCTGAACATATGATTGGAGAAACTATGTATATAATCTTTCCACGAGCTACTTCTCCAATCGTGTGACTTCGACCAACTTCTAAGTAACAACATGGTAGACTTTAGCTGATAATATTGACATCTCAAATTTTCTTACTAATATGGTTTTTCAATATGCTTTCTATGCTTGGCCCACTGTCTTCCACCTAAAAAGGGCTAAGATTTCTAATGCATCGCAGTAAATCACACTCAGATGTTCGTTCGAATAAGATATATAGAGTTTCAGACTTCAATTCAAAAGAAAGACGAAGTGATAAACTATCCTGATTTATCCTATTTCAGCGCCTCACATCCGTTTCGTTGACATTTGATGAGGAAATACCCGAGTCAGCTGTATCCAGAAAGTTGGCATGCCATGATTTATTCGGATGTTTACGGCACCACTTTCTTTTCCCGACAGTTTGTTACCATCTTTCGTTTTTTTGGCGCGAAACTTATCAATAAACAGTTAGAAAAACATCGTGCATCTTATGTCTCATGTGCTGTTGTACTATATGTCTATTACTTTTGGTTTGACAACCTCTTAGCATACACCAGAATGATGTAAACCTTATATTGATTTTTTTCCATTTTTATTACTTTTTCATGCATAAAATTACCTTCAGAACCCAGCCTCTTTAGAGACCCACGAGTGTATATCTATAACATCATTTAGCTTCTGAATCAATTAAAATTGGTGATATCTACCTATATCTACCCAAATGCGGTACTGCGCCAAAAAAAAACAGTAGTCCGGTACCTTGGTTGGGTATTCAATGACCCGCGGTTTCTATGGTTACCCAGGCCTGTGGTGTCTGGAGCCGTCTTCTTCTTTTTACTAGGGTGATAACGGGTCGCTCAAATGTGTCTCAAACTCTGGCTTTTGTTAGGATTTTACGTTTGACTTCTTTCTCAGTATGATTTAATGTTAAATTTACTCCTTCAAAGGTGACGCTGCTAGATAACCTTACTGGTTTATCGGGTCTCCTTTCACACTCAAATTCATATTTATTTATTTTTCCTAATTTTGTTTGTTCATAATGTACTCTCAGTTTGTGATAAAATAAACTTCTGACTGACTGACTACTATAAAGTAAGGCACGTTAACAACTCTTGCTCAACAAAAACCTAAACAGAGACGATTTCAATATTTCACTCCACGTTGAAAATTTGAATTTTCAGACTTTCAGTCCATTCTGTTTATCGATTCTCGCGTGCATTGGTTGGCCTATTGTAGTAAAAATCTTGTGGCAAAACTCAAAGTGTCTTGATTGGTGTGCATGGAGTAGGCTATGCGTGTGCATTCTGATTAGGAATCTGGACTTAACGAATTAATGACTCATTTAGTAGAGAGTAGTGCGTTTTTTTTTAGATTCACCGTTAGTACAGTGGTGTACTGTAAAGGATGTGATTGGTTATAGGCATAATCTAAGAGCGAGTACATGATGAAGAAAGAAGAGACGATTTAATTCATTCCCAAATTCTTCCGATATTTTTACGAGTTTTAAATCAGAGAAAAAATGCAATGTCAAATGAATGCGCAAGTTAAAGGTCTCGAATGATGCAGAAGAAAAAAAATTGTCCCTACCTTCCCCTATCTGAAAAACGCAATTCCACAAAAACTTTATCAATTTAATATTTGAAATTCATGGTAAAGTTCCTCTTCTGACAATTATTAAATCATCCAATTCAAATGACCAGAAAAACGATGCATCTAGCAGGTCCACAATGGGTCGTGTCTGACAATATGCATGCCTTAAAATATCTAATTAATCTGGTTATGAAACACGAGTATTGTCAAACATAGTGTGATCCAGGCACTTTTAGGATCACCGCCCAAAGAATAAAGTAGCATTTTGCGCCTATATTCAGTTATAGCAAACCCATAGTACAACTTGGACAAGTCGCATTTACTACGCGCATCATTTTATATTTGGGCGTCTAGGTGGCAATTACTTATAACCAAATAAGCAATATTTTTTTTGAGATTGGTTATGTGTTATTATCATTACATACATCCACCCAAGTGGGTGTTCACCCACTATAGGGAATGTATGGAAATTACCGTTCATGTTTGTTAAAATCACGGAACTTTAATGTTGTATCGATGCTCCCGAAGTATGTGTATCAAGATGGCGCATAACCTGAACATATTATGTGTATCAAGTTAGGGTCCAGGGCATCCCGAGTGGGTCGCCATAAGCTGTGGTAATGAATAGTGGGTCCAAACTCTGAAAAGTTTGGGAACCACTGCTTCAGATAATATGATTGTCATCGCAAATTTACTTACTTATATAGTGAGTCGGGGGAAGTCGAACCCACTAATAAATTATTCTGAATAACTCTTTACAAAATGTCGCAGCTGCATTCGTTCTACATTTGATTTATGTACCCACCATTCAGCTATCTTGCCACATTTGCACATCGTTGCCATAGCAACGAATCGGAATTTACGCACGATTTTCAGCTAAAGAAATATCGGGATAAGTTGAACATTTTGTGGGCAAGCCGGACATACATCAAAATAAACTTGATGTGTCTCATAAAATTTCGGCCAACGCCTGGATGCCTTAGGATCAGGTCTTTTAACATTTTGTTTAAACAGATAATTTTTCCTGCATGTTATTAACAGTGTGTACTGTCCGTTTTGCCCCATAAAGGGCATTGCAGGGCAATTTACAAAAGAGTTTGAACAGCTTTAGAAAAAACAACAAATCTTTTGCACTTTTTATGTCTTCTTTATACAAACCTCTAGAAGTATTTATTTTGTAATTTCTTAGCATAACCTTGGACGTATTTTAAACGTCTGTGGGGAAAAAAATTGGATGGAGTAACTTCTAGGGGACCTCGTATAAATGTGGCGATGAGAGTGCTTTTAATCCGCGTTGTAAAAGGGTACTTAGTACCAAGAAATAATTATCAACAAGTATCGATGACGACGGCCCATTGACATTCCCAACAGACCAAATTAAAAAAAAAACTCCCCTCTCCCCCACTCAAAATCCACCCTACTTCTTAAGTGACCCTGCCTACCCAAAAATGAGCACTGGTAGTCTACTAAAGAATTTTTTCAATCATATGTATCTGCGATGCGTTTTGGGCGACGAAAAAGCGCGAGCTGTCGCTATTTGAAGGATTATATTTTGCATGTCCATCATACCCCAGGGGTCCGGGTCCGACTTACCCAGACCTACTATATGTGTTTTGAATATTATGCTTTTAGTAGTATTATCCAATGTCTTAGATTTCCAATAATATGCGTTCCAAAGAGAAAGTGATGCACTATGCTAAAACCTACCAACAATCTTTTGACTTATCCTATTACAATTACTCAATCATTTTCGTTCACATTTGAAGAGGAAGTAACCAAGTTAGCTTTATCCGGAAAAGTGTCATCTCATGATTTATCTGATTGATTAGAGCGTCGCTTTATTTTCCTGATAGTTTGGTATCATCTTTCGTTTACTGTCGTGGACTTTATCAGGTCTGACTCGTCGTTTCATACTGAAATCTTTCTTCATTTGTCGGTACAAAATTGCTGTGCTAAACGTGAAATGCCAACAGTCAGAAATGACGCCACACTATATATATCCTTCAAGTTCATTTTAGCTTTGATTACAAAATGCCGCGGCGTGGGTTAAAGAATTTTTGTTCGGCGTATAGTATGTTCATTTAATTTTTATTAAGCTAATTTTCATAATTATATGTATAAGGAAAGCAAAATTACCTTTTATCTTTATTGTATATTTCTATTGATGAATAATTACAAAATATTTCAAATGAGTATTTTTTTTTATAACTTTCTTTCAGGATTGTGGTTTGATTCAAACTCTACTCAGTTAGCTAACTAGAATAATGGAAGACTATCTGGGAGAAGAAGCAGCAAATGTTTACACCAAGAATCCGAAATTCCCACCTCATATTGCAGAATATGTAATGAATCGTCTTAAAAAAATAAAGGGCAATGAAAATTTCGAGAAATTTGAACTTGTTGTGGACGCTGGATGTGGTAACGGAAAATCATTGTTAGATTTTTTGCCTTTTTTCCAAAGATCCATCGGATTCGACGTCAATGAGAATCAAGTTAGAAGAGCAAAAGAAAGTATAAAATCCGAGACAGCAACATTTTATGTAGGCATAGAGGAATCTATGCTCGTCGAGGACAAATCCGTAGACTTATTACTCAACGTTGGCGCTTTGCATTTCATGGATCTTGCGACGTTTTTAAAAGAGTGTAGGAGAGTTTTGAAGAGTACTGGGCTTTGTGCTACTTACGATTCTTCATTTTCGAGATTGGAAGTACATTTTCCTGTCAAAAATGCGAATCAGAAAACGGCCGACGGTAGTGGGATTCTTACAAGTTATCGAACAACATTATATCGTTACTATATTGAAGCCAACCACCCCACTGCGGAATGGCTTAACCGATATGAACAGATTTATGAGCGAGTTACTGGATTCAACAAAGAGAGAAATGATGACGTAACATACGATTACAATATGACACTGAAAGAACTGAAAATGTTTTTTCTGTCTTTCCCGACATTCAGAAAACATCACAATTTATTTGGGGAAGAATCTGCTCCATTGAATATAATGGGAGAAGATTTGAAGAAACTTGTAAACGCTGAAGGAATTGATGATGAAAAGTTGCAACTTCGTTTCACACTGTCAATGTTCTTTTTATTTTTATATAATTAAATAATGAGGTAATTATAATGTGCGTCTGCGTTCACCGTAAACGTGCATCCAGCAAGAATTTGTTTAGTATATATGCTAGTTTTCTTGTGTTGAAAGTTAACTCCTTAATTTCTGATTACCTTATCGAAGCATGATAAATTGAAAATTGTGGCTTTGTGATTTTAATTTCGATTCATAGTCAACTGTTTTATTCGAATTGCTCTTGTTAATCAGCGAATAAAAGGATTTATAAGAAATGGGTTATAGAGCAATCAGCTGTTATTAAATCATGAATACTTGAGTATCGGACTTCTGATGCCTTCATCCCTTAGGCGCCAAATTAACTAATCCAATCAAGATGTTATGTGCTGATGGTCACAACATATTGCAACATATTTAAAATATATAGTAATATACCATATATAAAAAGTTATCGAAAAATACACAAAGAACACAATTGTCGACTCTCTTGTTGAACGTTTTTTCGCGTATCGTGTCTCGGGAAAGTCGATTACTCAGAGTTACTCAGTTATATACTGCAGTAATTTTGACGTAAAACACTTTTGAATAGTTTCAACGCATAAAGGCTTAAAGTCCTATTTGTATGTAACTAAAATTCAATACATCGAAATAGAAACATATTAATCCACCAACAAATAATTTACATATATATATATAGAAAAGATGGAAATGCAGTATTGCAAAAGTAAAAGTTACACGATAAGTTTTCATTGTGTATTCATATATCTATGTTCATCTCTCAAAAAGCTTATGCTATCGCTTCAGTTTTTCGAAATGATCGAATTATAATCCAAATTAATTAATAGTTGTTACTGGGTATACAATTTTTTTGTGAATTTTGATGTTTGAAATATTTAACATGACGAGACGTTCACAGCCAATGACCAAAACATTTTGCTGTAATTCTTAGGTACTTTGGTAACTTGGTATCCCTTTTGTAACTTCTAAATATGCTTGAAAACGAGGTTGTCATTATATTTTTCCAGCGTATTTTTCTAATTCTTTTATCGTGCTTTCGTTCTTGCCCTTGAGCGATCTTTTCAGTATCACAGAGAGTCTTAATATTGAGCGATCCACGCCACCAGGAATAACAATGTCAAGGAGAAATGAGAGTCAAATTTGAACTCTGAAGAGAACGTGGCACAGCGACGAGCGCACTTTTTTTAGCGCTGCCGTTAGTCAGAGGACGTTAGGAAGTGATTGATTTTTGACTTAGCGTTGCAGGGGGAAGAACGAAGAGAAGGTTGATTCAGTCCTATTTATATTTAAAATTATTGTGGTATTTTAATAAATTTTGGTAGCAAAACACCGAAGTTTAATAATAACAAGGGTTTTTGATTGATCTATCTTATTGTTGTATAAAGTGAATATAAGATTGGCATCTAAATTTTATAACTCCCAATATTCCATTTTTTTTCTCGCTAATTTTTTGTCAATATTTATTGATCTCAGTAGTATTCAGACATGGTCGACTGCTAACAAATCAAAGGATTGTTTGGCCAAAATTGATGAGAAATAGACAGGTTTATCGTTCGAAACCTGGAGCAGAATACTGGGCAGGCTGATGCCAAATAAAACGTCATGGTCGAACGTGGTTGAATATTTTTCTTAAAAAACACGAAATTCACATGGCACTAAATATACGCAATTGCATAGAAGAGTGGGAAAGTGGCAGACTGCAAAAACGTATCGCTTGAAAAATGTGCTGATAAAACTGAAACCTGTTGATATAAACCGAACAGTACGTTATTATTATATCAGTTTTTTAAAACATCGTTGAACAGTCGATTTTTATTGTATATATACATTATAACTTCGTCCAAATATGAGATCTCTTCGTTGGGTCTACTTCATCCACGTCTACGAAGAGAAGGAAACCTGGAACGATTTCGTCCACCTGTAACTCAATAGTTAAAATAATCAATGCTATTATCAATCTTAAAATAAATGAACAATTACGAATGTGATGCATCTGTCATGTTGACAGGATTGGCTAACAATGCCATTCTCCTTGTAAATACATGACACAATCAAAATGTCATCGCCGACTTCGTCACAGGATTTATTATATATTTAATCGTTATATATGAATTAGGATTAACACATATATTTTATGTTGAATTCAAAAAGATCCATATATAGAATGATAAAAATATGTATGTGTTTGTTAATTCAATTAGATACTTTATTATGATAAAGTTAAGTTTAGTCTTAATATTTAGTTCTATGCATAACGGAACATTTATTGTGGTACATTTTACAGGACATAGTACATTCTTTTCATGTGATTGGCAAAGATAATTTTATACGTCATGATTACGTACAAACTAGCTATAACAGTGATTTCATGTATTTAACTAATAATTTGATACCTTTAATCGATGTAATCCACAGCACCAACACTATGAAAACGTCGATTTTTCTCCAGATAGAACCCATTTCTCTTATGGTAGTAGCAATCAGTCTTTGCCTCTTAAAAAAACTTGCTCAAGGATTAACACGACGGGAAATCGAGTTCATAGAGAAAGAAAACTAAGAAGAGAGTGGTGCATTTTCTTTAGCCTTACCGTTAGTACAGTTTTATAAACTGTAAAGGATGTGATTGGTTATAGGCATAATCTAACAGCGAGTACATGATGAAGAAAGTAGAGACGATTTAATTCATTTCCAGATTCTTTCGATATTTTATGCATTTTAAATCAGAGAAAAAAACTGCCAACAGTTAGAAATTAAGCCACGCTCTACATCTCCTTCAAGCTCGTTTTTGCTTCGATTACAAATGCCACGGCTTTTCTTTGTATGTACATTTTATTTTTATTTTTAGAGCTAATTTTAGAATTATTTATAAGGAAAACAAAATTAATATTTAGTTGTTGTATCCAGTTATTAGTATTTATTTAGTTGGGTTAAGGAAGTTTGTTCGGCATTGAATGTACCTTCATTTTTCTATCAGAGCTAATTTTTCATATAACATGTATAACGAAAGCAAAATTAGCATTTATCTTTATTGTATATTTTGATTGTTAAATAATTACAAAATATTTCAAATGAGTACTTTTTAAATCTTTTTTTTAGGATTGTGGTTTGATTCAAACTATATCCAGTTAGTTAAATAAAATAATGGAAGACTATCTGGGAGAAAAAGCAGCAAATGTTTACACCAAGAATCCGAAATTCCCACCTTATATTGCAGAATATGTAATGAGACGTCTTAAAAAAATAAAAGGCAATGAAAATTGCGACAAATTTGAACTTATCATGGACGCTGGATGTGGCCAGGGCAAATCATTATCAGATTTTTTGCCCTTTTTTCAAAGATCCATCGGATTTGACATCAGTGAGAATCAAGTTAGAAAAGCAAAAGAAAGAATAAAATCTGACACAGCAACATTTTATGTAGGCAGAGAGGAATCTATGCTCGCCGAGGACAAATCCGTTGACTTATTACTCAACGTTGGCGCTTTGCATTTCATGGATCTAGCGATGTTTTTAAAAGAGTGTAGACGAGTTTTGAAGAGTACTGGGCTTTGTGCTATTTACGATTCCTCATTTTCGAGATTGGAAGTAAATTTTCCTGTCAAAAATGCAAATCAAATGTCGGCCGACGCTAGTGATATTCTTACAAGTTATCGAACAACATTACATTGTCACTATATTGAAACCAAGCACCCCTCTGCAGAATGGTTCAACCGATATGAACAGATTTATGAGCGAGTTACTGGATTCAACAAAGATAGAAATGATGACGTAACATACGGTTTCAATATGACACTGAAAGAACTGAAAATGTTCTTTTTGTCTTTCCCGACATTCAGAAAACATCACAATTTGTTTGAGGAAGATACTGCTCCATTGAATATAATGGGAGAAGATTTGAAGAAACTTGTAGACGCTGAAGAAATTGATGATGAAAAATTGCAACTTCGTTTCACACTGTCAATGTTCTTTATATTTTTATATAATTAAATAATGAGGTAATTATAATGTGCGTCTGCGTCCACCGTAAACGTGCAACCAACTTTACCGTCAGTTAACTGATATTCAAACGACGGCTATAATCAAAATAAGTTTAGTAGCCTATATATATATATATGCTAGATTAATAGTCACTTATTTCATTTGAATTGCTTTTGTTATTCAGTGAATAAAATGATTTAAAAGAAAGATGTTACAGAATAATCAGATTTCATCAAATCCCGAATACTTGAGGAGGTTGCTTCATTCCTATTTATAATCTAGATTATTGTGGTATTTAAAAAATTTTGCTATAGTAAAACTCCGCAGTTTTATGACATTAATAATATAAATTCTATAATATCATGAAGTCTTTGTGATTGATTCCTCTTATATAAAGTAAATATATATAAGATTCGCATCGAAATTTTATAACTTCCAATATTCCAGGATTTTGTGAGTTTTTTCTTGCCAAAATTCTTGTCATTAATTTTTATCTCAGTAGTATTCAATCATGTTCGACTGGTATCGAACGAAATGCTTCTTTGGCCAAAATTGATGAGGCCAAAATTAATGAGAAATATACAGGTATATCGTTCAAAACCTGGCGGAGAATACTGGGCAGGCTAATGCCAAATAAAACGTCATGGTCGAACTGGGTTAAATGTTTGTTTTTTAAACACGAAATTCACTTAACACTAGAAGTGCAGACAAAACTATAATCAGTTGATATATATCCGAATAGTTCGTTTTTTTATTACATAAGTTTTTTTTAAAACATCGTTGAATAGTCGATTTTTATTATATACATTCTGATTTCTTCAAAGTATGAGATCACTTTGTTGAGTCTTCATCATCTTCACATACGTCTACAAAAAGTACGATACCATGGACGTCGTCTACCTGTAAAGCAAAAGTTGAAACAATCAAATACTATTATAAAATCTAATATGAATGAACAATTACAGAAGTGATACATCTGTCGTGTTAACAGAATCAGATAAAAATGCCATTCTTCGTGTAAATACATGACACAATCAAAATGTCATCGCCGACTTCGTCACAGGATTTATTTTATATTAACTGTTATATGATGTTCGGGTTCACACATATATTTTTATATCGAATTCAAAAGTATCCATATATAGAATACAAAAAAAATTGTGCTCGTTAATTCAATTAGTTATTTTATTATGAAAAAGTTAAGTCTAGTCTTAATATGTACTTCTACGGATAACGGAACATTTATTGTGGTAAGTTTTTCAGGAAACAGTACATTTATTTCCCGTTATTGGTAAAGATAATATTGTACGTCATGATTAATTACAATCGAGCTACATCAAGTTGTAATTTGGTACCTTCAATCGATGCAATCCATAGCATCAACGCCATGAAAACGGCGATCTTTCTCCAAATAGGACCCATTTCTATTGTCATAGTTTTTACTTATCAAAAAACTAAAAAAAAAAACATAAATTACTTGAGTTACTCTGAATACATCTGACGCATACGTGAGCTGGAGAAGGTCATTCACGGTAGGATCATTCATTCGTTGAAAATATTGAATGGAATTTTTATTGAATCTTTCAGCGAGCTATTTTTCCAATCGTGTGACTCTGATCAACTTCTACAAAGCAACATGATAGACTTTAGCTGATAATATTGACATCTCAAATTTTCTTACTATTGGTTTTTCAATATGCTTCGTATGCTTTGTCCACTGTCTTCTACCTTAGAAGGGCTAAAATTTCTAAAGCATCCCACTCAGATGTGCGTTCGAATTATATATATGCAGTTTTAAGACTTCAACTCAAAAGAAAGATAAAGTGATGCACTATGCTGAAACTTACCCACTCTATTTTGATGATTTATCCTATTTCAACTACTCAAACCCTCTTTGTTCACATTTAATGAGAAAACAAGAGAGCTATGCTTAAATATATGAACACGTTACGCTGAAATTCACTGTGGTACGCTACTTACCAGCAGGCTTGACCACGGAACCTATTCGCTGATCACGTGATCAATATGTGTTTGCAGAATCGCTTCTGACGAGGAAATAACCAAGTCAGCTTTATCCGGAATGTCATGATTTATCAGTCATGATTCTCATGATTTATCAGATTGTTTACACAGTCGCTTTCTTTTCCTGACCATTCCTTATCATCTCCCGTTTTTTTGGCGCGAAACTTATCAATAAACAGTTAGAACAACACCCTACTATAAAAGAAGGCCCGTAAACAACTCTTGCTCAACAAAAACCTAATCAGAGACGAATTCAATGTCTCACTCCACGTTGAAAATTGTAATTTTCAGGCTTCAGTCTATTCTGTTTATCGATTCTCGCATGCATTGGTTGGCCTATTGTAGTAAAAATCTTGTGGCATTTTTATGAGTTTTAAATCAGAGAAAAAAATGTCGAATGAATGCGCAAGTTAAAGGTCTTGAATGATGCAAAAGAAAAAAAAATTGTCCCGACCTTACCCTATCCGGAAAACGCAATTCCACAAGGACTTTATTAATTTAATATTTAAAATTCATGGTAAAGTTTCTCTTCTGACAATTATTAAATCATCCAATTCAAATGACCAGAAAAACGACGCATCTAGCAGGTCCATAATGGGTCGTGTCTGACAATATGCACCCCCTATAGGGAGTGTAGGGAAATCACTGTTCATGTTTGTTAAAATCACGGAATTTTAATGTTGGAGCGATACTCCCGAAGTATGTGTATCAAGGTGGCGCACAACCTGAACATATTATGTGTATCAGGTTAGAGTCCAGAGCATCCCGAGTGAGTCGCCATAAGCTGTGGTAATAAATAGTAGGTCCCAACCCTAAAAAGTTTGGGAACCACTGCTTTAAATAATAAGATTGTCATCGCAAATTTACTTACTTATATAGTAGGTTGGGGGAAGTCGGACCCACTAATAAATTATCCTGAATAACTCTTTACAAAATGACGCAGCTGCATTCGTTCTACATGTGATTTATGTACCCACCCTCCAGCTATCTTTCCACATTTGCACATCGTTGCATTAGCAACGAATCGGAATTTACGCGCGATTTTCAGCTAAAGAAGTATCGGGATAAGTTGAACATTTTGTGGGCAAGACGGACATACATCAAAATAAACTTGATGTGTCTCATGAGATTTCGGCCAACGCCTAGATGCCTTAGGATCAGGTCTCTTAACATTTTGTTTAAACAGAGCATTTTCCTGCATGTTAACCAGTGTGTACGTCTTGCCCCATATAGGACATTACATATATATAGGCAATTTACAAAAGAGTTTGAACAGCTTTAGAAAAAACAACAAATATTTTGCCCTTTTTCAACTGCAGTTTTCATGTCTTCTTTATACAAACCTCTAGAAGTATTTATTTTGTAGTTTCTTGGCATAACCTTGGACGTATTTTGAACGTCTGTGGGGAAAAAAAATTAGATGGGCTAAGATGAGATTTTACGCCGGACCCAACTTCTAGGAGACCCAGTATAAATGTGACGATAAGAGTGCTTAAAATAAATCCGAGTTCGCAGACTTTTTCCGGCTAAAATTTTTCTTCGCAACGTTGGGACTCTATTATTCTATTATAATGTGCTTCAGCGTTCACCGTAAACGTGCATCCAACGACGTCTATGACTATAATTTATTTAGTATGTTTATATATATATATATAGCATATATGCTAGTTTTTCTTGTGTTGAAAGTTACCTGTTTTATTCGAATTGATCTCGTCAAATGAGCGAATAAAAGGAATTATAAAAAATGGGTTATATCATCAATCAGCTTTTAATAAATCATGAATTCTTGAGTATCGGACGCCAGATGCAACCATCCTTTAGGCACCAAATTAACTAAGCCAATCAAGATGTTATGTGCTGATGGTCAGAACATATAGCTGTATATATATATATAGAATATGTATAAAATATATAGTAATAAACCATAATTAAAAAGTTATTGAAAAATACAAAAAGAAATTTCGACTCTCTTGATCGTTTTTTCGCGAATCGTGTCTCGAGAAAGTCGATATTTGTCCTACCATTTCCCAATACATAAGGAAGAAACTATTTGATGCTGCACTCTGCTTGTCGTATCGTGTTAAAATATCCGAAGTCTATATCTGTTTCACGTCTAGGTTTGGTATCAGTGTAGCAAATATATACGCGAGTTGAAGGCAGGATGGTGGAATTCAATACTTTTTAACCATTGAACAATTCATTTTCCTTATCTTTTTGGTTCGTTATTCGTGGCGGTATTGTACACATGTGGTATTGTTGCTGGTGTATTTTCGTAATTTGTCACATTAAATAATTCAATTCGATCGCGCAAATTCACAATAAAAGAACACTTGGCAACACAAATACTGTGTGTCGTATTCACCTCCTAACGAGTTAGACTGGAGATTCTCGTTACTTAAGTCAAATTAGAAATAGGACACGCCCCTGCCCCGAATTTTTTAGGCTGAAAGTTTCCCTCTAAACGTTCTGACGTGCAATTACTAGATGTTAAATATATGAGTGCATGTAATATTTTTTTTTTAAAGATGTTGACAGTCGAGTGGTTTGGTCTACAATTCAAAATTGTCACTCCTCCTGATCTAAGTGATTCGTTTTTCATATTTATTTATTAACATTACCAAACTGTTCATTTTTTCGTGGTATAAATTTTAATTTTTAAATAATACAATACTCAATAATGTGGGACAGTTTTGCTCTTAATTTCTTTGACCAGACAGCATTATAGTTGTAATGCTTTATCATGACATAAAAAATGAGTTACGGTCTTGAAATATATTAAAATTGGGCTGTAAAAGTGTTTTTTCTAGATTTTGGTATATAAATATGCAAAAGTTCAGCAAAACTTATTAGTTTAAGTTTGGAAACTCCCAAGGCACAGTGCCCTCAGTGCATCTTGAAAAATTGTACGTGTCAGGTCAATGCTTCGGAGCCTTGAGAAAATGTATCTCCTGAGCGCATTGAGTTTAAAAATAGCCTTAACATTGCTTCCACATTAGAAGAGACAGTTTGAATTTTTCCTCCCACGCCATTTGAAATGGCGCTCATATTATGTACAAAGTTGCCAAATAGACTCCAGAACTGCTTATCTCTTCGTGGACGATGAGGAAAATGTTCAAATTTTATTGATAGTACAGATCACTGCAGCAAAACAGCAATTACTAGATAATTTATTATATAAATATTTGCAGCATTCCGCTGTACCTACCACCAATGCTTGAAGCATTGTCGTAGCACTGCCCTTGGTATGTTTTAAAATTTAGCCTTGAAGAAAGTGCATGCTCTCGCTTTCACATTGGAAATTTAACTAGATTAATATTACGAATCTCCTTATTACGTCTTTCCCATCACCCTCAAAATACACCACGATGTTGTAAACCTACCGTCATATACATATTTAAGTAAATACAAATGCACCACTGGAAACAAAAATATAGAGGTATTTTATTGTTTATCTATAGTCTCGTAATCTGAAATGAACATATATGAAATTTGGCAATGAGTGCTATTCAAACGGTGACAGCACATTTGAACCCACGTACATTTGAACCCATACATTTGCACCCGTATATCCGCGGGTTCAATCTATATGCGGGTGCTAAAATCCATGGGTTAGGGTTAGTATGGGTTTAAATATCCGTAGTTGCAAATTCCCATAGGTGCAATAGTATGCAGGTGCAATTGTCGTGGGTCCAAATGTAATGGAACCATTCAAACAGCCTGTGCTTGAAATCCTTTCCTTATGCATCTTCTTCTTGAGCAAGATTGGTAATGCTTATAAGTCATCTGTACGCGATTGTGATTCTCTGCGATACTTTTTGGATCTTCGATTGAATGACCTTCGCATTTGCCTGAATGCCATATTTTTTGTTTCGGGAATACAAATCTTAATAAATATTGCGGTCATGATTGCCATGAAAGAAAACGGTAGAAACGTGTACCCTCCAATTGCTGCCTGTAACGATCATGATAAAATTTGTTTAAATGTCATCCACGCGAATCATTAAAGTATGTAGTTTTAGGATATAAAATACTAACCAGTAAATACGGAGTAATCACTACGGTAATGGCGAACGAAATCCACAAAAGTGCTACGGATATTGTTAACGCAGATGATCGAGCTGATTGGTCGAAAAATTCTCCAACCGCTACTAATGTTACCGGTCCTGGACCCAACGAAAAACCAGTCCAAAAACCTACAGTAAAATAGATTAGAACATAAATAAATTATAGTATATATTCAAATTTAAATAATGTGGATAAAAACACAGAGATTTTGAAAACAAAATGCAAAGAAACAATGAGAGTGATGTTCAAATATATATATGGACACGAAAACCAAGACGAAGTAGTACGGGTATGCAATGTGTCACAGTAGACTACCGGTGCCCTACAGCAGCTGGCTACCAGATATCAACTTACGCGGAATCGAAACCGCCACAATGAGCACAATTTTGAATTTGATGACGCCATCGCACAAAAAAAATCCCATCGAGACCAGTGGAATTTTCGAAATTAAAAAAAGTACTAGCCTTCCAGCGAAAAATGCAATTTTCAACCGCTAAAAAGCCATTGGTCTAGTACAGGGGTCACCAAACTACGGCCCGCGGGCCGAATCCGGCCCGCTTCGTCATTTTATCCGGCCCGCAATAACACGCAAAAATGGCCAAATATTTTTCCAAAAAAAGTTTTCCCGAGCATCGTTTTCCTTGTTTATTTCGTAACATTGGCCAATCAGCAAGATGCAGAAAAGTGACGTAATAATGGGCCTTTTCGCACCTGCTCAGACACTTTCGTCACCCTGACAGATTTTCAGTCGTGGTTGTAAACAATACTTCGTTTTTGCGATTTTGAATGCTATTCGTTAGTTTCTGGTTGTGCTTGCGAAATTTAAGTATGAATCAAATAAGTCAATCATCATTTGCCTCTTTAGGAGTTTTAGTTTTAAAAGTAGTAATGAAAAATTAGTCTAGAAATAGCTGTGACAAAATAGACTAAATTCCTCTACCGGGAGGCAACGTTTTCTGCGAAAGATGCACTCGTGGCGCGTGCATTCGACGAAACTGTTTACGCCTTTGTGCTAAAATGAACGTCGAATGTGCATTTTGCGCTATCAGTACTGTAATCTCTCGCGTACTGCTCCAATTTCACAAGTCACACTAATTTTTGTACTGCTTAAAATGCGGATATTCATGTAGGTAAGTTACAAAAAAAATAAAGTTCATCCGATTTGAATAAAAACTGTGCCAGTGGATATATCTGAGTGAAAATAAGAAAACAATACCCAGTTTATAAAAAACGGCCAAGAAATAACGGAGATATCGGCATTTTAGCACCGCCCGACAGGCCATTTTTTTCATTCGATCTGCGTCACATCTATGGAATATTGAGACTATTTCAAGATTTTATTCTGGCAACGGTCTTGACACCGCCGAAAGATCGTCGCAATAAACGCTGGAGTTGTGCATGTTAGTTTGTCAGTGGTTCATTGTGGGTAATAATTAACGATGTTCTCATTGTACAAACTTCATAAAAATTGGTAAGTATCAAGTTAGGAAAGAAATACACACTTCCACATGAATTTTATTGGTGTACATAGTCATAGACAATATCATTAATTTGCACCACGTATAACTTGAGCGTAATAAAAGCTCCGAATGTTGGGAAATTTATGGGCTAATGAATAAAAATCAAATACCAGATAATAGTTGTTTGTTTTATCTAAATTATGTCAAAATTTCATGGAATTCCACGATACAGCAGGCAGTCCGTAGTCGTTTGTATGAGCCGTATTCCGACACGGCATAACGGTACTTAGCAGACGTGATGCGTACATTTTTTGGCGCGAAAAAGCGGATTTTGTAACATTCCTAATTCCTGACTGCAACGTTTTGATAGCAGCTAAACTCAGGATTGTCGTCTATATATAGAAATCTTGTATATTTGTTTTCCTAGGATGTTCTCGATCTATATTCTGCGATATATATAAAATTTAATATTCAAGTCTTCAGAAATGTGGAATATATATTGTTGAATGAATTTCCCAACTTTTGTGAATTTATTGTATTGCATTGACAAAAATATTCGTCCGGCCCGTTTCAACACAGTTTGAGTCATACCCGGCCCGCGGTCAAAAAAGTTTGGTGACCCCTGGTCTAGTAGTTGAATAGAAGAGAACAATAACAATAAGAAAAATAAATACAACAAGAACAACGACATAATAATAAAGATCCATATGTACATTTCGTGTCCAAAAACGATCCATAGGTCAATTTCGTGTCCAATATTTAGGAGGCACATCAACATCTCTTATATATATACAAACTTTCATACCTAAAGAAGCTGCTACCGACACATATGCCATTTTATCATTGAATTCATATGTTTCTATTGATATCGTTAGCAACAGAAGACTAGCTCCGATGATAGAATAACCTAGTATAAGAAGAAATTTTCTACCGCGTCTTTCTGTCAAGTAGGCCTGGAAAAGATATGCATATGCAGTCATGAAAAATATGTTTGTTTATATTTACGAAAAAGGTTTTCATGAGGGTGGTAAATAAATACGGACAAGTCTTAAACAAGTCGAAATGAATCCTACCGATATTCACCGTTGGCAAGATGCTTACAAATCTTGATGAACAATATAATTTATTCGAAGCTTTTTATTTCTAGTGGTCCGAGTGGTATCAATTTTTTATTTTTTATATACATTTAAAAACATGAAAGTTATTCTGTAAATTGTTTGATTTATTGCAAACTTACCCCAAGTACAGTAATTGTGATTATCATGGCGTAAGTTCCTATGCTGACATATTGCACGTAATTTTCATGTATACCAGATTTCAAATAAATTGCATTCATGTTAAATGCAACCCCGTTTAGTCCTGTCAACTGTTGTCCTGTCGTTAATACAATTGCTGCTAATAGTGGACGGTGCAGAGATTTCGACAATAAAACCTTAAAAATCACAATTAAATATTATTTATACAGAGAATCATATTTTAATAACATACAACCTGGACAGTTGTCTGGAACGCATTAACGGGTGGTAATCTGGTATCGATTTTACATGCGCAAGCCTGGTTATACAAAACCTCGTCCCCAAGCAGCCACCGAGTGAGAGACAGAATCATGCTTTGCTTATGATTTTCCACATTTGTACAAAGCACCTAAAATTTGACTGACTCAATGTAGGAGTGTGCAACATTTTTTGGCGGTGGGACGACAAACTGGTCAAAACCAGATGGAACACGAAGAACATTTGGAAGCATAAACGCCAAGATGGCGGCGAACAAATTGTCCCGCGCTGCGACAACGCAAAACGAGAGAGAAGATCGTTCCATGTATTTCCAGTTTAGTGACTAAGCGTCTTCAATATTCAGTTAACCATGCTTCAATTGCAGGTGACTGATCAGAACCAGCCAGGTGTGAAGGAAATGTGAGACATGTAGTCTCTGGAGTTAGTGCTAGTTATAAGTGTAGGCTATATTGATTTGTAAACGAAATCACTTCCGGTGTTTTCAGTGAAAGTTCATACCTCTTTTACCGACATTTGCTGAATCGCACCCGCATCTCTCTTTTCTTGGTCCATGTCACCAATCAGATGAGCAACATCATCTACACCGTGTAGTTTTTGCAGTAATTCTACAGCCTTCTCTTTTTCCTCTTCATCCATGTAGAGTTGTCTGTGCACATTTGAATTACATTTTCTTTTAACTACGTCGGTATCGCAAATTCTTCATAGGTTTTATGACGTCATAACATGAATTGCATTTTGTACCTCTCGTGCAGTAGCGGTATTATGGTATTATATACTGATCACATACTGATTTAGTACATGGTGCTTAAATAAATATATGTCAATGGTATCTTCTAGCTTAGAATATATATATACTTTTTGGTCGCTTGTCTAAGTTATTATTTGCAAGATGTGATGTCGACGAATACCAAAACTATATATATTGTTCTAAAGGGAGTAGAGAATACCATGAAAATATTGCGGCAAGACTCGAAATTTCCTGGTAGGTATGTTTGCATGGAGTAGGCTATGCGTGTGCATTCTGATTATGAATCGAAACTGAATTTATGACATATCAAGTATCAGTAATCAGATATAAAATTACAAAATGCTGAAAAAATATACCTCGGACTTTGTGCTATGGTCTTTTTTGTAAGAACTAAAACTATAGATGGTAATGCAGTAAATGCAAAGAGGAGGGGCCATAGAGTCTCATTTCCAAAGATCTGCAAAATAAGTCAATGGTTGTAGATATTACTTTTTATTTATGATAGTTTAATAGAGCTCTGAAGCCCACTACACGTCCTTTATCTTTCGAATATTACTCCGATGTTAAAACAAGTTTTAGAAAAAATTTGAAATATATATTTTATCAATATATTTTAGAGAGATTGAGAAGATCATAAAAAAAACAAGAAAAGAAACAAGAGGGCTATGCGCAAATATATGGACACGAAAGCCAAAACGAAGTAGCGTCAATTTTTTACAGTACCGGTGGTTTGAGATGAAGTCACGGAACCATGACAAGGTGCGCATTTTTAATTTTAATGACGTCGTCTCACAAAAAAACAAATCCAATAGTGGAAATTTTTAAACTAAATGGAAGTAATAACGTTCTATTGAAAAATTCAATCTTCAACCACTGAAAATTTCAAAGCAATTGGTCGCGTAGCCTAAGAAGAAAAGCGATTTTATCATAACGATAGAAACCAAAATAACAGCAACATAATAACAAAACGATCTATATGTACACTTTATGTCCAAAATATTTTGTCTATTTATATACTGTATTTTATACATCATATTTTGGAGAAATCACTACAAACGACTGGTTTATTTTGGGTTTATACCTGAGAAAGTCCTAAAATATTTGAGAAAAGTAACGATAATGCAATTCCAGCAGATACCATTGATCCAAATACTCCACGATATTTTTGTGGACTCACTTCTGTCGTGTACATCACTGATATACCTTGAAAATAATACCAGCGAATTTTAAGAATTAAAAAAGGACACACAAGTCGAAGGCCATATAGAAGTGTTCTCCTATGTTGTAAAAAGTGTTCCATAAATAAAATGTCACGACCAAATTTTGGTGAAACAACGGACCTGTGGAACTTAGCAAACAAATTAGCAAAATGATCTATATCCCATCCGTGTTTTATCTGATACTTATATATATATATATGGAAATGGCACATAGACAAGAACGCGAAATAGCAAGATTCAATTAAAAATACACTTGAGTAAGAATTACCACAACATCTTAAGCGTCAGCGAATCAATTCAAATATGTATCATATTAAAGCCAATTATTTACTGCTTTGTCAGCCTGAACTGGCAGAAATATATTGCAATACGCCCAACAATATACGTACGTCAATTTGTTACGACTCGATATAGATTGAAAAAAATCGTTTCCAAAATATCAAATATGCCTTGCTGCAATAAAAATATGCATAAATTGCCTAGTCCACAAAAGAAAAACTTTACCACAAAAACCAAACTTCCAACAGAAAAACACTTATGCAAATAACTACAAACCTAAACCGATCGCTCCACTGGTGATTCCAATTCCAAATCTACTCAAAATCATAATTTCTGGTGATTTAAAGATTCCACTTAGACTTAGCAGTAATGTAAATAATATCGTGCATATGTGCCCAAGAAATATTCCATTCTGAATAAAATTTTAACATTTAGTCTTAATCTTCACATTACTGAAAATTCTCATTTTCAGGATCGATTATTTTTTGGTACTCCTGAAGTATGCGCACCAAGATGTCGCATAACCTGAAACCTAACCTGGTACACAACCTGAGTTCAGGTTATGCGCCATCTTGGTGCGCATACTTCAGGAGGTCCATTTTTGTTTTTACAGAATCACAGCCATATATAATTCAAAGGGACACTATACTTCGCAAACCACCAAAAGCAATATCTAGACTTAATTTGTTTACATGGTACTCCCGTAGTGTATGTACCAGGTTAGGGTCACCGTTAGGCCATAATTTTATTCCGATTTTCCTTAATTTAGTTCTATTACGAGTTCGGGTACTGTCTGTGTTAGCCAAGTGAATATACCCCCTGCCCAAAGGCTTCCGTCCCTTCACATAACTTGATATAAAGTAGGCGCACAAAATTAGTTACCTCCATATTGGTACATACACTTGTGAAGCGCCGTTTACATACTATAGAAAACATCAAATGGGTTTTCTATCCGATGATATAGACTAGACTAGAGGGCGCTAAATAATAGGATACAATACTCGCAATCATGATAAACTAGAGTGGAAATGAAAGAGGAGATTTGTAAATGATCCAGAACAATACAATCTCACCAATCGTCCATATCTCCGAACTATAGGACCAACAAGCAGTGACCCGAATATTCCTCCAACTGGAAATGCGGCTGAACTTGCCACCCAAACTGCATCCACAACTGTTGTTGAGACCGTTTCGTTCCAACGTTCCTGGAATCATAATGAAAGAAGGTCATTCATTAGTATCTTAACATTTTTCACATAGTATGAGTAGGGTGATTTGTTTTGAACTTTTATTCATCAAAATCTTAGTCTTCGCCACCAAAGATACATCTTTAGATTCAGTAACTTATTGTTTTATTCACGTTCTCTCCCCGTAGACAAATAAATTGTACAGCAGCGGTTCTTAGAGGGTGCGCCGCCAAAATTAACACAATTGTGTTAACATAACTAAAACATGATTGTATTTATTATAAATGTTTTATCGTTTCCTATTTTGAATGCTGTGTATATGAATCAATAAATTTATAGTAATAAATAAAAATACGGATAAGCGCTACCTGTGCAATTTTGCGCAATTTTCCTTAGCATAAATTTATTTTACTTTTCTATGTCGTTTACTTCCTGTTTCGTAGTGTCTGCCTCTATTGTTACGTAACAATATAGATAGGCGCCACTTGCTCCAACTTCGCGAGCTGTAGCTTATTTACGAGTATCTGCTGAACAAAGTTTAATAAACATGAGTGATTTTTTCAGCCTTTCACGGGAAAATCACGCCTTTATTTTTTAGGCCCACATGTTTACAAACTTTAAAAAAGCCATAAAGTACACATTACCGATCACAAAACTGAGTTTTATTTGAAACAAGCATTTTTTCGTGTAATTGACTTTCCTCCCCTGATAATTTGGCGCTGCACGAACAAAAAGTTGGGGAACCGCCGTATTTACAGCGTAGTTGCTTTTCGGCGCAGTAACAGCAACAAAATATACGTTTGCTTAATATATTTGTTTTTTGGCCGACGTAGAAACGAGTAGTTTTATTCGTTTATGGCTTCTGATAAAAGGCGTTTCAAATCGAATTGCTATAATTGTTATAACACGAATTATAAAGTAGATCGACCAGAGGTCGCAATTTTACCTAGAGCAAAGTTAAACCCCAACATAGAAGAAAAGAAACTCGACAATGAGTGTCTTACTCTCCACTCAGAAAATTGGGCCCAAGTCTATGGACCAAATTAACTAGATCGGATTCAGCCAATTTTTTTTTATTTTCAACGCGAAATTGGGACGCGTAAGCAGACAAATAAATACCAACATTTCCAACAGACAAGACATAAAACAAAATGCAAAAAACGTGCCGCTTTGGCAATAATCATACTTCATACTGGTCTTGAATTACTGTCTTCATTACAAAGTAAATAGAATTGATGGATCCAATGGAGAAGCCATACGGCCATGTACCGGCCAATGCAACAAAAATAGCAGACCATGCAGCGTAGCACGTCAAAACAGATTTTTCCTGAACAAAAATTTTTGAAATTGCAGATTATATTTTGAATTTTTTAAAACAACTTCTTAAACATTTAGAGGAGTAATTAAATCTCTCATTGTATTGATTGGCCAAATGACTTAAAAATGGTAAAATTATTTGATATTTGGATTGGGATTAATATTAGACCAGAGACTGGAAACTAATCTAAAATATTGGGAATATATGTCCCTTTCTTTTGTGAGAGTAATAAATTTTTGTACGTCTTAAAGTCTGACACCCCCAACATCGTTCAAGTGTTACAGCTAGGTAAGTTTTGCTTTCTCCACATTTTACTTTACCATATTAAATTAGGTTATTCATCGAAAAAAGAGTTAGTTTGCTTCATATTGTAAACAAGTGACAACAAAACGACAAGTCGACAAAAGGACTACTCATTTTTTAGTGAATAAATCCTAGAAAGGTTATAAAGAAGAAAGTCAGAAATCCGATTTCTGAAGAATCGTTCTTGTCGACTTTAGTCAAATCTAGTTTTTGCAAATTGCAAATAAATAATAAAACATGCAACATGTAAATTACTTCAGTATCTACTTCATAATGCGTTTCTGCATCGTTGTCTTCTGAATTTCGTGCCATGATGAGAATACTTCAGAAATCCCAATTTCAACTTAGTTTCACAACTTGTTATAGTAAAGTGATTGTACGTGTTATCATCAAGCATAAGTTTTAATGCATTTCATTCAGCCTTATCCAAATGTTCTCAAATTTTTGAACTCGCGACCTTTCTTCCTGCAATATAAATCATGGCGCATTGAAAACAAAAATTTCACTTTATTAACATTAAATTACAAAAGCAAAGGTTTTGTAATACATGAACATCTAATCGATAACATTAGGTTGTTTCGTGGACCCATCTACGTTAATTTGTGATCGATTATTGATGATTTAATGTAAATTTTTAATCGCAGACAGATAAAGACGTACTTTTCTCGACAATTCATATTTCTGGATGTACTCGAGATTATCTCGCGACTCTATAATGCATACGCACAGTTCAATCGCAGACAGATAAAGACGTACTTTTCTCGACAATTCATATTTCTGGATGTACTCGAGATTATCTCGCGACTCTATAATGCATACGCACAGTTCAATCGCAGACAGATAAAGACGTACTTTTCTCGACAATTCATATTTCTGGATGTACTCGAGATTATCTCGCGACTCTATAATGCATACGCACAGTTTGGCACTTTCATTTCTATATCGATAATCGGAATCACGATCTGCTAGCTTTGTATGCTGTTCAAATTCAATGATCAACTTTTATGTTTCGAGATTTCACTGTGCAAGTCTCTTATTCCCGATCACATTAATTAGCATGTCATAATTCAATCAACAAAACATATATATTGAAGAATTAAGCAAAATTTCACGAACGTAAATGCAGGTCAAACTATAAACGCAACGAACTAAACGGGGCGGAACGAAACTGGTAAGCTCTACAGACTCTTAAACTATGAGCCTAAATTGGCACAGATAAATACATGAGAAACATAATAGTCTTTTTAGAGTTAGACAAATCACGGTTGTTTATACGTCAATATCTGGTAATAGACAATAGTTATTTCTAGTTGATTTCCTTGCCCTATTGCGGTCAGCTACCGCTATCTAAAACTTTATGCTATACATACAAAACAACTAGCCTACACTACGCTGTCTCGAGACTTCCATAACGCGGATTGCAATATGTATTTGATATAAAACACGATATATATTGATCTCGTTAACTACTAATGACTCAACAGAATGATGTCATTGCAAGGAAGCAACGCGCGTAAGAGTGCTATAATGGACGTGTTGAACAATATTGAATAGCGCGCAACAAAACGTTATTCAACTAGCACTGTCGATGAGATTTGCTTTCCCTGAGACTATGCACAATCGTAATTTATCACATAAAGATATCTCCGTTTTTGCTTATTGCCAAATATCATTTCTCATTCCAAAAATATCTCGACATATCTCTAGAAGTTTATGGTATCGATCAGGAAACAATCAAGGTATTATCCGAACAATTTAAAGCACATTTCATTGCCACTTTACCAGTTCCAATCTCGCTTACATATAGGCCGATGACATCGCAACTTTTCTACAGAAGTGCGCATTATTTGGTCAAACTACAGCATGGGCTCATAGATTACTAAAAATAATTTTGATTCGATTCTTGTGAGTTTATGTCAATTTACGTTGGATCTTCGTTTCATGTTTGCTCATTCTTGAATGATACATAGTCTGCCATTGGTTATCTTCACCATAGTTATCCCACATCCACCAGAATATAATGTAATAACCATTGTCCAGCGGTACAACAAAAGCAGTTTTATTTGAGTTCAGTTATTGCACAGGCGTGACTGATTTTCAATTGAAGGTTTATCGAGTCGACATTTGATATCGTATAGCAGGGGTGGTCAACCTGCTTTCGACCGCGATCGACTAAAATCTTTGAAATAGATCGCGATCGACTGATCGGTAATAAGGTCCTACACAAAAACGAATGAACACTTGATGTGCAGATAACTGTACACATGCATACAAAAAATTCCACCGCTGCCAATGAGAATGTTTGTGGGCACAATATTATTAAAATCGACACAAAATTTGTATTTTTCATGTTCCATTTAAGTTGTTGATTCGATTATTTAATTGTACCCGGAATAAATGTTTCAATATTCATTTAAGATTTATTCAAATCATACAATTCAGATATAAGGCGTGCCTAATTTTTAGTCGTAAGTGTTAAAAATTCTTCAAGAAACATTCCATGTATTATCCAATAAATATATATATTATCCAAAATAAATATTTTCAAATCATGAATGTTACATGACTGCTCATAATTCAGTATCTAGATCTATAAATGAGAATGTTTGTGGGCACAATATTATTAAAATCGACACAAAATTTGTATTTTTCATGTTCCATTTAAGTTGTTGATTCGATTATTTAATTGTACCCGGAATAAATGTATCAATATTCATTTAAGATTTATTCAAATCATACAATTCAGATATAAGGCGTGCCTAATTTTTAGTCGTAAGTGTTAAAAATTCTTCAAGAAACATTCCATGTATTATCCAATAAATATATATATTATCCAAAATAAATATTTTCAAATCATGAATGTTACATGACTGCTCATAATTCAGTATCTAATTTACAATTTCCTCCAAACGCGATTCTTCGCTTGCTTAGAATTAGAGAACAAATTGGGCATTTTGATGCCACTGCTACCATTGCGAATAAAATTTATCACACTATTCTTGGAGTGAGACAATAACTCTCGCATACTGCGGAAGTTATTGTGGGATCGTTTGTCAGTCTAGCTAGAGCGGAGGTCTCCAACACGCGGGCCGCATGCGGCCCGTCAGCCAATTTTTTGCGGCCCACGTCATGATTGGGATTTTTTCACAAAAAACTAAAATAGTACGATGTCAACTATATTAGTAGCTTTTATGGTGTCATTTATCTTCAAGAGTCCGGTCCGACAAACTGTAAAAAGTGAAGCAAAATTCCCCCCCTGTTGTCTACGTTCATGTTTTATTATATTGTTATAATGAAATTATAAATGCAATAATTTCATTTTGCATGTTCATTGTGACAAAATAAACGAGTTTCGGTTAGTCCATTGTGCCCGAAGAAAGGTTTGCACAATTGCACAATCACTTTGCATACCTGCGATTTTGGGCAGTTCTTATATTTGCGAGCAGTTTTTTCGACTATGAAAGCATACCAACGCAAAATAAGGCCAAACATCGAGACCAAATATCCAGCACAAGTGAATGAATATGTTTCATGTCTCGTTTGCTGTAAGATTCAAGTGTAATTTCAACACAATACAGCCAGATATCCATTTTTGTACCTAATTTCTTGGTTTGCGACCCGCGTGGTCAATAAATTTCAAAAAGTAGCCCGCGACATGTTTCGAGTTGGAGACACCTGAGCTAGAGTCTATAGCCACGCGATATTCGGCACTTCATTTTTAAACCTTGGCTGCGGAAAACTTGCATTTGTTACGTAATAATATGCTTTATCGGGCTTGCCCAGACTCAAATACTATATGTGTATATTGTATTTTGCGCATGTAAAGTACTGTATTCTTCATGTTGTGAAACACACAACTGTTTCCAGTCAATTTTGGGGGGTAATTTGATAAAATTCACTCAACATCAGACGCGATCGACTGCCGAGACGTGCGATCGACGTGTTGGCCACCCCTGTCGTATAGCTTATAACTCGGCCTCTATACGCTCTAACTCATTTAATTGCCATTGTTTTCATCCTAATTGCCATTATTTTTATCCATTCACGTTCAAATCCAGCATGGCCTTTTGTTATATTCTCAGCTCGAGGTCCGATACTAACAGCACAATGGGCATGTACAGTGATTTCCCTACACCCCCCCTATAGGGGGTGAACACCCCCCCTAAAATTTCAAACACCCCCCCTAATTTTGAGGTGCGATTCCACACTGAGGGGTTCTAAACCGCAGTCTGCGGGCCAACTACGCCCGCGTGACGATTTAAAATGGCCCGCCGAACTTGAGTGAAATAGTTTAACCCTTCATGTGGTACCTTTCCAGTTTTAGATACCGTCTATTGTTACATCATTATCACAGTTTAAGCACGTTTATTTCGTAACAATTGGATTATTCCGGTATCTTATGTATAGGTATGGGTATTATGATTAAACACTGCAGTATTTTAGATATCAGCCATATATTAAGAAAGCTTAAAGATGTCATAAAACGAAAACTAGGCACTGAAAACAGACGTTTTTTAGATGAATGACAGCGTTTTTATTTCTTTATTGAAAAGAATCAAACTTCAGCGATTTGTCTTCTTACAAAATATTTCAGTTCTGAAGGAATACAACATTATGCGACATTATGATCAGTTGACGAGCGTATTTCAAAATTTAATTCATACAAAAGTCAAACAAACATGTTCAAAAAAATTAGAAATGTGTAACAAAACAAGCCATAAGTAGCCATTCATACAATGCCAGATGAGCAAGTAACTTCATTAGTCACTATCAGTTGCAAATTACTTGTTGAAACGTAGTAGTATATATTTACGGTTGAAAGCCATGCTTGTTATCTTTTCCTCGGGAATTCTATCAGCTAAATTTTATAAATATTGATTTTATTGCATAACAAACTGCGATGCTAGGTGTATCTAAAATCAAGCTTAGAGCCTATTTTGGAGCCTATTTCTCAAAATTTTCTCAGGGCGCTTAAGCGCGCCCTGAACCCCAGCCGTGTCGTCCCGCACTTTTCCTCGCTCCCCTTTTCTGGCCCAACAATTTCATTCTGCTGTGGATTTTGGCTGGCCGTCAATCAACTTGGGGGCCCCCATGTACATCGTTTCTTAAATACATACCATTTTTTTAAGAATACAAATAGCCTAGTTTTATCTCTAATAGCAAATTATTTACCACCCCCTAAATTTTGAAACACCCCCCTAAAGAGAAAAGCTGGGGAACATACTGGGCATGTATCAAATTCTAGCAGAAAGTTTTCAAATAACAAACTGAAGACGCTACCAAGCAGGCAGGCTATGATGGTTTAATATGGAGACAAAGTATGTGGGAAACGGTACGCTGTGCCTTTCAGTTTCTACTAACTTTCCAGTATTCTGGTATAGCCTTTTAAAGAATAACATAGTAGCCTGCAAAATAAAACGTGTCCCCGTACGCACGACCTGCTGCTTCTTGGAACTGAAAAACATTTTTGATCTGCTTTCGTTGTCATATCATATCTGAGTGCTTCCGCTTCTGCACAAGATGATTGAAAGCATTAACTTAAAAAAGGAGCATTGGTATTCAACTCATTTCTTAAATATTTTAAAGCCTTTCTTTTCAATATATCAAGTTCAACTTGAAGTATTAATTTAGCATTTATATGATTCTGCCTTTCTCTATTTCGTTAACGTTTATCTAGTCCAGTGATTTTCTCCCTTTTTGAACCGCGGAATACTTTTTCTATCATAAATTTTCAGCGAAAAATGATGGAAAATTTCCGATTTTGTAGAAACTTTTAAATTACGACAAGAAAAACTATAAAAGCATTGACTTAACGACCCGAGGTGGAGAAAACAAATTAAAATGAAACGATTTTTATACTCTTGCATGTCGCAAATCGTCGAAATATAAATAAGATTTATCTAAAACAGGCAGCTAGAAATAGTAATGCCATTCAATATGATGTATAACCTCGCTTGGATGAGCACAAATTCTTGCAGGGAATTTGGAAAGACAAACACGTTGTTCTTCGAAGGATCTCAGTTTCATGCCACTTCGATATAACATTCTGTATGCAATATGAATAAAGTTGACGAATTGCAACAACAGGCAAATTTCTCGAATATTGTCAATAATAAACTCGATGTTCAATACTAACAACGCAATTGGCATATATCAATTTATAGCAGAAAGTTTCCGAATAACAAATTGACGCTACCAACCAGGCTATGATGGTTTAGTACGGAGACAAAGTATGTGAGAAACGGTACGCTGTGCTTTTCAACTCCTACCAACTTTCCAGTATTCTGTTATAGCCTTTTAAAGAATAACATCGTATAGCTTGCAAAATAAAACGTGTTCCTCATACACACGACCTGCTTCTTCTTGAAACACCTAAAAAACATTTTTGATCTATTTTTGTTGTCATATCATATCCGGGTGATGTTTGAA